TATACTGTGTGCGCGTTAAGCGGTTCGTTATTTGCGGAGGCGAAAACGTTTGTACGGTTTGTATTCTGGGGAGGAGGGGGTGGGGGGGGGCGGCGGCCGAGCCATCCGTATCTGCCGCTCTTCCCCGGGCGGCAAAATCAAAATGCCTTTCAGGCGGACATTTTTAGACGGATTAGGAGGCAACGACACAAAGGCAAGGAAAATTACGAAGTATGGTATTGGCGTATCCGCGTAAAAGAGGGGGGGGCGGAAAGGAATATCGGTTTTGATCCGGGATATGCAAATCCTAGATGCGCCACTGAACAGTCTCTATGTTCGGGGAAACCACGACGAAAAAATAACTTTCTACAATTACCTATTTTTTTTTTAATAAACAATTTTAACTAGCTTTTTTTTATTTTATTACAATCTGAGTTATCTAAAAGTAAAACTGAAAATTGCGTATCTATACCAATCTAGCCTAAAGATACCTACTCAAATAATTTAAATATTTTAAATCCGTCACTATCTTCAATCCTAAACGCATAGATAATTAAAAGACGTCCTAAGATAATGGGGATGGGTGCAGTCACTGTTATAGATAATTTTTCAAAATATACCTGTAGGCAACGATGAACCATTGATTACGAAAAAATGATTCTGAGCGCAGTTCAGCTGATTCTGATGCTTTTTAAACAATATATATATATGTCATTTCATAGTAAAATAATTAAATAGGCTTTGTATATATTCTTTAATATTTATTTAATGATGTACCGTTTTTCCCGGTTTCCCTATGTTTTATCCCGGTTTTTCATATTTGCTGGGAATACTCCTGAGAAAATTGAAAACGAGTGAAATCCCCATTGTGAAATTTCCTTTTGGAAATCATTGCTATCATTAAAAATTGGAGCAAAATTGCTGGTAAAAAAGTTATGCACAGAAAAAAGAAGGCCGTAATGTATTTTAAATAATACCAATATTTCTTATATTTTCCCGTTTTTTCAGTTTTTCAAATTTGATGAGAAAACTTAAAAATCTAAAAAAAATCAAAAAATTACCTCCCTAAAGTATCTTCCCACGCCAATTTTATTTCAGAAAAGTTGCTATACGTAAAAAACGAAGCAAGTCTTTTGATAGAAAAGTAGCGTACAGATAAAAAAAAAAATAAACATTTAAAAAAAATTATAAGCTTCTTTGCTCTATTCAGAATCTAAAACGTAAGTATACATATTTGTTTCTATTATTTTCTTCATTTTCGTGATTACAATATATTATTTTATTGTTACTTTTTGTTTTTAAATTAATTTATTTAATACAGCTTAGCTAGCGACATCTAGTGGGGAAAAAGTGAACTAATATAGCTACATGAATTATTGCGTACACATTTTTTTCTCAATATTACAAAAGGTTTTAAAATGTGCTGTAAGATTTCCATGTCCTATAGATTCCAACATTCAACTGTGGTATCGTAATATTATTGTAATAATAATATTAATAATATTTGTAATATTCGTAAACTCGAAATGTTGACAGAAAACTCATATTTGCTTTTTCTAGACGTGGTGTAAAATTTTCAAAATATTTGAACCAATTTTATTTGTTGTAGGAGTTTTAAAGTCAAATTTTGACGAAAATCGTAAATATTACGGTCTTTCAAAACGTGTGTAACCGAACTTCGATCCGAATCGTCTTTCGTCAGCAATCGTTTACCGTTGCAGGTTACAAATAACAATGATATAACAATCCTGACAGTTAAGTACTCTACGGAGTACGGAACTAGTCACGCGGCACACTTGCTATAGAAAAAAAAGTAGTCAAAAAAGCGCCGACATTTTATGTTCGATTTTTTTGGTTCTGAAACTGGAAATCAATAGTAACAGGTCTGCTGATCAATTTATTCAAATAACATTTTTTGGGTAAACTAATATTTAACACACTTTTTGGTGATCAAAGTTATAAACATTGAAATCCTGCACCAAATACTACTTTTTTTTCTATAGCAAGTGTGCTGCGCGACTGGTTCCGTACTCCGTCCGGTATAATAGTCGGGTGGAAATAATTCGTTACAACTTCAAATTTGGGGCTACGATTTTGAGACTCATATCTACGACTTCGTTACTTCACGGAGAACGTAGCAAAAATACTCCGATGACTGGGAGAGCGGAAACGCGTCGACAGGGGCGAGTTGTCCAGAATAATTCGGATTCGCCTCAGGATGACCGTTAGCAATCCTGGGCCGATCTCCAGTTTTATCCTGTTTTCAGCTGTCAAGTGTTTATCATCGTCGTGACTCGTCGTGGCATATATTTTTTTTTATTACCTACTTAATTAATTATTAATCCATTCTGAAAAAAAAATCTGTTAATCTGTAAATATAGGACTTTCAATCACCATGATTGAAGAACGACCAGTAATTTAGGATAAGACATTAAGTATTTACAAATTTTTGTCGGGTCTATCTTTAATTCATTATATAGAGTTTTGTTAACACCCAAATGTTCGCGGTTTTGTAAAATCGGATGAACCTAATGTTTTTTTTCGGTTAGTTCTTATTACTTGTTTGTTTTTTCGGCAAATGAAGTAAAATTAAACATTAAACATCATTAAACATAAAAATTAAACATTTTCCATATTGATTTCTTACCATGATAACAATCAACATTAAGAAATTAAAAAATTAAAATATTTATACACAATTTAACCGATCGGAACTGAATATCAATTTGTATACAAGTCCATATACCGTTACCTATGTTGAACAGCTTGAAAATATCCGTTTTTACTTTTCTCCGATCCGTTTCCGTTGCCTTTGCAAAAACGGACTGTCTGTAAAGGGGCCTAAGTCATGCACTGAAAATTTCGTTAATAAAATGTTGTAAGGTAGAGAGTATCTGAAACACATTCGGAATTATTTCTGAAGTTGGAGCATTTTTAAATTTATCTGCTAAACGTCACTTTGTTTTAAATAAGTATTTGGGACATTATTTGCATGCATTATGCAAGTCCGGATTAAGACATTTAGAGGCCCCGGAGATAAATTTTTCAACAAGGCTCTCTCTAAGACTAATAAAATAAATTGTTTAAAAATGTTTACTGACTAATACGTTTTAACAAAAGAAAAAATAATAAATAGTATGGAAGGAAAACGTTTAGATTGTCTATTTAAACAATTTGCGGCGTAAACTAGTTTTACCTCTATTGATTTGATTTCTGTTAAAATGGATGTAAGTTATAAATTATTGATATCATCGAGTATTTGATAATTTGATCTCTGATCATTTTTAACTATTTTATATTTAATGATGATTCTATTGCATATACAGTTTGAATGACTAGAAAAATTAAAAATATTCCAGCAGACAAAAGCGAATTAAATTAGTATGTCTTGAATGTGGTAAAACATTAAATAATGATTATAAAATAAAACGTGAAAAAACCGTACGAATTGATAAAACAGTTGTTACTAAACATTTTAATGCTTTTTAAAACCCATTTGTAGTTGCTAAAAAAAAAATTCAAAACTAGTAAGTAAATTTAGTAATATTGATAGAACTTCTTCTTCTTCACCTTCATCCCAAGTATTTGAGATCGGCCACCATCGTTCTAAACTTCCACTTGATCCGATTTCCTACCTCGCATACAGTCCTAACTACGCATGGGCCACAATTTATTACCTATCATTTAGGTATGAATAGCATATATTTATAGCTTAAGTTTTATAAGCTACATTGATTAATCATAAATTAATTGTTGAAATATAATTAATTATTTTTCTCATTAAACAGAAAAAAAAAAACCATAAATCATAAAGAAAAACAGAACGCTTATGTTTAATAATCAATCTTGAAACCATAATCTTGGATAATTAGGTCTGGCAAGTCGGCGTGGAACACTGAAAAGGCAAGGATAGCCATTTTTTTCATTATCTGTGGTTATCAGTTAATCGAGAAGTGCATATCGATATTGAAGTTCTTTAATATCTATGGGAGTGCAGCATCTGATTTCATACAATCTGAGGTAATATAGAGGCGGCGCGGCAATCTGAATACAAATTGAAGCGCAAACAAACTTTTCAGTGTAAACATTTCAACAAATCTTTAAAACTCTAACAATATCAATTGGTTTACAAACACGCGGAATACGTACAGTTCTCCTGGTGTGAGAAAAAACATAACCTCAACATAAAAATTGTTTTTTTCTTATCATTATAACACATTTAAGATATAATATCTTAAGTCGTGAGTAATAATCATAGAACAAAGAATACGCCAGTCAGTGAATTGCGATGTATTAAACATAATACAATTACATAAATAATCATTTCGATCGTGGTATTAGACACGAAGAACATTTATAAGTATTTCATTTTATAATCTTAAAATAAGAACTTATTTACTAATTCATATTTGTAATATATATTATATTCGGAATTTTAAAAAATGAATGGTACATTGATACGTCAAAAAAACTATCCGAATTAGGTTAGCCATAGATAAAAGAAAAATGACAGCACAGACAAATGCATAAAACAAATGCAAATACATACAAATTGAACGCACAAACCATTTCGACTATGTAGATGAAGTTTTTATGTTTCTACATTGGTGTACTTGAACATTTCCTTTTCAGTCATCTGGACGTTATGTTTCTTATCATACCGGGAGGACTGATAAACGCACCAAACACGCACACTGCACAGCATACAGTTAACTCTATGACAGAAATGTTTATGAAACGGTTATCACTTATCATCACATAGATATCAATGTTTGTTGACTTATGAGCATTGAGTAAATTACTCAACGCTCGCGAGTTACGACGCGAAATGGCGAAACAAATTCCCGTTAACAGACTACTTTTTTTAAAGCGAATGACCGACGGTTGGCTTTAATTTTATTACTCTACGCCGGGTATGCCCTATCGTATGTATTCGTGATAAAGACCAATTGCAATATTTGTTGCGTATGTTGGTGACACTGACGGTCGTGGCGGTACCCGTTACACACATCAATTACAAAGTGATATGAGCTTTGTAGTTTTTTATCTAGCCCAATTACCGAAGCGTCAGACTTTAGCCCAGTGCGTTGGTATGTTTTTATGTTGTGTTGTAAAATTGTCTTAGGCGTAGGTGGGTGCAATGACGACAAAAATGTCCCGCCGGTTTGGTGGATAACAGTACGCTCGTTTATGATCACAGTAGCGTAAATTGTATCAAAAGTTAACGAATAACATTGGAAACTAATTGTTCATCTTTATACAAATAACGCATTTGTTTTTCTAACGAATAAGTTTTTCTACTAGTAAATTAGTTTTTTTTTTTTTTATTATTATTTATTTGTATAAAGATTCCGAAATGGCGCCAACTATCCAAAATAATACAGCACAAGATAAACGGATTCGTCCCATAGAAAAAAGGTTAGATTTGTATGTGTTGCTTTTACATAACTGACATAACAACATAACTACCTATCTATTAATTTTGTTAATATTTTTACAATCAATATTTTATGGTATTTCTTCATTTACAGATCTGATTTGGTGTGTAAAGTGAAATATAGCAACTTGCTTCCGGATATTCCCTTTGATTTAAAATTTCTCTCTTATCCATTTAATCCAACTAGGTAAACTATTCTCTTTTATACCTAATATTTATATATTATACTATTTTTTTTTAAATTTATTTAAAATTATTATTTTCATAGGTATATACAATATAATCCGACTTCTTTAGAGAGATCATATAAATTTGAAATTCTCGCAGATCATGATTTGGGACTTAACATTGACTTGGTTAATAAGGACAGATATTCACTTGATCTAAATGGACACATGGATCCTGCTGATGAAAAACTATTGGAAGAAGATATTATGGCACCACAAGATTCAAAAAGGTATTTAATATATTATTGGTTTGCTGCAGTTGAATACCTCCCTTATCATTCACACGACTATCAAAATGAAGAATTCACCTGAGGCCTGTAATCATTTTTTATAGTGTGTGCATATTTATGAATTAAGTATACGAAACTTGTGTTAATCATTTGTTGCACATAAATTACAAATTGCCTATATTTGAATAATGTAGAAAATATTATTATATAATTTAGAAAAAGTTAAAAATTGTGTTAAAAAGTAGTATGCAATTTAAATTATTCATCACAATAGATACCTAACTATATTCTCAATAATTATGAATGGGTATTTCTTAATTCTGTTATTATTATTACATTGATGTTTTTAATTATATTTTTTTTAAAAACTAAAAAAAAGATTATATTTTATTAATTAAATTTATTTAAGAATCAATTTTATTAACATAAATTCTAGGATTGGTAATGTAAGCGTATAAAATGACTAAAACATAGAAAACTTTATAACGACTAAGACATTTTTTTATTTTAATAATGATAACTGATAATACTCTGTCTTTTAAATTTTAATGAGCATCTTATAAATTAATAAATTATTTTTGATATTATAAATATTATTGTAGTTATTAATATGGAATAAAAATGAACTTAGTAATTTATAAAACAAACCATCACATATGTCTTATGTAGTTAATATAAAATATATAAAATGATGATTAAATTCAATTGAAAATTATTTCACCTGATAATTTCTGTTCAGTTGCAGCCAAAAAAATAAAATAAATACAGTAATAACGTATACAACTAATAGTTTTATACATGCATATAATATATGTTTTATACTTTACTGTATTTCACGTTCCAACCCTGATAAATTCTGTTATTTGTATTATACACTTAGTAATTAATTTGTAGATCTAGACATCATGCTAGAAATGTGTCATGGTTACGGCGTACAGAATACATTTCTACTGAGCAAACACGGTTTCAGCCACAAACAATTGAAAAAGTGGAGGCTAAAGTTGGATTTAGTATTAAAAAGAACTTCAAGGTATTGTCGTAATATTAAATATTGTAGTAAATCAAATTCTAATTTATTTTATTATTAGGAAGAAACTCTATATATGGATAGAGACAGTCAAATGAAAGCGATTGAAAAAACGTTTGAAGATAATAAAATACCTGTTGAAAAACATTACAGCAAGCCAAATGTTCATGCAGTTGAGACATTAAACGTTTATCCAGATTTTAAGGTAAATTAATATGATTTTTATGGATCTAAGATTTTTAATAAACTCCTTTTTTAAATTTGTAATTAGAACTGGAGGTATCCCTGTGCTCAAGTTATCTTTGACTCTGATCCAGCACCGATGGGTAGACCAGTACCGGCACAGATAGAAGAAATGTCTCAAGCTATGATTAGGTAATTTACATTTTTAAAATTTAATAATAATTGTGGGGTTCTATTATTCATGTCCATGTAGTTATTTAAAAATGTTATCTTTCAAATTGACTATTTCTGATTTATAGTTTTATATTAATGATTTGACATCATATGTAACTTTTTATATTTTTACATTGAACCATCCAATTATTAAATAATTACAATATATTTAAAAAATTTAAAGGAAGGACATACTTAACATGTGGGTGCAGCCACTGTTGTGGGTAAGGAATTGAAGGTAGGATACAAACAGAAATTTAATGTATATATGTAAGCAATGATAAAAAATTGCTAACAAAGAAACGATTCTGAGCGGAGATCAGTTGATAGTGTTGCTTATTAGTAAAACTTATTAATAAAAAAATAAATAAATAAATTGATTTCCGATGACAACCTTATTTTTAATCTTTGAATATTTTTTAACCTAAAACTCAAGGTTTTCCTTATTATCTCGAATATTAATAAGAATTTCAAATTACCTTTTTAAAGTATCAACCAGATAAAGTTATTATGTATCAATGACTGAATTTAAACATGGTAACATACTACAGCATTATTGAACAATGTGTTGTGAAATTTGTACATTCAGTAGGAAAACAACCTTTCTTATTCATGAATTTTGCAAAAATGTGCTGCTATATAATATATATTTATTATTATTTGATATAAATACTAAATTTTAATAAATTATATTGAGTTAATGATGTAACCTAATAATTTATATTTATTAAAAATAATAATTTCAGAGGTGTGATGGATGAAAGTGGTGAACAGTTTGTTGCTTACTTTTTACCATCTGAAGAAACAATAGAAAAACGACGTGAAGATGCTCTTGAAAACCGTTCTTATGATGATGACTATGAATATGAATATAAAATGGCTAGAGAATATAACTGGAATGTTAAAAGCAAGAGCAGTAAAGGTTATGAAGAAAATTATTTCCTTATTGCAAGACAAGATGGAGTATTTTATAATGAATTGGAAACAAGGTTTGGCTTAAACTATTTATTTTATTTCTACTAAATATTTTTATATTATTATTAAATATAAATTATAGAGTTCGATTAAGTAAGAGAAGACAAAAAATTGGTGTACAAAGTAGTAGCACTAATACAAGATTAATAGTACGACATGTCCCCATCAATGAGCAAGAATTCAGTGTTCATAAATTTAGAGAAAAACAATTACAACCGTATGATGAAGAAGAAGAAGCCAAAGCAGAAGAGGAAGCCAAAAGGGCAATGATGGGTGATTATTAATTTTATATTTAAAAGTAGTAAAACAGTTAAAGATCATTTTGTCACAATTAAATATTTTATACTAATTTTCAGCTGCAAAAGAAAATGTGAAGGAATTAACAATTAAAAATAAAACAGATAGTGATGATGATTCTAGAAAAGGTAATATAGTTATTCCAAGTATTTTTAAATGTGATATAATGCAACAGATTATACATTAGTTAAATTAAACATCTGCATTTGAGGTGGGATCTGATTAATTGAAAACTAGTGTAACATTTCTTTTAATGAATTAAACTAAAAAATAAAACCCTTAAGCAGAAGAGCTCTGTAGAATTTCCCCTTGGCCGACAAGTTGCAATATTAATATTTTTTTATCTTATTTGTATTTATTTATGATCTGTATTCACTAAACACATTGAACATGTATGCACCCTCGCCCTACCCTTTAGTAGAATTTACTATCCCTCCTCTTTCCAGTAAAAAAATATCCTATTTTCTTTGTTTCAATAAAGAATCTCCGGAGAAGAAGTTCTCCGGATTTTTGATAATGTACAAGCAGCCCACCCGGTAGGATTCGGATACTAAAACCCTTTAAAGCCATATTATCGACCTTAATATTATTTGTAAATATAATTTTAACTTTGTTAATAAATTTGATGAGTCTGTAGAAGTATTTAAAAAATGGTGTTTCCTGAAAAAAAAAATGAAACTTAACCATACAATAATTTGGACTAGATTAGAAAGTTGATTTTGAGCTCATTTGATCCAGAAATGTCCATATTTGGTTAAATTTATAGAAAAATACATTTCACTATAATACTATATTTGAACAAAAAATTTTGTATTTTTTAAATATAGATTATTGTATAATAATACATTTTTTTTTTTAATTTTCAGGGGATGATTCTAAAAAAAATAATTTTGGTTCAGATAGTGATATTTCTGATGATGATGAACAAGATACTAAAACTAATTCGAAACGTAAAAACAGTGAAACAGTGGATAGTGATAATAGTAAAAATAAAGCTCACGGGGATTCTGACAGTAATGATAGTGATAAAGAAACTGATAAAAAAAGTCTTGGATCTGTAAGTGACGGCAATTCTGATAGTGACACAAGTATAAAACAATTTGGTAATAGAAAAAATAAAGGTAGTCGTAGTAAACATAGTTCAGAAAGTGACGAGAGCGATAAGTCTGATGTATCTACCAAAAATAAAAAAGAATCATCTTTAAGTGGTGATAGCGAAGATGAGCATAAAACTAAACGTGTTCCCAGTGAAACTAGATCAGATAGTGATAATAGTGATGTTGAAACAAGAAGTAAACGAAGCTCGGAACGCGCTGTCAGTGAAGATTCGTCAATTACTGATAACAGTGAACAAGAGAGCAACAGAGGTTCAGATAGTGATTAGATAATTATGATAGATTTTAGAATAAGTAGCATTTAATAAATGAATGTCGTGTCACATTATGTTATGGTTGTTAACTGTACTGTACTTAGCAATTTAATATATTTTTAGTTTTTTATTACTTGTACTTATTAAAGTAAAATAAAATACTTTAATTTAGTTGCTTAACTCCTCTATAAATATCAAATGTAATTAAAGTATTAAAGTTTTTACTTAACTATTTCTTAGTAAAATGATTTCTTTAATTTTAGTAATGGGTTAATACTTAAAATTTAAAATGTATAATTTCAACAAAAACCCTATTTAATGTAGGAGGAAAGAGAGGGAGAAGATGACAGAATGATAGGTAGTTGTCAGCCAACTAATAATCTAAGTGTGTAGCCTTTCATGAGTCTTTAATAAAGTATTATTTATCAAAAATTTTTTCAAACTTAAAAGTGGAATATATTGTCAATAATTTCAACACCAATATGTATTTAAATTAATATAATATATCTATAAAGTTGATATTTTTTAAAATATGAATGAAATCACTTAAATAGATCACTGTAATGCATCAAACACTAGTTTAAATCATTCTTTTTTTTTTTTCTTGACCAAAGTTTAGTTATAATTGTTAATGATGAAACTTTTTGTGTTATTTACATGAGTATATTGCAATTAATTACAACCAAATCTTGATTAAGATATTAGTATTTATACTATCTATAAATGTATGATAATTAATATTAATTTATAGTACAATTATATTATGTATAATTACAATTTTTCACTAAAATCATTTCCATTAATAATTCTATATTAATTGAAAAGTATAATTATTATATATTTGAATACTAGTTAAAATTAAGAATGAATGTTATAGTTTAAAAAAGATAGTTTTGAGTTGTATCTTTAACTGAATAAATTACAACGAATAGGTCAGTCAATTTGATTTATTTTATGGTAATGTAGATACTGTTACGATTACGGTAAACGATCAATGTGCAGTTCACTATTGCAAGTGATCTACCATTATTTTAATGGTCTACGATTTTTTGTGCTACCCATAAAGGTCCTACACATTAAAAATATTGAATTATTTGATAAACATAATTGTTTAATATTGTAATTTATCTAAATTATTGTTTTTACTTACAAATCTTAATTTTAAATTTTTTTAAATTTTATTCTAAATGGCATAAATGAAACCATGTGATTAATATATTGTCTAATACTTAATAAAAATAATATTTTATCAATTATTCTATGTTCATATTTTTTTTTGTTTACTTTTTAATTTAATATAGCCTATTTTTTAATAAATTTATTTGAATAATGCAATATGATTTATGCTTATCTTTTTGTTTACTATCATTGCAATATCATTAAAACTATTGTAGACTTATCAGTTTTAAGAAAAATGTTCAGGTAAAATTACCTAATTGAATATTAGATGATTGATATTACAAAGTATAATACACAGAATAGTAGACATAGTCTACATAAAATATCCAAATATTTTTCATAGGGTCACATTAAACTAATAAAGGCACATGACATTTAAATTGTTGTTGCAATAATAATTTATTATAGACAGCTTTTTTTGAATTAAACATTGTTAGGTTTAAATTTTTTTTTTCTAATATTCTTCGGACAAACTAAATTTCAATTCAATTTTTTTTTTGGATTAAGTACTTTTCAGTACTAATATTTTCTGATATTTTATAGCCACTCCAGACATATGGAATACTTTTGATTAAGGGATAATTAACACTTATGGATGACTAAGATAAGAATGATCAAATCTTGGTTGTGTGATAAAAAAAACAAATAGAGTATTTTTTTTTAGTTTATAATGATATTAGAATAACACAATTCTTATTTGAATACTACTATAATGTGTGTTTTGTTTATTTCTATATATTATAATTGATACTTGATGCATTAGAACCTAGAGGGAACGCTGATTTTTCTTAGTTGCTTAAGAGTTTGGAAAACCTAATTCTTTACGCAATAACAATTTCTGAGATTTTTTTTTGGAATTCAGTGGAAATAATATAGACATCCAGAATTTTTACTAAACACTTGTATGAGCCATTACTAGTTTCTAGATGTGGTATAATTATCAAAGTGTTTTTTTTAGTTATTTATTACCATTTGACATTTTCGAGTTTCTTTAATTTCTATTTGGTGTTATGCATTCACGATTTTTCTGGTTTTACAGAAATAAGTACTCGAAAGTTTTATTATAAGTTGTATAAATAATTATTGTAAATACCTAAAAAAAAAAAGTTTAGTATAATACAATATTTATTTATTATTTTTTTGAAATATATAATTTAAAGTTTAAATTTGGATAAAATAATCGTGTCATTTTTCGGAGGTACTATTAAGTACATTACAATTTATGTGTATAATACTTGATTCCTAGAAATGCTTTTCAATTTAAGATTATCAAAATATCTTTAACCGAACCTAATCCAAAATTTTATTTCGTTAGCCATAATTTATCATTGCGTACAGTTATAAACAAACAAATTTACCACATTATATATCATACTTTTTAAACTACTCATCTGCATCAATGGTAGGTACACCAATACTTGTAAGAAATAATGCCTCTTATTTTGTATACCTATTAAAATATTTAAAAAATAAATAATTCCTACCAAATTGTATATATTATGCATAAAGGATATTATGTTTCAATAATATAAAAAATAATATTTTTGCTGTACAACGTTTATTTTAATTTTTTCTCTACAAACGGGGTACCTACTCTATAGTCAGTGTACCTATTGGCTGATCGTAATATAACTTGCAATTTTGAATCAACATAATAATATTATGTAAATAATAATTAAAGTACGTTGTACCTACCCAATGAAACATTGGCTGCGAATTAAAAGCTTCAAAATGGAGCAAAATTAAAGTATGTTCGCGTCAACAGTTTCGTTGGAAGTATAATAATATTTATAAACTATTTTTTCTTCACCGCCGATGATTTTCAAACCGACTACCGGGTCACTGGGTTTTGATCGTGAATACAATTTCAAATTCGTACATTTGTAAATTGTGAACAATGTGAAATTAACATTATTATCAATAAAAAGTGTAAGTGTAATTTACAGCGATAACAGCTGCTGTTGAACGACTAACCTCAAGGACGATCGTAGGTCTAAACAGTATTATCTCACAAAACATTTACATAACAAGTTTGTTAGATAAAGGCCAGAATAAAAATATTGGACATTGTTGACTGTCTCAATACGTCGTAGTTATTTTAGCTATTTTTAATATAAGCAAAGAAACTAGGAAGACAATAATCACCAATGAGTTCAGTGATGGTAACATAAGAATTTGTCTGTTGCTCCATACTTATTTTGACTACTCGATTAATATTTATTAATAAGTAATTTTTAGTTTGTACAATTAATTTAAATTTAAAAAAATATTATTTTGACTGAACGATTACGCACACACCTGGATCCAATTCGACTAGATATTATGGCGGATCTGATGTTCGATTATCAGTTTCGTTTGATATTGATCGGTGACAGTACGGTGGGCAAGAGTTCACTATTAAAGTATTTCAACGATGGAAAATTTGCTGAGGTAAAATTTCTTTTTTAAACGCCATAAAATTTACCATTGATTTTCTTTTGTTTTTTCAGGTGTCTGATCCTACTGTAGGCGTCGATTTTTTTGCTAGAACAATACAGTTGCCCGAAGGTCCACGTATAAAATTACAGCTGTGGGACACAGCTGGCCAAGAGCGGTTTCGGTTAGTCAAAAATATTGATTATGGTTTTAGTGATGCAATTTTTTCATTGTAAATTAATATTTTTTATTTGTATTTTTATATTTAGATCAATTACAAAATCCTATTATCGAAATTCAGTAGGTGCCTTATTAATATATGATATAACAAAACGAGCTAGTTTTGACCATATACCTGTTTGGATGAATGATGCTAAACGACACATTGAACCTCATCGACCTGTTTTTGTTTTAGTTGGATGTAAATTAGATTTGGTAAGCGAAACCAGTAGATTAAATTATTTGTTTACATATTAGTAAATATAGGTATTTTTAGATAGATTAAAAAAATTGTCTGATAATAAACATTCAGTTTAAATTGTAAAAGAAATGTAATCATTAGGCAAATTAGATACCTATTTAAATTACACTGGCTTAGTTTAAATTAATCACAATGTTTGATTTTATTTTATTGAGAAACTTAATATAAATATTCTATTGAAGAGTATAAAAATTAAGAGTCTAGTGATTTAATGCTTTAATATTTAATTTGAGACCTACATTTCTTTTGTTAGCCATAATGTAAAAGATCTGGGCTATTATCTCGAAACTAGATTTCTCATTATACTCTGAGAACTTTGACAATAGTTAATTAAATTACCATTGTATAAAACAATACCATAAAACTCTAATATTTATGTAGAGATTTGACATATTAAGATAATAATTAACACAAAAACAAAATGAAACATTAAAAATGTATTAATTTTATCTAATGTAGCAGTTGCTTTTAAATAAATTGATAAGAAATGAGATTTAATTATTGGGTTTGTAATATTATTTATCAATAATGTAAAGTTATTATTTTAAATTGACTAAATTAAACTAGGTTATAAGGTTATCTATTTTTAATTTTATTTGTGGTTAGTTATTTTACTATATCTATGTTAGTTAAACAAATGGAATTCTATTTTTGAGGATTTTGTTTTCTTAAAAGAATAGTTTTTTATTTTTAGTTACTTAATATTTTTATCTCTGTAAGATTTATCTCATTTTTATTTATTATCAATATTTTATTTGTTTAGGTAAATAATGGTGCTAGTAAAAGAGAAGTGAGTCAAGAAGAAGCCAAACAATTTGGAGCAGAACATAATATATTTACCGTCGAAACATCTGCGAAAACAGGTTCAAATGTTGAATTAGCATTCTCTGCTATCACTCAAGAAGTAAGTGTTGCAATAAATATTAAATATCAATAATAATATTAATTATTTCAGATTTATCAAAGGATAAAAAGTGGTGAATACCAGATGGAAGAAGGTTGGGATGGTATTAAAAGTGGCTATTCGCATCATTCAGCAAATATTGACTTTAATAATTATATTGAGGCTGAACCGGCCAAGTCGTGTTGTTAACAAACATAAATTGTCTTAATAAATGCTTTTTAATTATTTTTTTTATACTTAACAGAATTATATATATATATTTTTAAAAAAAACAAAACAAAGATTTAGCTTTAACCATTTTTTTTTTTTAAATGTTCTTTGACAAAAATTAACCTAAGGTAAATTTTTAAGTAAACTATACTTAGGAGAATGGTACAAGACTAGTATTTTATGAATTATTATAGATTAGATTATATAGTTTGTATATTTTTTTTTTTTTTTTTTGTTGCACATAATTATATTTTTTTATTGCGAGTATTTTACAAATTATTATTGTCTTATTCAACTATAAATGACTATAATTTGTTGGCAAATTTTCTATGATTGTATTTGTGTTTATGATTTATTTCCAAATGACAAAATACACTCCCTTATTGCTTGTTGACACAAATGATAGTCTCTAAAAGGAGGCACTAAATGTTTATGTAACAACGATAACAATGCCATGAATTCTTTTAACGCCTTCTTATAATTATGTTTATCCATTAACCCTTTAGCAGCCTTGTATTTTTTTTCTGTATCCTGAAAAAAACATTTGTTTTTTGTATTAATTATTCATACATAATGCATAATGGCATTAATAAATACCTGTAAAACTTTCAAAGTTGCCATCAAGTTTGTTGTTTTTAAACAAACCCGACAGTGGGCAATAAACTCCATTGATTCTGTTGTCACCGTAATTGCATTTTTACAATTTTTACATCTTATCCTGAGCGAGGTGTTTACCTTCATTTGTTCCCAAGTTGGCCAATCTTGACAGCAGGCAATACAATTGCATTCAAACCAATATCTATGAAATCCAATTTTAATTCTTTTTTATTTAACAGGTTGTTAAAAAAGTTAAATGTAGAAAACAATTTTTCATTTTGTATAGTATTGGTATGTTTTCCATAAATACCCTACTAGTAAGTCAATGACAGTTCTATTGTGTCGATAAAAATATGATACAAAAAATTAAAAATTAAAAACAAGTGAATATTTATTAAGGTATGAATGTGTAATCACATTAAATGTTAATTATTGTAAAGACCAAAAAAACTGACCTTAGTATTAATTTTGTAACAAGGATTGATATTATTTTATGAATATACATTTTTACTTGACTTTTTTTATTATTTCTATTAAGATTTTATTATCGAATATACCTACCTAGTTTTAAGTGTCTCTTGTCGATCTTTTTTTGGCTGAAACATAAACATCGGACCATAGTTTTCTGTTATCGCTTCTCCGACACACAAGTCGCGGATATTTTGTACAATGACTGATGTTCCTCGATGGTACCTATATTTAAATTGGAAATAAATTTTAATATTTTAATAAAAATTAATCGATTGATTGGCTCTGTTTTTCTGATAATTTTGTATACCATTAGTCAGTAGGCATGTCAAAATATGAACTGGGCAAAAAAATCTCAATAAAATTGTAAACGGCCTGCAGGAAAAACAAATTCAAGAATAAAAAAAGAAACTTGATTTTCTTTTTTCATTATTAGGTATAGTTATAATACAGTGGTGGCCAAAAGTCGCGCAACAAATTTGTAACGCGCGTTCCATACAATACTAGGTAGGCTTTGCGCGACTTTTGATCACCTCTGTATATTAATGTAGATATTTAGTTGTAGATTTTGTATGTTTCATTTCATTGTTCAAACTGGTAGGTATTTAAATAGTAAGATACCTTACAACGCATGGATCACAGGAGTGGTTAAGTAGTGCTAGCGTTGGATAAACGGAACCACCGATAAAAACGGTCTCTTGGTTTTCGTTGTCAGCGGCCCGTCGCAGCCGAAGTTCGGATACTTCGAACGCGTTGAACTGGATCAACAATAAGTGATGTAACAACAGACTTCCAATGAACAATTGATCGTCGGTTAGAAGTTCTATGTCGCCGCCGCAACCCGCGAAATAATTAGTCTTTTTCAAGCAATACAAGTAAAAAGCGGCCACGTGCGTCCTGTGTAATATGTCCTGGACAGACCTCAACCTCCGATGGGTGACCAGGTTGTACAAGTTGACATATTTTTCCGGTTCGCGTTTTCCACACGGCGTTTGCATCTGCAAAAAAAAAAAAAAAATATCTAGGTATATAAATTTTTCTGTATGCATGTATGCGGGTACTTATATATTTCATAATAAGTGGTCCTCAGTGACGTGTCCTGGAATTTTCAATGTGAGGGGATGTAGCAAATAATAATCGTGAATAAATCGTAAAATTGTCTTTCATACCCAACTAGTCTTAAAAAAGCCAATTTCTAATCAATACATCAAACTTTTCCTCGTAATTTGGCCGAACATATGCATTTCGATGTTAGACTATTAATATTTTTCGTATTTTTAAACCAATGGAGGGGGGGTGAAGATATAACTCCTAACCTCCCATCCCCTGCACACGCCACTGGTGGGCCTATTATCAAATCAACGGAAAAGTGACTGATTGGTTTGTATTATTTTCAGGTGGGTAATCGCTTTTCAATTGATTTGAGAGCAAACGGAGAATATGCCTCCGGTGGCGAAACTGGGGGGGGCTAACTGCACAAAACGAATCGTCCGAGGAGAGTCGTTACACAAACACTGTAACTACGTGATCGAAATGTGTACGTATTCGATTAATTTTTTACAAATGTTGTACAACGACGGTCAACGAGTGCGTCCGGTTCACAGTTCTAACGATCAGTCATTCATCATTCTCGTAATCGCGTATAGTCGGCGTGTGCCTATACCCGTTTAAGCATTACCGTGGGTACGGCCTATACCTACGTGATTCAACTTTGGCTGAAGGTCGACGAAATATCTCAACGGCTGCTGCGTGATTATGCGCAGGGCGATCAGGCACGTTATCGAAACGCCGGTCGCGAACAGCGTCGGCAACAGCGGACACTCGATCGCGTGATAAGACTTTAGGGCTACCCGTTTGCAGCGGTCGCCGCAAAACGCCACCCTGTTGCAACCGGGGCACGGAACAGGTGCCACGAGCCTGTAAAATATATGGACAATATCATATAGGTAGGTAGTGGCGCGGCCAGAGGGTGTTTTGGTCTTAGTAACCCCCCCCCCCCCCCCCCATTGCTTTTTTTTTTTTTTTTTACCGAAATGTGTGGTAAAGAACGTTTTAGACCCCAACAACCCATGTTGACAGACCAGCGCAACGCTACGGCACCGTAGGTGTATAGGTACGTAAATCGTCTGTGTATTGAGACCGTCGAAAATTACGCGGCCGGTATAGTCCGGCGAGTATACCCACTTGGCAAAACAGTCGGTGCAATGCGTGTGACAGTACTCCCGGAGCAGTACCGAAGCGTACGCGCGTTCGACCAGCAGCACGCTGCCGACCGGAACGTCCCGGCTGGCCACCGCGTGCCGACCTTCCGCTTCCGCGTACTCGATGGACACCGCGTCGCTGGCCGCCGGATACGCGTCGTTCGGTCGCCCGTACAGCCCGGCCGTTGGTTCGTCGCCGGCCTTTGGCTCTGCAAACACACGTTAATAATTACACACCTAGCCAATATTATTATATAACGCCCGAAAAACTATCAAAAATAGAAAAACGTAAAAAACGAAAGTGAATATAACCTACTCGGATGTCAGAACTCATAGTCCTGGATCATTAAAAAAAAAAATGTACTTTGCGTTGAAGTCCGGGCCCTACTCGTAACACGCCTTATTATCGCTCAAACCTACCGTTTTTCAGATTCTTGTCTTTGGCCATCATCGTCAGCATGACCTGCATGTCCAGCTGTCGTTTGCGCCGTTCGTCCAACGATAAACCTGAATCGTCCAGAGCCTCTATTGTGGCCTTGAATGATTCCAGTGCAGATTTCAACTGCTTGGTGGCCAGAAAACAGCGAGCTCGCCTATACAAAAGAAAAACGTATTACATACAAACCCCGTTAGAGATTCGTCCAAACGGAGGAAGCTGCGGAATAATAACCTATCGTAAACTTTGTATCGTAGGTTCTTAGGATACCCATTGTCGAGGGCCCGTTGTATGTCCGAAATGGACCGGTCGTAATCTTCCAGACGATATAGACACGCCGATCGATTGGCGTAAATGATCGACAGCTGGATCAGCCAATCTGCGTGGATATCAATGTAAAAATGACTAATTTAATAGGTATCGTAAATAAAGTTTATGACTTTCGAACGCAAAACTTGGAAAAAGATTTGTGGATGGGTACCTACTCGATGCAGATACAAGAAGTTGGTAAGAGGTATTTACTAGGAAAATGAAATAATTAACGGATTATGTGAAAAGAAAATTACCAACTTAGAGCAGCATTTGATTAGATTTTCCAAAGGAAATAACCGCATGGCAGGCCGAGAAAAAGGTAGTTGAATGAATTCGAAATGTATCTGAGTGCGCTGGATGTAGTAAATCTAAAGGATCTGGTGTAAAATAGAAATGAGTGGCACGATATCCTATTGACGGTCAGAAGTCTTAAAGAGTAGTTACGCCAAAAGAAAATATAATATAAATAATGTATCACTTTTAACACCAATAATATTTTTACACAGTGAAAATGATGTTTAGGCACATTAATTTACACGTACGTACGAGAATTTTATGCAAAATTCCATAGTCATAATATGTTTAAAATTAAAAACAAAAAGTTAGGTAGGCAGTTTCATTCGATATAGGTACCATGTACAAAGAACGGAGGCCATGATTTTTCCCACCCTGTATAATGTGATGTATACCTTCGGTTTGAGGACAATTCAGCAGGGCCAGTGAGTACCAATTCACAGCGTTTCGATAATCCGACTTTTGGAAGTAAACAGTGCCAGTTTTTTTCATTTCCAGAGCCTTATCCCCGTTTTTAGAATTCCCTTCGTCGTCACCGGCACCGGGATCCCCTAGATTCGCGTACAACCGTTTGTACACGAAATGTATTCTTCGATTGTCGTCCGGTAAATTCGAAAATTCGTCCAAGTCGGAGGCATTGAGAGTGTTGCGAAATCGTTCGTGTTGGATCGAAAAGTGTTCATTGCCCTGTGACGCCGGCTCGTTCATCATCGTGACTGAATCTGGACGCATAGGTAATAATCCGCCGATAAAAATGCACAATTGTAGTGGAATACGAGTATCGTACCTATATTTAGACTCTTGGACCGTTTCCAGAAATCCGGTATAGTCGAGAAAAAATATTTGGGGAGCAACGGACTTTCGTTGTTTTTTTTTAATTGTGTTTTGTTTAGTTTTAAAAAATATTTTGAAATAAATGTATATTCCAATTTAAATATATAATATACTATATATATATATATCGTCCGGGCGTAAATCCAGAGATTTTTTTCTGGAAGAGGAGGGCTTACAGCTTCATAAATACCGTTACGGAGGCTCCGGGACCCGCTATGTTTCCCATATATTTGTCGGTGGAGGCGAACTAAAGTCCCACACTAAAATACATCCCTGATACCGCGTTACTTCGACCGTCGACAAAATTGTACAGGAAATTTGACTGGTTAAAACATTGATTCTGATAAGTCATCTGTAAGTGGTAATAATTTGCCTGGGTTATTGTTGTTGTTCACATTATACTCGTATAAAGTATACAGGTACTTACAACTGCAGTTTCACCGTTTATTATAGCTATCAAATATACAACATGGCGTTTTAAATGGGATTTTTATTTCCTCCCTACCGACCCCCTGTCTTCCGACCGGAACTAAATGCAGGTGTCCAAGATAGACGTGATATTTTCACTTGCGATACGGGACAATGATTGCGGACGATCGTCGATGAAGTCTGCGGTTTCACGGTTTCCGGTAGGCCGCGGACCGAGACGGATTGATCGAATACACCGAATTAATTAAATCCTCAGTGGTCTTATTTAACCCGATCGGCTCAGTTGACGGCACGTGACATTCTGTGTTTGTAGATATCTATAATATCCATCGTAGATAAAAATAATATACGAAAAAAAAATAGACGCCCTAGGACAATGGGGACGGGAGCAACCACTATTATAGGTAATTAAATATATGCCTACAAGCAACGATAAACCATTGCTTACGAAAAAACGATTCTGAGCCGAGTTCAGTTGATAGTGAAAGCTTTTTCAATAATATATAATATGTCATATTACAGTAAAATAATTAAATAGGTTTCCTATATTTTCTTTAATAATATTTGTTTAATGTTATACCGATTTTCTCAGTTTTCCTACGGTTTTCCGTGTTTTATCCCGGGTTTTCACATTTTCCTGGAAAACTCTTGGGTAAATCGAAAAATGACTTCTTTTAAGTACCTCCCCACACCGATTTCCTTTCAGAAAAGTTGCTACACGTAAAAATCGGAGCAAGTCTTATGGTAGAAACGTTGTCCAAATATAAACATCTTTGTAAAACCATAAGCTTCTTCGCTCCACTCAGAATCTAAAATTAAAACCAATATAGTACATAATAATACTGTACAGTGTATAGTATACACGATATGGTCACATGTTTTTTTTTTAAGATGTTCGCGTCCGCATTTTGCAGTGTAACAGGCATTTAAGTATTATTACATAAACTTCCCGTTAATGAGTATATCGTCTGCAGGTATTGATGACATTACTTATATTTTATAAAGCTAAACGGTTCGCGGGTGATAGTTAAATACCTAGTTTTATTTATAGAGACATTTGTACACAATATTCGGCTTTGACGGTGACTTATTCTTTTGATTTGCAATTATATGCACGGGTATTTCGATTATGGTAAGTGCCCCGCTTATCATGAGACTACATAAGAAATCTATAGAAAGCGATGCGTCGTCCATACAGAAGTGTATAATGTCTGTGTTGTTATTTTTTCAGATTCAACTTCCTACACTCGGCAATATACCTATACCTTCGCGTGTGTATAAAATACTGCGTTATTGTGTACTTGTATACCTGTAGGTATTTACCTAACGATTAATATCACGATAGGCCATACCGTTTTAAACTGTTTAATCTTTATGCGCGCACATTTCATAAACCGGCGGCGTATACATTATTAGGGTACGTTCAATTAACATTAATAATTTTATGCTAACTACAAGTTGTATTGTTCTCGTAAAGAGTTACGCATACACTCTACAAGCGCACTAACAAACGAATAAATAAACGTTGAATTCATGAACAATAACGTGTAAATTGATAATAGGCGTAACTAGTCGTCTACAATAATATTGATCCAACTGCAATATTGTAGTTTTTGTTGTGAAAACCCAGCGGATTTTTCTATCTGTATTATGGTGATTTTTAATATCGCGATGATTTAAAACCGATTAAATTGCATTTTCAAATAATTAAAAAGCGTATGGATTCGCGGCACGTCTGTTCTCAACACTGTTGTACACACCTACACGACTTCAATGCTCAAGGGTTTATGAGGTATTTGAACTTAGCGAGTTCACTGTCATTGACCCTAACATGAGTGCTCGTGGATGACATCCTCAACCTCGCGACTATAATTATATTATTGATTATTGTTTTTGTTTCACGTAGTGTTGCGGGACGTGTATATTTATATACCTAGATATTTATAGCATTATATTAGCTACTAAGAACGTTTAGTAACTTTTGAAATTCTTTCCAACGAATTCCGACAATCCGAAAAAAATTATTCAACGAGTCTGAGTGGAGTGTGTCAAAGACATGTGCATTTAAAAAATACATTTCGGGGGGAGGTGGGTGGTTAAGGTTTTACACTTTCATACTCCTATAACTGATGCATGCTTTCAGTTGTAGGATTATTTATTTTTCATTAAAAATGTCAATATTTTATAACATTCATTTTTGACCTTTTAGCTATTACTAAATTTTATATTTAATATTTTTTTTTTTTAGTGAATAGAGCCTAAATTATAACGTGATTCGTGTTAATGCGAGGATAATGCGCACTATGCAATAACGCTGTATCAGTTGTAATTTTCTGCAAGCAAGAAAACCACAACAAATAAGAAATTACAATATAACAATTATACCAGATACCTTCGATCAAGTAATAAGATAAATTGGATTGGTTTCTGAGAGTCATAACAATCTAAGCCGCACACCGTTCGTCTATGATGTTATTGCGTACCGCGGGTGTTGCGACGTGTGTTGCGTACGCGCATACTGTGTCGCGCACAAACGACGAACGGATGACCTGTTTTTCGTTTGCGCGTATTTTATCAATTATTATCGTGTAAAATCAACGGCGTTCGCGCGCGTACGCACATTAATACGCAAACGCACACCGCGGGTACGGTTTTGACGAGACGCATTACAATATTTAAGCGTGACTTATTCGGGGGACATTTGTCAATACCGATACGCTGTATAGGCAATAATACCGGTTATTACCGGTAATGGACGCCGCTTATTCGTAATCGAACCATTTTTCATACGCGCGTGCGAAACAATAGGGAATAATGGGATATTGTCTCCAAACAATGATATATATATATATATTATCAATGTTACATTGTTTCAATTAGGTGCATAAATATTATCGGAATTTATAAACACGTCGTGTTTCGCCACACAATATACCGGCGTGTACGGTAAATACCACGTGGATATCAAAATTGTCACCTAGTGATTTACAGACATTTTGTGTCCAATATTTGAATCGGCATTTATTGAATATCGTTTACACGACTAAACAACACTAAATATTTCACATTTATTTACTCGTAATAAATGCATCGCGACGGGAGTCCGATAAAAACGTACCTATATAATATAAATCATATTTGATTAATTGTATTTAGTGTTGGGTGGCACATTTTCCGCATAGGCGAACCAGCTGCAGTGAAATTATTAATTTGTTTATATGTCACTGGAATCGGACAAATTTATGTCCGAACTCTATACGCCAATCGGTTCTTCAATAATATGATTATTAAACGTACGACAAAATATGACGAGTCGGAGCGGCTCGCGTTTTCCGTGACCACGACTGCGACCTAAAGACACGGAATTGTAATTTTCATACGAAAATAATTGGACAAATTCCCGAATCCATTGTCCCCAAATGATGCCACCGGCGTAAAAGTACTTAAACGCCGTTATAAAAATTTTTTAAATATATGGCAAGAACTGCGATCGCGTACCCTCAAAACTGCAGTCTTTAGACTTACAATAATGAAACCGGACAACCCCAACGGTTATTATAATCTGAACGATGTAACTATAGGTTAATTCAACCCTGGAAACACCTCTGAATGGTACGGGAAAAAACTGTAAACTCGCACGGCGTATTTTTTAGGTGGATGGGTGTAATAGGTTATGGGTGTCCGACAGGTTATCCGAATCGCGTTTATTGTGCCGTCCAAAACGATTGTGTATTCTCGTCGACTTTCGACGGTGGGCACGGAGGATTTGACACAAGCAGGCGCCTACAATATGTGCGTTAAGCAGGCAGGTACCAAAAATATAATCGTAAACTGCAAAACAGAAATTGTATCAGGTAGTCCGGGTGGGTATACACAGTACACGGCTGGCAGGAACGAATAATAAATAACAGATTAAACGGTCAAACAATATTGTTTCGGATTGGAACTCGAACTCAAGGCGATTATTATTATTGTTCAAGGATCATTCCCAAACATGGAATAATACAGACACATATGGTTTTACGTCAATCGTTAAGACACCGTCGATTAATACACTGCACGCTGGATCGTCTAGATGCCAGGTCGTTATACAGGTACATAGTGGCCAACGACGTTTGATCGTGACTTTTACGTAATGCGCGGCTAAAATAGGAAATATGGACTAACAATATAGGTACACAAACAGGCAGTTGTTCTATTCCCCGACAAGGGACGTACGTCATGATTTTAGCAATATTAATTGATTAAAAATAATAATAGAAAAACAAAAAAAAAAAAAAAACAACGAAACGTTCAACTGAAATTAATTTTAATCATTACGCAACAATAATAATTTATTAAAATAAAACAATTGTTAGTAATAATTCGTATATGTGTAAATGTATATAAATTATGTATATTATATACAGGGTGTATCTGCAGGTAATTTGATAATGTCCTATTGAATTGCGCGTGGAAAATTGTCAATTCCTGCAGATACACTCGGCATCATAATATGTGTAGGTATATAGTAGGTACTACTTAGGTAGTATAAATCGGTAGGTATAATATAATATACCATTGTATATACATATACCTACCTCATTTTTTTTTTTTTTTTGTGTTTCTAAGAATGATACGAATTAGAATAAAATATATAACAATAGTTTTAGAAAAATACAAAAATAAAATAGTTAAAAATTGAAAAAAGAAAATTAAAACTGATTTTAAAAATAAGTATATAATAATTTTTGGGAAATAACATATTTATAATATTATGATAATTGTATTACTAGTACCTATTTTTCTAAAAGGCACCCTTGTTTGATTGTTTAGCAACGTATACTGACTAGATACCAGATATAGTATGACAAATACAAATGAAATAAATATACCTAATAATATAATAATAATATGTCTAAGGCTAAATTAGTAAAAAAATCATATTTGACTGAAAATTAAAAAAAAAAATATCTGTAATATATTACTGAAAATATCATTTTAAATTCAAGTATATTTGAATATTAATCTAAGAAATATGTTCAACGTGTTACTTATTGGTAAAATATTATTAAAGTAGGTTTGTCGCTGTGGAAATTCATTAAATGTACTTTATAAACCTATAAAACATCATTATAATCTACGAACAAAAAGTTAGAAAACAAGTAAACGCGTAAACGATCGATTACTGTAACAGTCGTATAAAATCGAACGAGTTTAATCGAAATGCTGTAATATTATTATTGTATTGACAAAACTTGGCAAACTGCTACAATCCCGACGCGAGTGTATGAAACCACGCGAGCGAACGTCACGATCGGAAATATAAACAAAATCACCAAGACAAATTGATTTTTAATGATACAATAAAATTAATATTTGTCGGTTAATACTTAGCGAGCATAGGAATTTCGCTAGGTAATCGCGACTTAACAATCGCGTATTAAACGAATATTACGCGATAACATGAGCGATTATTGCAAAACATTATTTAACATTAACAATACCGCACGCGCGCGCCTAATAGTAATATTCACCGTTCAAAAAAGCGTAAGTACAGTGAACGCCAGTACCGTCAGACGTATTTCACGGAGTATGCGAATTAAACGCTACTTGAAATTTTTTTTGACTAGAGCCTGCTTGGCGGTCGCGGGTTTGCCGTTGTCGATTAAATCTTTCGCGGTGCTCGAAGCGGTCGGCCTCATGAACCCCAACGATTTATTGTGACCGGCGGCCGGCGCGCCGCCCGTCGCACCGAATCTGCCCTGGTTCTCTTTGAAACTGGTGCTCAGCGATTTCGGCTTCGGTTTGTTTACGGGGACCGCGATGCTACTGCCGCTGCTGCTGCTCCTGCTGGCGGCCGTCGGCGTGTTCCGGTTGTGCAGTTGTAACGCGCTCAGCGGTTTTTTGGCCTTCAGCTCTGTCGTCAGGTCGTTGATGGCCCGCGTATACGTCCCTATCCCCGGGATCCGTTTCACCGTGCTCGCCGAGTTCGAGCTGTTCAGCGAGCTCCTCGAACTGCGCAGGCTGCTCTTAGAACTCGACCTTTCGACGGGTTTGGGCGCCGCCCTGCCGGCTGTTTTAACCAAAGTCGGCCTCTGGACGGCGGTCGATTTGACGACGGGCTTGGCCGCGTTCGGGGCGACTTTCGCCGCGGGTTTTTGAACGGTCTGCGACGGAGTCCTGAAACTACTCGTGCGCTTTGGCAACTCCGTTTTTCTCACCAACACCACGGGTTTTATGGACGATTTCAGCGAACTGGTTTTTCGCAGCGTAGGCGCAACGGGCCCGCTACTACTGTTGGTATCGTTGCTTCCGCTACTGTCCGCTCGAGCTATTGTCTTCGGGATAGGTTTTTCGGATTCAAAGTTACCCGACGAGGTCTCCTGACTCAGCGACTCGGCCGACATTAAACTCACAGACTCTTCGAAACTAAAAAACAAAACGAGAACAAATTAATACAACGGTCCATCGAACAAAATATCGATTGGACAAATTATAATTAATGATTTACCCTTCATCGTTCAAGTCGTGTTCGTTTCTGATTTTTATGGGCGGCGTTAAGGCTTGCACTCTTATTTCCGGGATGAACTCGCTTTTCATATTTATCGTCGATTCGTCATTATCGTGGAGATTTATTTTAGTTACTCTGTCGAGAGGTTTTGGTTCTATTATTTGACTATTTTTTTCGGGAGTAAGCTGTCCATAGATTTTCACGGCTTTCATAATGTCTCCGTGGTCTACGACACTTTGGTTTCTAGTCGTCCTGGGCATAGACGAGTACAGTCGGTTCCTAGAAAAATCTGTAGTATCGTCGTCGGGTGTTTTGTACATAAGTTTCTCTTTCCACTTTTTCAGTCGAACGTCCGTGTCTTCGTTAGCTTTCGGCGATTCGTATCCTTCCGATTTCCGACCTAAATCCTCCTCGGGAGTTTTCCTGTATCTTCTGGTACGCCTAGCTGCAGAAAACCGATCAAACTGGCCATCTCCCAGTGTTTCTTCTTCAACCTTTTGAATTTTCGACGGTATCGGCTGTGGTTTTACAATTTGTCGACGTGATGTCGGCGGCGTCTCTATATTATCAGAATCGATATCGATTTTATCGGTTACATCTCCCGGATTCGTAGCGTCCGATGTTTTTCGTCTTGGAGCGAACGGCGGTAATAATTTTTCTTCCGGTGAATCCAAAACGGGTAACTGCTTTCTTAACGCAGACGGACTTCTAAGACGAGGTTTGATTTCCGGTGACTGATCCGTCCCTCGAATATAAACAGTTAGGCGATCTTGATTTGACACGTTCTGACCTAGTTTCTCGATAAAACCTTTCCTTCTATCTTCTTCTTTGATAGCCTAGAAATAAATTTTAAAATTAAAACATGTCACATAGCCCATAGGTACCTATGTTTTAGTTGTTTTTAAATATAAACTAACGTGTAAGGGTGTACTATGGTTATCGATATTAGATAGAGTAGTCGGTTTTTTATATCTTTTCATGTTAGTGTCTGTTTCTTCTGACGTGTTAGGTACATTCAAATTGGATTTACGCCATTGAGATTTATCTTTTACAGGCGGTTGAGCTTCTGAAAATATTTAAAATATTAGCGTTTTGATTTTAAACACCGGTGATTTTACTCACCAGCAATTGCTTCCATAACGCCAACGACGTCGGTTTTATCAATAGTCGGTCTCCAGTCCGAATACACTCTTTTGTACCCATCGTTATTATTGGCGTTGGCCAATTTTCCTTCGGGTAATGTATCTAAAATACTACTACGACCGTCACTTTCAGAATCGTTTTCTAAAGATCGTCTATTGTTTTGTACTCGTTGAGTTTTGCGCCGTAATTCGTCCGAGTCTTTATCTTCTTTTTCGTTTTCATGTAGCCACGCTTCGATCTTTTGCCTCCACGCTCTAAAATAAATATTATGTATCCATAAAGTAATATTACTTGTTAGCTTATTAATGTTATTATACTTTGGCCTAGGTTCCTCTTCGGGAGTTGATACAGCGGTAGACGGAATTGATTTCGTTTCCACTAAAGGTGAAGGTGAATTCGCACGCTCTCTGTCAGCACTAAAATCAGCACTCAATAGTTCCGGTCTCTTCTTGCCACTACCTCTAAACCTTCTTGCCCAAGATCGATCTAAATTAAATATTTTACTTTTAAACGTTTCCCATAAACGAATATGAACTAGTACATACTTAATTTAAAAATTGCAACAATAATACACATTAAACAACTGTAGATATTGTTGTAATTATTAATACGTACACGCAGTGGTATATACAGATGAGGATTTGGAGATCAGAACCACCCCCCCCCCCGAATAAACCTGCGTGCGCAACGGAATACACGATATTAGATTAAACTATTATGAATTAATAGTATGTACAATTTCTATGTTTTAACCAGGAATCGAAAGCATCGAATTTAATAATAATCAATATTTCAATATCAATAATAAATAAATCATTTTTAAAAATAATAATGTTTCAATACCTAAACTCCCCCACGATTTTCGTTGAATATTTGACACAGGCGGTACCGTTTCTTGATTAGACGTCCGTAAGAAATCCATCAACGTTACTTCGTCGTCTTCCGATGGCACTCTACTTCGTCTACGGCGTAGACTTCCGTTCGGCGTAACGTCTTAAAACATACAATTTATCGAATTAAGTATACCTATATCTAATGGAAAATATTCTGAATATATCATTATTGTTAAGTATTTTATACCTGGAGATAAATTATCTTCTTTGTTAGGATTATCGACAACGCCGAGTCTTCGTCTAACCAGAGCTGGCGAACCGGATACGGATATGTTGTCCTCTTCCGAAGTCACGGTCGTTGCATTATGTGGTCTTTTACCCTAAATTTATAAGCGGTACATAATGCGGTATAACTTGATTTTTACAATTTGCATTCAATTTCATCCCACATACCTTATCAAAACTTTTCTTATGTGGAAAACCAGAACGAATGTCGTATAAAATCGAATCAACTAGGTTACTTTCGACGTCGGAACCGTTAATTTGTTGATCGTTGGTCACTGTAAAATATTTAAAAAATATGTTACATAGCCATTACTAAATTAGAAATCAAAGTTCTAGCCTTCTAGGTATATGTTTGTCTTACATAATCGTTTCTTCACAGCTAACTGTTCTTCTCTTTGTCTTCGTCGAACCAACGCTTGTTCTTCTTGTACTTTTCTTCGCTCATTTTCAGCTACAGCTAATTTAAATTTCATACAAAAACTATGAACAATCCGGAAACATTCTTCCAATTTGAACGTGTTAACGTCTTCGCAAAAGAAATCCGCTAAAGTTTTCCTCATTGATTCCAATTCAGCAATGTCATTTTGTAATCCTCCGACTTGTCTTTCTGCGACCTATTATAATTATTAGGTATAGATATTGTTTTGTTGATCAAGTACAAAATACAAGCAATGCAAAATATTAAAACCTTTAAAAACTCAATCATTTGATTTTTAATATCTTGTTCGGTATTAGGTAACTCGATTTGTTTTCGTACAATTTTAAACTTTGAATCTAAAGCATTTATTTCGTTCTGCAACTGTTCAACAGTAGTCCTATAAAAATACGCTAAAATAATTAACTTATCTACAATAAATAATGAATAGAAAATTAATTCAAAATTAAATATCAATAATGTATGTAGCACACGATTCCAAGTTAAGAGTTTGGTAATATAGTATGCAAATTATAATGCATACACGCTAGTTGGAGTTGTAAACATTTTTTTAAATTTTAAATGAATGATTATTAAAATTCTATGAAGTATATAGAAAAATATCATAATTATAAAAATGTTCGATCAGAAAAGTTATCAAAAATATCTTAGTATATAGCTGCAACATAAAAATAAAGAGTTATACCCAGATATAAATTTAGAATATAAATGTTTTATCTGCGATAATTAATAACTAGAACAATACTTGTAAGCGAAATTATTAATATAAATAATAAACAAAAAAAAAAAAACCGTCAAGTGTACATATTTTTCGTGAACCATATATTATAAAATAATTATTTTACTTGGTAGCTTCTTCTAAGACGGACATCTCCTCGGGAAATTTAAGTAGATCTTTTCTATTTTTTTCGGCTTGCTGTCAAAAATATTAATAATATTATTGCGTTATTATTTTCGTTGGTTATTTGATAATTATTTAAATGAGTACATATAATCTATGTATAGGTAATACACTCACCAATGCGACATAATGTATAAGATTCATACCGGGTTTATTAGCTCTTATATCCGTGAGTTTTTGTAATGAACTTAATTTCACTCCTGCGGCTTTTCCCGCGTAACCACCCTAAATTGTAATAACTTTAATGTCACTATGAATTTCTATAAAGGTTTTACGTCTTTTTAACTTACAAAGTTCAAAAAATTTCCAGCGCATATCACCATGTATAAAACTTCTTGGAATCGTTTGTTTGTCATTAGGTCTAAAATACAATTTATTTCATTTCCATAATTAAAACAAATTCTGTAAACAACGATTGAAATTCTATAAAGATTAAATTCATTTTTTTACCTTCACCGGCAACGATCATTGAATTAATGCTTGGTTCGAGGTAACTCATATTTGATGCGAATTCCTCCTTTAATAACATACTTTCAATGCGTAACTTGTAACTAGAAATAAAAATTAACAAAAACATTATCGTTAAAAAAAACATTTAAAGATATTATGGTATAAAGGCGAAAAAAATCGAAGGTTAATTATGTAGTAGTATTTTTCTCACTTGGGAATGTCGATTAGTTGTAATAAGAATTTTTCAGCGTTTCCCAATTTGGTCTTATCTCCGTCAAAAGCTCTAAGCATTTCTAATTCATCTAGTTCCGGTAAGATTTTTAACAGGCCACGGAGTTTTTCCGCTCCTATATCATCGTGATCGCCATCTCTTATTAACTGTATAATATCTTCGTTTGAACTAAAAAAGAAAACCGTATGAAATTTGAGAAAATATATACGAGTAGGTGAACATTTTACCTCCGGAATTGTTTCAAAAATATATTAACGTTTAAACTTCGTTTTCCGTCTAATAACGCGATCTGAAATATTTACAAATAATAATGTAATAATGTAGGTATTTCCAAACTAATACGTCAAATTATAACGCAATATTGTTGGTTCGGATTTTATGAAAGTTTGAAATGATAATAATATATTGTCCTTTCACCTCTGTCGGTTCTTTACGCCTTTTATCGCATTCATTAATATCTTGGCCTAATCTGAAGTTCAACACTCCGCTTTGGCTAGCCGGTGCTGTGGGAGCTTGTTGACAAAACAAACCTTCCATTTCTGACCAATCGAGATCGGGCATGGGCGAGTTTTGATGGCTCCTAGCAACAAGCGACCATATATTATGGCGTCCGACCACCTAGATTAATAGATTGATATGTCATATAATTAATACAAAATTTAAAAAAATACAAATCATCATTGAAAAAAAAAAATAAAATTATCTATAGTATTTTATGATTTTAATGAAACGAAAAGCGTAATTAAAATAATGAATAATCACATTATTATGCGAATGATAACTTTATCTTTCCGTAATTGTATAGGCAAGTTATAGTATACGAACAAGCGACGTAATCTTAATAATATTATAATCAGATTAATTCTATCTTTAAAGATACCGCATGGCGCATAAAAAAACATACAAATCGCATAGTATCAATAATATTATTATTGTCTGAAATCCAAAGCATATTTAATTTATGTTTTGATCATTTATAATTGGACGACAAGATGTATCTGCGAGAATTGCATAAATATACTCGTGTATAAGGAAACGTATTGCGATTCTTGTTTAGATGAGTTTACTTTACGGCAATCGACGATGGACAAGATTAACATTATTATATAGTAAAATGATTAAATAACAGCTCAATATTATGGTGGATTGGATTAATGTCGAAAGAAAAAAATAAATTACTGAATAAACGAAGTCACGAAGACACGAACGGTTTAATGTAAACGGATAAAAGCAGATGTTAAAAATGTTAACACGATTTATAGGAAAGTATAGTAAGTATATTATGTATCACGCAAAAATAGTTCGCCGGGAGTGGATAATAGGTATGATAATTTTTTTATTAAAAATATCTTCTTTATTTTCCAATTACCCACTTAAGATATTGTTTTTTATTAGCATTGATTGGTAATTTGAAGGTAAAATATCATTAAAGGGCTAATTTTTTTAGTATACACAGATCTACAGACAATTAAAAAAAAAAAAAACATGATACTTCTTATGGGCGTGCTATTATTTGTGTACGTGGGTAGTCAGAAAGGTAGAATGTATACATATATATATATATATAAAAAAAATGATTCATTTTAAACAAAATAACGATTCTGAGAAGAGTTCGAGTACCTAATTGTTTTAAATTTATGGTGATTTGTACGATTTCATAAAAATTTAAACTTAAATTAGTTAAAATAAAAATTTGTATTAAGAATTTATGACTCTCGCGTTAAATTATCAAGCATTTTTACTGGGCTAAAAAATAATTATCCACATAAAACTAAATAAAAACTAAAAAAAAAAGGCTATATTATGTAGCTCAACAATTGCACCATGTTTAGATGGTACAAATCTAATATTAGGTATCTACGATTATTCTTACAGAATTACAAAAAAAAAAAAAAGTAAAATAAATACAAAATAACAGAAACTGTCATTGTGTAAATTTTCCTATGTTTTCCATTTGTTAATAAAACTATAAAGAAAATTAAAAATGACCCAACTGGATACAATTTTTACCAGAAACAACGTCTGTTATTGATGATCGGATCAAGATTTCCGGTAAAAAAGTAATTGTCTACAGGCAGAAAATAAGAAAAACCCCCCCAGCTCAGCTCAGAATCTGAAAAATACAAAGCACACGTTATTAACAAGTGGCTGCAACACTCACCTTGTTGTCGGGAATTTTATTCCAGTTGATGGTTTTCATTTTCGCTTTGGGCGTAGGGGTTTCTTGTTGCGGCAAAAGCTTAGCTGCCATGGACTGTGTCGGGGGCGGCGGAGGCGCATCCATCACGGTATTGGTAGACCCGTTGTTGCCCATGGTGACGAAGAGCCGTTTGTTGGCGTGCTGGGCTAATTCTACGGCGGCGGGTTGTTGGTTTAGGGGGAAGAACGGCGCTGGAGGTACCGGCGGCGGCGGTACGCCCATCAACGGGGGCGGCGGCGGCGGCGGCGGAGGTGGATTCGCGAACTGCGGCGGCGGGGGCGGCGGAGGCGGCGGCGGCGGCGGAGTGACCGACGTGGGTGAGGTCACGGCGCTCGGTGGCCCCAACGATGGTTTTCGTCCGCAACCGCACACTCGCAGTCCCACATCCCTAGGTTGGCTCTGGCCTAGGACGCTCGGGGTCCGCAACAGACGTGACGCGTCCTGCCGGTTTTCCAGCAACGTCGACCTGTGCACCAACGTCTCGGCCGTGTCCCAAATTATGTCGCTGACGGCCTCTCTGGGGTCGATCCGGAGCAGGTGTTGAAGTATGCTCAAGAACGGTATTTCTTGAGGAGTGTCCGCTACCTGATGTAAATCACCGACGCATGTTACGTATATTATAATGTAACATATAGTTAAGTATAATAATCGGCACATAATAATAAATAATAGTGTTGTCATCCATTGCGGGTTATTGTGCGTATTTCGTATTGATTTCTTTGGCACCAAAAACGGTTTATTCTATGTTTTTTTTTTCTTTTTATTAGGACTTTAAAAATAACAAAAACAAAATCCTAATGCACTGTCGGAAAACAATATTACATTTTTAGATCGTTCTTAAGCGTAACATAAAAATAGCAAATAATTGTTTTAATAATACGTTTCTTTCGAATTATTCAATAAAATCCTACAAGACTATACCTGGCACATTGTTTTGATTTATTAAGTATATACTTATATTTGATCACGCAATAAACAATTTGTTTAAATCTTCTCTATTGCGTGAAATCGACCTTGTGTTTTGTCTAATTTCGTTAAAATACTATAAGATAAAAATCGTGATATGTCGGAATGGAGAAAGAATAATTTATTTTAACGTTATACAAGGAAATGAAATATTGAAATAGACACATATTATATTTTAATAAGAGGTAATATAAGATGTATTTAATATACTGTAAGAAAATTCGAACAAACTATAGGTGTATACAATATACTATTACTACATTTTCCATAAATAAAGTACCCAGTTAAACACATCTTTTCGGGTTATGTATTATATTTTACATATTGAACCGCAATGCTGATTTGTTGTTAGTTTCAGTAAAAAATCAAGTCATTATTCATTGAAACAATAAACAATCACAATTATATTACTGCATAGTAACAATAAACGTTCGTTATTTTTATAAATCATTATAATAATAAGTACCAACTTATTATTATGTATTCATATATTTGAAAACTTTTTTTTTATCCTTACATAACTAAATACATAACAATCATAATAAAATATTGTAGAACAAGCGGTAAATTTTGTTTTAGAATTTAACTGTAAATAAAAATGTAATTTCATTTTTCGTTTATCAATTAATATTGAAATAATAATTTAAAACTATAAACTCGTGTCTGTATGTTAGCAAAAATCTCGAGAACCACAACCACATTACCTATTTCAATAAAACTTTTTTTGATCTATTCCTTATAATTACTGGAAGGTTATAGGACAGTGTTTCTCAAACTGGAGGATCAACAAAAATATAAAATATTGAGTCGCCTTATATATATTTAAGGGTAGCTGAAAAATTAAATATTAATTTCGGTGGTCGTGACGGTAAAAAGGTTGAGAAACACTACTATAGGAAAACTTTTATGGGCTCAAAGAAGGTAGTAGACTGTGATAAATAATAGGTGTAGAGGTTTAGATGTGGTTAGTAAATAAATAAATACAAATTTAATTTATTAATTATGTATATAAAATAATGTTATTATAAATACTATAGTAAGCAACTCTCGCAAACATAATTATTTTAGATTAATTATAAAAATTAAATATTGCAACGGCAACAAGTCAGATGTGAGAAAATTCTAACTTTATAGTGACGGGTTATGCTGCTCATTGGTGTTTTTTTTAATTAATTCATTTTTTGCATTAAACCATTTTATAGTGACGTACAACTATTACCTAAATATATATATGCATACGTATATGTAAAGTAAAACATGTTTTACCAACCTGTCTTAAAATAGCATAAAATACATCAACGTGAGAACTTATATCAACTCCACGAAACGGTACGTCTAAAATTTGCGATTCGTCGTTCTCTCGTTGCTCGTCGAAAACGTCCAATTGTACTCCTAGATCCGCGTAGTTTATCGATCCCTTCCTTGAATGAGTAAAAACGCACACGAAATAATTATTCGAACTATTTTGTATATTAGCAGACTAGCTACTACAGCGGTTAACGTTTGAGAACAACTGATGCTGGAAATAGCGATCGTTTTTATTCAGTTACTACGGAAGTTCATTTCTTTCTCGCCGACGAGCTCGGTGTACTATTCTTGTATATTTAATTCTGGACTCCAGTGCCAGTAACCCGCTACTATACAGTATAATATGTAGGTATAGAAAATTTGGCACACAGCCCGTCCATGTGGATCGGAGACATTATAAAATAAAAAGATAATAATAATACGAATGTCAAGTCCAAATTGTATTAAAATGAGATTTTAGATAGAATTTCTCTCAAAAATCATTTACTTATTTTAAATGTAAAATTATTCTCACCGATAATGTTCAACATTCGTCTAACAGATTTTTTTTATTTTTAAATCGATTCTATTTCAGTTCCAAGTTCCGAGTGGTGAAGTATCTTCTTTCAAACGTTACAAACCATCCGAAATACTAACCATTAAGAAATATCTACAAGAATTTTCATATCATCCATAAACTCATTTTTAAACTAGGTACTTTTATGAATTATATTATTAGTAGGTAAATTTAAAATTAATTGTCCTATTCAATTCTGATTAGAATCTATTTTAATTTAATGAATATTTCATACATATTGTTTTTTTTTTTACATCTATATAATATATATTTAATAAGGTACCAATATTTTTATTTTTCGTCTGCATATCTTCATAGTTTATTTGTATATGTGTAACAATACCATAGTTTTATTTCAAGAAAAAAAAATCCAGTTTGCGAGCAGAAATTTTAGATAAATAATGCAATTTGTTTTTTATTGTTTTAAATACCACTGAACAAAAAACTGACAAGGATAAATTATCAAAATGAAAAAAAGTAACAATTAAGATTCTAAAGTTAATATTAAGAAGAAAATCAATATGAACAAAGTTATGAACCGCAAAACGTAAAAATTGCTGATAAATCATCACCTAGAACTACCTTAGATAATATTTTTTATTGGTGGGAAAAAATTACGAAATTATCTTACTTAAAATTTGTAAAAAAAATGGAAAAAAGTCAAAAATATTTTTGGTCCATCCTAATACTTAGTAATAATATACGCAATATTAAATTTTATTATAATAGTTTAATGGTGAATACAACAATGTATCTATACATATTATTATAATAATATGTCTACAAATATATTCTTATGTTTGGTTGTTTTTAAATTACATGAGAAAAACAATTAATTATTTCGAAATGACAATAAATAAGTTCGTCAAAATTGTATAACTATATTATATATTATAGTCGCGCTATAAACAAGAGTAATTAAAAAAGAAAAAAAACATTGGCATCGTTCCTAAATCCTGAGATATTTTCATATAAACCAATAACATGCACTTTGATAATGTTGTTTCATTATTATTATTTATTTTTTTTTCTAAAGGTTTTACTATAATATTATGCACGTTCGTATAAACTAAAACATAGTTGATTAGCATTTAAAATCCATACGATTTTTTATGGTGACATACAAAGAACTGAAGTATATTTTGTATTACAATATCTACTCGTAAATATTCTGTGTGCCAGTAGATTTTACCTTTATTTTTTAACTCTCTTCATTATAAATTATATAACATCTATGATCGATTTCCTATACTTATATATTATATGTGTATATATTTCTACCTAAAACATAAAAAAAAAAACCAATCTAGTAAAACCCAATTATTTGCTTTAATAAGAATCTAAAAAAAAAGTTAAGAAATGATTTATTACATAGAGCTAAAAACATAAGATCTAACTATATTTTGTTTGTAAAACTTCTGACCAAGTATATGCGGGAAAAATGCGAAAAAAAATAAAAATATGGAAATAAGTATTAACGGTTTAAAAAAAAATAATAATAAAACCATCGTTATTGCTGCAGCTATAAATACAGTACCAAACAGTTTCAAACATTTCTACAGTGCATTTAAAATACCTAAGGTACCTATGACAGCAGTTATTTACAATATCTAAATATGAATTCGACTATAAAATATACAATATAAAGATAAACGTTAAAAACTCGGACATTGTGATATGTTGCTCTGGTCGAATGACTATTTCTATAATGCACTAGACGACTCTATACCTAATCACCAAACTAATCTTAATATTCCTCGGAATTTTTTTCAGTTACCCGTCCTCCGGTCATGGTTGAACTATAAAATAATGTGTTAGAACGTTATAAAATGTAACGATTTTAGGTGCGGAAAAATAGAATCTTAACTCGAACTAAATATGAATCGTTATATTCTATATTTTGTATATGATTTATGAGTATTGAGTAATTTTGAAGAAAATTTGGGACACCCGATTAATTTAAGTAACCAATTTTTTTTTTTAAGAAATATTATTCTGTCCAATTACGTCTATACGTTTACATCACATAGTCAAATAAAACAAAATATCCAAATCTAAACACGGCTGATATTATTCGTGAATGAGATTTCATTAATATGTTTACAATATGTTGTAACTAATATGTTTACAATAAATAAAACGTGTTCTTCTAATTAATATATCCTTTGAAACAAAAGTTTAAAATTTAGAATGCATTAAACGTACCGTAAAGTATAAAAAAATACTTCGAAATAGATATGTGTAATGTAGGTATATTATCTAAAATAAAACCGTCAAGTTAATTATATTTTGTTTATATCAGTACGTAAACTACCTATAGGCAGTTACAAAATTAAATCTTTTGATGTATATTTAGAAAGAACAGAAATATTTTTGTCGACTTCCGGGTTTTTATTTATCGCCACGACCCTAAGGAAACCGAAGTAATGCCACTGTGTGAAAGACTAAGACAAAGTACTAATTGGTCCGTACGCAACCAACAATGTTGGCATCGTTCAGTAAAGCCATTACACGCATTGTTTTTCACCGAACGAATATCCTAAACAAAAATAGTTTTGAACGAACATTGCATAAACGTTCCCATGATAATGATTAAAATTGAACGGTAGAAGTAAACTATAACATGTACTATAATAGCAACGTGGTATGCTGCTGTAAAAACGAATGCTATCACCTCCATCAGTTTTTGTGCAAATTTAATATAAATGAAATTAATCACCTTAGTTCGTTCAATATCGGAAGTAATTTGAGACCTGAAATTAAAATTAAAAAATAATACATTAATAATAAGTACCTATAAAGAATTTTATAAAGGTCTTGATGGAAAAAAAATGTCAAGCTAAAATTGGTTAACAATAACTTCGTTCGTGAGTACGGTTTGTATAGTGAATTAAATTTTTACTTTTAAATAGGTAAACGTTTTTTTTGTATTCGTGTAAAAAAAAAAAAAAAAACATAATTTACAGATTATATTCTATACAAATATTATCGTGTATCAGTATAGAAAGTAAAAAATGTGTACAGTTATAAAATAGATTTTAATAATGATTATGGTATTATGCATTTTGTCTTCTATTTTCGAGTCGAATACAAAAATATAAAATGTATCTTTTAAAATTTTAGCCTAGACCAAAAAAAAAATCTAATAAAATCTGCTCTCGCCATTTAAGAAATCTCGCTACTAAGAAATTGTACAGCTTCTACATATAAGTACATATAGTGATTGTAATATTATGCAATATTCTAAAGAACATTATAAAAATTTGCACCAAACGTAGGTACCTACAGTTAAATGACTGAACTGATTACAAAATGATATACCTAGGTACCAAACTACCTAATAACAGTATGGTGTTGCACGAATATTCAAAAATCATATAGGTATTATGTTTTCAGTTAATCAAATCGTATTGAGAAGTTTTACAAACGCTCACCGATAAATTCGTTTCTGATTCTTATCCGGTCTCGAAGCTGTGGTGTCGATATGATGAGGCAATTAATAAACGCCACAATTGCCGTTTGATAATCCGCTGCCTCTTGGCCTTTGGACAGAGCCCATTGTAACTCACGAACAACGATTTGCAATCGGTACCTTTCATTTTTTTGATCCTAGAAAATATTTAACATTTTTTTGTTTCTGCAGTTTACAGTGATCATGTTTAGATAAAGTAAATGATATAATATTGTGCAAACAATATTATTATACAATAGATTGCATGAAAATGCAATTTTATGTATTTTCCCATGTAGAAGTACCTATATTGTTATATTATTATAAATAACATATAAGTATCAAATCGTGTTATACCCATATAACAAAAAATAATAACAACAATAAAAGCGGAAAAAATAATTATACATATATATATTTATACAGAAATTTGAATAAATTATTCTAGTAAACGATTACACATTTTGATCAAGGTAATAATATTATTAATCACTTCTTGTAAATATAATTTAATAGTCTGGACTTGTATAGTAATTGCTTAAAATCTCGAGTATCTAGTTAAAATAATCGCTATATTTCTTTATTAATTTTTTGTTTTATATAAAACCCGAATATATATAATTAAAGATCAAATTGAAAAAAAAAACAAGTTTATTCTCAGATAAATATTTATAATATGTTTATAATTCAGATATTATGACAGAAGTGTGACGATTATCGAACACTCAATACAAAAATATTGAGTTTGAAATAAGTCGTAAATAATTTTTTATAACTATAATATAATGCATGTATTCCTTCCTACTGCAATAGCAAATATTTTATTAAGTAATAAAAAAATAAAAACAATTATTTTCCAACACATACGTACTATTTGGTAAATGGGTATTTCCTCCCGTCTGTTTACGTTGAAATAAGATATTATTCTACCATATTTATTAAACATTTCATTGGAATTTAATTTCTTTTTATTTGTCTAATTTATACATGAAATAAAATAAAACAGAATAAATCATTTAATTTGGATTGATCATTGTTTATTTAATACAATAATAACTACTTTAATAATAATTAACAAAATCACTTTAAACAAATAAAAATAATGCTAAAATATTATTACAGAAAAAAAAATACTGCATTGTGTAAAAATTCTTTGATATCTGATTCAGTTTTAATTCATCCCTAAACACTTATAAGTCTTTTATTATTTTTATTTGTTTTATAAAATCAACCGTACCTACGATGCAGTTTGGATGTTTAAATGATTAAATGCTATAATAATGAATTTCATTTATCGATATTTGGAAATTTATTATGTTTTATTTTATAACGCATTAAGACAAAATTAGACATTAGACAAAAAAAAAATGTATACCATAATGTGTAAAAACTATTGTAAAACCGAGAGGATAAAATATTATCATTAAACAATATCCCGAGATAAAATCTCCTATTCTACTGAAAATAAGCGGGAGGGTGGATTGTTCGGGGGAGGGGAGGATTTTCTAATAACCAAACACTACTGCACTGTCTAAAATATTCAATTTCAAATTTGTTTATTTAATACATGTATATCTATATATTTTATTTAATATAATTTAGGTACATTAGATAAGGTATATAATAATATACAGTCGTATTTATTCTCATATAGGCACATCGAATTATTAACATCTTAATATTATGCAATGTATTAATTAATACATTAACCGTTAAGAACAAAATCATCAATAATATTGTGATACACATTCGTCATGTAAGTAAATAGGCGTAGAAAATGGTATATATGATAATATAATACAATATTATTATGGTTTACTTGCCTTGTAATGTTGAAGGGTATCAAGTGCTCTGGCGTGACCTTCTAAATTGTAAACGCATAACGCGGATAGCAACTCCAACACTTGCTTTTTTACAGTAACATTGTTAGTGTCCAAAGCTGCAATAAAAGAAATTAGTATTATGTATTTATGTGGGTACCTACGTATACGTCAATACCGCGATTAAAATATAATACGAAATCGTAAGAGCGTAATATTTTTCGTATAGACAATATAATTTTCGACGACGACAATGATTATTTCTGAACGTGACAGCGATTTCTATCAATTAAATGTTAGGTACCCACCTATCTAATACCGTAGTCGCTAGTGTTTTATAATTACGCAGGATGACTCCGAGCAATGAGCCTTACACATTTCACGAATAATAAACAACTAAACGCTCGAAATTGGCGGTTAGGTTAGGTGTACACTCCTGTATCATATTATAGTATAACATGTTATTTGCAAACGTGATATTCCGTTTCGGTTTTAATTGTTTACCATAATAGGATAGACCAATAATAACAAATGACGGATTTAAATTTTTGTTTAACTTGCATTAAATAAACATGGCGTATGCAAAATTGGCGTACTTGCCACCATAACTTACAAGAAGATTCGTGTAGAAGAGTTAATTATATATTATATATACATGCCGAATTTAAATTTCAAATCTTGACGCCACTTAAATATAATTACCGACCTACCTATGTTTTTAAGTAGGTATACCTAGCTACTTATGCGGGTACCTATGGCGAAAATTCTGACAGAGACAATTTTGTCCAGAGGATATAATATAGTAACAATTTAATTATTATTGTGTTTTCACAGTATATAATATGTCATAATTTGTTTCTTATTTGCGAAGTGAACTTTCAAAATTTAACGATTAAAAAGTAGAACAATTTTGTTTAAAACATAAATAGTTATACCATTACCATTTATCACTCAGCATACCTATAAGTTTTACTAAAATAAAAAAAAAATAATAATAATAATAATGTTAAAATAAATGTTAATATAGTATCCTATAGTATTGATTTATCTTTGAGTAAAAAATGCTTTTACAATTATTTTTAACCAGCTCATTATTTTAAATATTTTTAATGTTATACTTGTTACGAAGAAATAAATTATGCGAAGTTAAATTTTATAATATGGTTGTTTTAGAGAAACCTGCAGTGGTGTTATATTATATACGAATATTTGATATGTAAAAAAAAAAATAAACTATAACTATATATTATTATTGGTGTTAATATATTTAAAACGCGGACGGTGATTTAGTGCAGGTCTTATATTATAGGAAATTTGTCTTGTTTCGTTTTCCTATACTTGCACATAAGAAAGTATAGTATATTATAATTATTTTATATTCACACGTATAATTTGTTATCGTATTTGAAAAATATTCTGTGTTTTATTCTAGTTTCTCTCATTTAGCCGTGTTTTAATATTTCCACCTCATCAAAAATTGACTCTTTAATACATATGACTCTGGACCTGTGTCCAATTACTAAATAATCTATCTATTGAGATACATTAAATTTGTAGTTATACTGCATTTACTTTTACTGTCTCGAAATGTGTGAACTGAAAAAAAACATACATCTTTATAAAATATAAAATCACACAATACAGTTATAACTCACTTATTCTATTATTCGTTTTAGATTCTGAGTGGATCGAAGAAGCTTATGGTTGTACAAAGATGTTTTTTTTTTTTTTTTTTTTTTATCTATACGCAAATATTCTACAAAAAGTCTTGCTCCGATTTTTAAGTGAAGCAACTTTTCTAAAAAGAAATCGGACCAGGCAGGTACTTTATAGAGAGGTTGTTTTTCGATTTTCCCGAGAGATTTCCCAGCAAATTTGAAAATCCGGGAAAAATATGGGAAAACCGGGAAAAGCATAGGGAAAACGGGGAAAATCGGTACATTAAACAAATATTATTAAAGAAATTAAATAATGCCTATTTAATTATTTTACCATAATATGACATATATATTGTTGACAAAGTATCATTATCAACTGAACTCTCAGAATCATTTTTCGTTAGCAATGGTTTATCGTTGCTTACAGGTATACATTAAATTACCTATAACAGTGGCTGCACCAATCCCCATTATACTAGGACAGCTTTTTATAAAAGAATTAGTAAATACATTTAAATATTTTATTAAACATCTCCACATTAGTCCACATCAGTAGTTAGTTATCAACTACTTATTACACATTAATTTACAAAATATTTAAAAAAAATTTATATAATAAATCAATGATATTTTAAATAAAATAATATTTGAATATCATCATTCATCAAATGTTAGGAATTATACACATATTTTGTACATTTAAATTTTTAATTGATTAAATTAAAAAATTCACGAGTTAATTCATGTAATATTTAGTATAACCAATAATTTAAATTAACATTATAATACAATAAATTATCAGATTTATTTTGTCTTAAATCGACTGTTTTCTTTTTACCGTGTTTAGCATTATATGTTATGTAATGTAAGAACGACCTGTTGTCGTTCTCTGTTGTACCATGTACATAAGCAAAATAAATATAATTAACGCTAACATTTAATATCAACCCATTAATTATTGTTGTCGACGTAAAATTACGTTTTTTTTTTTTAAATATATTATATACTTACACTTTTGATTAAAAATAATAAATAAAAAAAAAAAGGAATATTTTACATTTAAACAATATAGCCGCAGAGAAGCTTTAGTTTCCAATAATGTATCAAGGGAGATGAAAGATTGTGCATGTGCACTGGGTGCCACAATTTTATTGGAGTCCCAAAAAACCTTTCTTCTCCCTCGCCTTTATCTAACGATTTGGGGTCGGCCACTCTCATCTTAAACGTCCACTAAACTCACATCATCCTCGCACATACCCGTCGTCCACCATATCTTTTTCAATCGGATCCAATCACCAATTTTTCAGTTTTCCTCTCCCCTTCTATCATTCTAGGATTATTTTCATTACAATTCTTACTGCTTCCGATTCCTCTCACAAAAAAAAAAAAACATTTCGAATTAAAATTTGTATTTAATTTCTGCAACGGCATCAATATTTTTGGACAAAAATTATACAATGATGTGATTTGTACATCAAAAATGTATAAGTAAAGGAATTTTTTTTTTTTTTTTTGGGGGGGGTGGTTGATTGTACCATATGTTATTTGGCTACAAGTATGATACTAAATGCACCTACTTCTTTGAAAAATGTTTTGAGGAAGTAGGTAACAATAGTTATCGGGCTCAAATCTAAGCTCCGTTCAGAATCGTTTTTCATATGCAACAATTATCATGTTCAAATTGATTAATAATATATCATATATTAAATATACTGCTTGGTTAATCGAAATACGCGAAACGAGACGAATGAACAAAAAACCGGTCTGTCGTCTATGCATTAGTATATCAATTTTTCTTAAATATAAATATAAAAAACAAACAATTTACAAACTTTTATAGATAAAATAAAGTAATTTATATTTATATTTACTTAAAAATATTTACAATTACCACAACACGTAGGTACCTATGAAGATTTTGCATACAAATATAAACATACACTTCTAACAATAATATGTATTGAATACTCTAAATTAAGAAAATACAGAAAATGTATTTAGTTCATCTTTCAATAACAGACACATTTGTTCTGGTCGTGATGACCAACTGGAGCCAAACGAAGGCCACCTAACCTTATAGGTTTACTTAATTAGTACATAGTGCATGTATGATTTGCTTGTACTTTCTTATTATACGTCTACTATGAATCATAACCATTTTAACATCTACAGATGAAAAATAAATAATATATATCCTTTTAAGCACCTTATAGAAAAAAAATGTGACTATTAATTCTATTTACATTATTATTACCTAAGGAGGCAAAAGTTATGTTAGAAATCTTAAATAATTGTATTGTGAGTTGAAGGGTAAATATTTTTTAATCTATTTATTATAAGCGTAAATAGGTACTAGTACCGCTATTACAACGGGACTCCACAAAAGTAAGATTTACAAAAAAAAAAAAAGCAGTAGATCACAGCTGTTTCTATTTTGTTATACGTTGTCACTACGTTATTCTAACCGGAGACACTTTGAGGAATTTTCACTAGGTGAAATTATATTGTGAAATAAAATTAAGGAATCTGCCATACTACCCCCCCCCCTTCCTGGTTTCAAACAAAATTTTAATTTTTCAAATATTTTATTACAATATTAGTGTCTACTATCTAGACAGTATACACTCTACTGTCACACACGGGCTCAAATTTTTCTAGTAATTTTGCTGGGTCAACAGTGTTTTGAAAATGTCACTACCTATAGAAATTCTAATATTAGTATCCGGTAAAAATCTCAAGTCTACAATTATTTCTTACCGACTTACAATACAAAAGACGAACATATTTCGCACGTGAGTGTAGCCACTGTTGTAAGTGGCAACTTGGGAGGGTAGGATACAGAAGGGAATTTAATGTATATCTGTAAGCAACGATAAACCATTGCTAACGAAAAAACGATTCTGAGCGGAGTTCAGTTTATAGTGATGCTTGAGTATAGAATAAAGAAGTATAATATAAATATTAATAGTTAAAAGAATGTATTGAAATCGAAATTTATTTTATTTTAATATACCTCGATCTATTGCTTTTTCAATAATGCGCATTTCCATAACAGCAATGATGGTTTAAAAAAAGATTAAAATAATAAAAACTTAATAATAACAAAAAAATTATAAAAACGGTTACTAATAACAATTTTATTTTTAATCTTTCAATCTTTTTTAACCTAAAGAACCAGGATTTCCTCATTATTTCGAAAATTAATGAGAGTTTCAAAAAAAGACTTTTCTAAAGTATTACCCAGAGAACATTTTCTTTCAGTATAAGTGCTATACCTTATAATCGGAGTAAGCTTTCTGGTAAAAAAAAGTATTCACATAAAAAAAAGAAAAAAAACATTATTTTAAATCCAATACATTCCTTGCTCCACTCAGAATCTAAAAACAAAATTTAAAATAACAAAATCTAATATTGTGTAGATTTTCCCATTTTTTTCTCGATTATTAAGAAAACTATAAAGAAAATCAAACAACTTACCTCCCCGATATAATAACGAGACAATTTTCTGCTAGACCGACAGGTCTCGGATGCCTGAAGGTAGTAATCGGAGCAAAATTTAGGTAAAATATAGAGAGAAATTTAATTTATATCCACACAACGATTAATCATCAAACCATGAGATAGATTAAGATTAATCATTGTAAACGATGTTAATTTTTTCAAAGCCTTGAAATCCCCTTTCTTTTATTTTTCCAATTCGAGCCCTGCGTAGATGGCATTATCTATATATATACGATTGTATATACAATCAATAATGATAATATGTAATATCATCTACAGGCTGAGAATCTAAAAGTTGGTTACTTTAGCAGATTAACATTTAATGAGATTTGAAATTCAAAAAATGTATAATATAATGTTGAACAAATTATAATATTATTTTTTTGTTTTGTAGCAAGTATAACACATCGGTGAATTATAGAAATAGATTAAAACTATCATGTTAAAATCAATATACTTTAGGAACTTATATCTATAGAATAAATAACCTGTCTATAAATCGCTGACTAAGCTATCTATATGATGCTTACTCACGAATTCACGCGTAATAATAAATTTAATATTTACGAAATTTGTTATATATAAATCATTACTTTATCGTCTGAAGAATACTATAAATATGCACGATTAAGTAAGATTATTTGTCAATTATATTTTATTATAATTAAGTACCAACAATTAGTTTTGAGTGCTCACGATATTAATTTACGAAACGTGTAGCTACTCGTATTAAAAAAGAATCATGGAGTGCCTATAATTTTCCTAATGGACAAAACTAATTCTTCAACCTCATGCGCTACAATAATTAATATCGCTTTTAAATAAAATTATAATAGCCAATTACTTAATAATTAATTAAACGCTATATGCCTAGGTAAGTATCGGACTTAGGTAAATGAACCCGTACCTAGTGATCCGTGTAATTATTAACTGAGTTTAATAATTTGGTGTTCGGCGAAGTGGAATAAAATAAAATAATAATAATAAAATAATAGGTAGGCTGTAGATTTCGGTAGGTATTTAGTGTTTACTACAAACATAAAAAAAAGTAAAAAATAGACTCCTAACATTATTTTTAACGCTTTTCCATTGTCTCGTTTACATAGGTAGGTAGATACTATTATAACAATTTATATTTATACACGAGTGATATTAAAACTTAATTTTACTTTTATAATGGGCCTATTTATTTTTGATTTAACGAATTACAAATCTGAAATCTTATAATCCAACAGTTTTCTTTTTTTCAAAAATAGGTACCTACAGCTATAATTAGTTTAGTGGATCTAACAAATTGTTTTAAAGTCGCAACGTTGTAATTTTTTCAACAATACTTGAGTAACGATTAGTTTTTTTAAGGGAAATAACCTACTATGTAGTCTCTGCGAAATTGAATTTGCTCTAGATAAATATGAAATGGGTAGTTGTACAAAACAAAATTACCAAGCAGTAATAATGTACAGTATCTATATATATGAAATGTATTCACCTCGTGCGGAGGCCATTTGTGTATAATTTCTGAAAACGTGACAAATTATTGAAAAAGAAAACAATACTTACTTAATTGATTTACTTAGCAAATAGTTAAATATATAAAGACAGCCCCTGTTTTTATTTTATTTTTTTTAGCGGTCCTCGATGCGTGAGATCAGAAATTAGAATTAGCGAAGTACAGAATTGAGAAATACTTATTAGAGTAAAGAAGTATTATAATATACAAATTAAAATGCAGTTATTAATTACAGATTACAACAATTTGACAGAGAACAAAATTCCAATTATTTAATTATTTATAGTTTTCGAATTTGTTCAAAACGAGAATGCAAACAGCTATATATGAGTACCTACCTACTTTTATAAAAAGAAGAAACCGTCTGACTGACAAAATCAAACACACAGCTCAAATTACTGCCAAAAAACTGAAAATTGTACACAGAAATTTCTAATGAAACGTAGACAACTTTTAAAAAATAATTTTTCAAAATTAAATCTCTAAGAAGTTAAAGGGAGCTAAAATTTTGAATGCGATTTAATAACCCAACCAATTGTATAGAAAATCTATCGAATAAATAGTAAAATACATTTTTGGCGGTCGATTTTTATAATTCTACCCTTTAATGGTTAAAAAAGGATGTGAAAATCGGTAAATGGACATTTTTCCTCCGGCTATTTTCGAGTAATTGGTCATTTTCTTTAAGTAAATTTTTTAATATGGTCATTTCCCCCACATATATTTTTGTAAATATTTTTGTTTTGGAAAGCATGTTTTAGTGTCGGATTTTCATTGACTAAATGTTACAATAAAAAGTATTATTATAATAATAGGTTATATTTAAAACAAATTAAGTAAAAAAAAAAACCTAAAACAATATAATAACTAAAAGATTTTTTAAATAAAATATAAATAATATTTTATTATAATAATAAAAAAATAAAAAAATGGTTAGGTATCCTACATGTATAATAATGTTACATTTTGTAAAAATTCTCTGATTTTTTATTTTACACATATATTTGTAAACGTTTGTTTATATTTATTTGTTTTTTTGGAAAATTAACCGTACCAATGTGAATATTTAACAATTTAATTTCTGGAGTGCTTCAAGTATGTAATTGATGAGTTCTTATTAAACATTTAAATTTAATATGTTATACCTGCATACATAATACAATAATTTATTTTGCAATATAATTATATTTATAGAAACATTTAAAAACACGTTTTGTTTTATTTTATCTCACATTAAGACAAATTTGTATGAAAATATTCAAATAGATATTTTTTATATGTACCTAAACAAATTACACTGATAGTAGCCAAGGGGAAATTAGATAATATTCGTCAAAGTACAAAAAAATAACTCTTTATGATTAATTGGAACGACGCAGAGTTACAACATAAGTAAACAACTGACGATTTTGGTTTTTGTATTTTGGAGAAAATTGTTGTTCGAGAAATTATTAAAAATATACCTATATAGAAAAATAAACGCATTATCAAACGTATCATAAATTTAATACACACATTGAAATATGCATTATTCTTTTAATCTTTTAATTCTAAATTTTCTGATTTATCAACCAAACTGTGAATACAAATAATTTTGAAACACTCATCATTTAACAAACTAATGTATATTTTATTGTATAACTATCAACTACCGAAAACGTATGTTTTTTTTTTTTTATCGAACATAATATCGGTTAATTAAAATTTCGATTGATTCTCATCGATTATATTTCAAAATATTTATAAACTCGTATTATAAATATACAGTCCAACGTCAAAAACCTTGGCCAAGACACCTTTAACGAAGGGCTTGCCGCACCCAAAAAATTGCACGAGAGAAAGAGCATAAACAGTTACAATGTTATTAATTCAATATATATATATATAATGTAGAAATAGTCGTATATTTGAGAACATCGCCCACTTAAGAAGAGAGTGTCGTTCATTTGTGAATGAACTTGTGTGCAAGATTTGAAAAAAAAAACTAGTCGTTTACCTCCACAAGACATCGCTTAAAAAAAAAAAAATATCAAGTGTTAACACACACACGAGAAAACAATGGATTATAATCAGACCCACATGGATGCGCGCGGTGATTATTATTCATATATTTAAAACAAATGAGGTAATTAGCTCTTTTTGGCAACACATTATACTTAACAAATATATGTATATAAGAGGACCTTATCTAATAATATTATTCAAACAGAGCCACATGAAAGTCCTACTCTCAGATCTTACTTTTGTTCTTCTCCAATAGCAACAGGTATTAAATTATATTATCGGATCACACATTTTATTTTAAATCAATAATTCATGTGTCTTTAATCGAGTAGTACCTATGGGTATATATATATATATATTGTAGCTTATAATTTACAATTTATTTAAATGTATATACTTTATTATTTACCTCGCGGTATACCCGACTCGTTGTTTTATTCATTGCCCTGCAGATATATACTCTAAGATACCAACTTATGATTAACTTAATAAAATAATAATAATAATATAAGATTAGAATAGTAATTAATTCCGGTTTTAAGTACATATTTGCTGTTCTATTCACTTATGATTTACTATATCTATATTTATATCGATGCAGATAAATATACCTAATTCATAATACCTTATGATGCATTATTACTTTAAACATAGATAAACGCATTGAAAAATTAAAAAAGATAAAGATTCGAAATGCGTGATTATTCGCATAAGAACACAAAAAAAAGGTAACTTCCTAAACAAATATTTCTTTGATAATAATTATAAATAATATATACTTATATCTCTGTACTGGATCTTATTTCCTAACGTGTAAAACGTTTCTACATTCAAGTGTACAAGTTGTATCATATAGAGATATAATATAATGTCTATACCTAGTATAGATTCGACGGTATTGCGCAAACATTTCAATTAAATCGAATTAGTAATAATTTAATAATAGTAGCGGCACGTTAAAAGGATTTACCTAATATGGAATAATCACGTTTACAAAAAAAAAAATATTTATACGTATAACATACAAAGGTAATACCTATGTCTATATAATATATAATATGCGTATTCGTAAAAACATAAACTAGGTACCTATATAATAATATACGTTCGATAAGAGTGTCCGAGTGTTAATTAACGGCAAAGTCTGTACGGGAAATTGTCACGGCGGGACGAACATCTGGTTTGTTCGGTACAAACAAATCTATTGTATACCTATAAAATATCGAACTTTTTTTTTAGATTTTTGTTGATTCAGCGTGGGGTGCTCTCGTCGGCCGTAATAGCGTAACAGCTCTCTGGATGCAGCGAAATAGTTTTACTGCAGTTGTAGGTATGATATTATTATCGTCGTACACAGCTGATGTGCAATGATGGTTAAGCAACTACAACGGCTGTTTTATACAATAATATTATAAAGACGGCAATGAAATAATGCGAGACGTACGTATAAGTAATATTATATTATACAAAAATTCGTTGAAAAGATTACATAAAAAAAAAAAATAATAATAATAATAATAATAATATAGGCTACCCGCGTACCTATATAGAAAATGCACACGGCAATATTATAAGAGTTTTTAGACGGTTCGGTCGGTCTCTATGGGTATGTAGGTGTTAAAACTGGTTTTTTCGCCAAGAATTATATTATAGATACACGTAGTGACGTCACGCTACGCGTACTAGTCCGGCTACCTGACCGGGCGCCCGCGGTTTCATTGAAGTTTCCAATAGCCCAGAAAAATATCATTAAATCCAAATAATTCTTTAAACATAAAATACACGCCGTCAAGCACTAGCTACAAAGATAATTAAATCAAATTCAATTGCCTACATATTATATTCGCTCTTGTATTTTCTAGAAACGTAAATCGCAATTATACGAAACTTGTATATAGGTACGTAATCAAATATTGCATACGTATAATTGATAAAAAATTTATTGTTCAAACGAATGTCTAAATGAATCATTTAATATCATAAACATATTGTAGGTAATCACCAAATAAATCGTTTGTTGTTGTTTTTTTTTTTTAATACTACCTCTACCTATACCTATAGTATTTAATTTTAATTTTAATTGAATGAAATAATTAAAATCTGTAATATACCTAATGACATCCATACAATTTACTTAAATAATATTGTATAAATAAAATACTATTAAAACGCGTACTTTATCTATAGGTGATGACATATAATCAGGGACGGATCCCTGATTGCTTAACCATGCTATAGCACCCACTTGATTTGGATGTTGACCTTTTTTCGTTGAGAAATTAGGTATATAATTTATTATAATACATGTGTAAAATTATAATAATACAATTAATAGAAAGGCGAAGTTACTAGTTATAAAACTGGTTAAAATTAATATTAAACAGTATTTAATTAAAATTTAATATTCTAATGAATATACTTTGGTCAGGTTTGTTTTACATAGCTAAATAAAGACAAATTGTTTTCAAATTATAATATGTTTTGTTATATTGTAAGCATCAATGAATAAATAATTTGGGCGATGATTGCTTATACATGCATATCTAGGTAATTAAATTACCTACCAAATAACTGTATAGCAGTTTAGCACCACCCATAAAATGATTTTATATCCATCCCCACCTATGAAAATTGTATTTAATTTCGTTATCACGGCAAATAACAATAAATAAAATATTATCGATGGGGATAACATGCAACGTGAAAAGTCTCAACAATTTATATTTTACATTTTTACTGTACTTATCTATACTTTAAGTCCCTATAATACAGATGGGCGAAAAAAAATCTAAAATTTATAATTTGATACTCGATACCTTAATTCAAAAATAAAAACAAAATACAACTATTAATACATTAATCATTAATATTATTTATTGTTATAAAACACTATTAAGAATTATTTAGATGCAGTACTTAAAATGCATGTAATGCATATGATTACTACTGTACACATCCCCACCGTTTCCCATGAAACAAATATTTACATAATTTATTATTAATTAAATAGATAATATCGAATATCCAATTAAATTGTATTGTGTATCGTGAATTGTAACTGAGTGCATTTTTAATAACCATAAAAAGAATTTTCCGAGAATAAAACAAAATAAAGGCTCTAGGGGATGAAGTTTTGAGAATTTAAAAAGATATTTAACTTAATGACGGTAAAATACCACCAGTTAGAAATTCCAAAACTTCTAAGTTACTGCATGAAAAAATCGGAAAAATTATTGAGAATTTTTAAAAATATTAAATTAATATCATTAGGTAGAAAATAACATACATACGATACAGCTAATACATAACTTACATTAAAATAGTAAGTATACTAATCGTAAATTGCACACTACTAAATTTGCCAATGTATATAATTTTAGGCACTGTTTATATGTAAAAGGAAAACAGATTAAAAATAAAAATAATGAAATACTTTATTTATTTAATCTAATTAAAATCACAACGTAGTTAGGTATAACGTTAACATTTATTATTTTAACATAATAAAATATCGAAATCGATACCAAAAAATTACCTATTTTTCGATATTCGATACTGTCTTAAGGTATCGAGATTCGAGGTATCGAATAGCTCATCCATACAGAGTAGGATCTATGATAATATGATTAAATGATTGATACAATAGAATACGTTGTGTTAGAACAGAACCCGATAGGAAAAAAACTGAGATGAGGCGTAAAGACCAAGTTAAAAAAAAGACGATGGATAGCTAGTGAATTGGTAACCCAAAATAAACAAATAAACAATTAAAAATATTAAAGCAATTGAAAATATTTTTTAAAAGATATTTTGAAGTTGAACTATATAATAGTATATATTTGAACCGTACAAATCAATTTATACTGAGAAAATGAAAAATCAATACTCGAATAATTGATAAATATAATATATTTAAACTTCTTTTTACTGTTCAACAAGATGGCAGATTTTTTTTTAAATATTTTCATAATAAAAATTATAGTTTTATTTCGTTTTTGCTCCGACCATACAATATACAATGATACCTACCTAATATACGAACAACTATAATCGTTTGATTTGCCTATAGAATATTTATTTGATAACGTGCTGTCCCTTATAACTCTACCGGGTCCTGGGTCGATATTTTTTAATATAGTTTCGTCAAAAGCGTGTTTCGGATAAATGTACGCGATAATAGTTAATAATATATAGTTTTGTTAAAATGAAAAAAAAATGAATTGTATCTTTCGATGCCATCTTTTGAAATCTATCGTTCAGAAAATATTTGAGAATATTACTTTCACTGAAAATTTGTAAACAACGCAAGACTTAAAAAATATGTTATCAACGCCTCGGACGATCATTCTATTTACATAACTTCTATTTTATCGTTTATAAAATAATGGGTACCTGTAATAATCGTTTATCTTAATATTACTAGGTACATAATATTATTATCGGTTGTAACCACAACTCTAAAATAATCTATATTTTGGAATCGACAACTTTGTCTGTTATGAGTTGTTATAATTTCTATTTTGTTTAAAACGAGCTGCCGGCGTTTTTATGTAAACACTCCTTATTATAAAAATTATGTCAATACAATAGACATAATCGGATTGTTTTTTTTTATAACAAACAAGTTTCCCTTTCTTGACCTTTCTTGCCAATACAATTTTCGATTCAAGGTATTTCAAAAGTTAGTAATTTCTATAAACCAAACATTTATAAATATTTAATACCATTTTTTTGTGCCTATAGGTATTATACTTCAAAGGAAACTGCCCATTTGCGTCTAAATTAAAAAGGTACGTTTTTTTCGATAGTCCGTTTACGTCAAATTTACTTGTATATACATTTGAACAATGATTTTAACAACAATAATAATAATCAATTTTTATTTTTAACATTATAATAGTTATAGTACACATTTCTTTAGAAATTATAATAAATTAATAAATTTGTTTCACAAATGCATTGTATTCCAAATAACTCACTAATTATCAATAATACAATTTCTTTTAAAATAATTGTTAATAATAGTCATACACTTATTATATAAAAATTATATTTATATTATATTCATAACGCGTTAATTGCATGACAAGTAAATATTACTATATTACAAGTATGTTAGATAATTCGTCATCAATCAATAAAAAATCTTTATCTTTAGGGTAATCAAATCTGTACGTTTAATGTTTTTTGAACATCAGACACAGACTTCGGATTAGAAAGGAGACATTTTTTTACGAACATAGCCAATTTCCTTAAATCGTATATTATACACAGGTAAATTTGGTTCAAATGGGCTGTCGGAAAAAATGTACCTTTTTTTATTTTGATACAGATGAGTTGTACCCAAAACGAATTAATTTTTCGGCGCAAATGGGTAGTTCTCACTTCAAACTCTCCGGCGTTTTCTTTTTTTTTTCATTGCATTATAATATTATATATGTGATATGGGTAACAAAAAAGATAACATTTCGACAAACATTTATATTGTATAACATATAATAATATTAAAAATTCATCTGATATTATCTGCACGGTCGTAAACCGTACCTAAATTGTATTTTATGCATTCAAAAATTTGGTCGACGTGCGAATAATATGGCAAGAGGTTGTCGTCGGGTTTTTTCGCATATACTTTTAATTGAACTTATTTTACGGTAAATCTTAGGCAACCGCAAACGAGTATTAATATATTATCATAATGCGTACCTACCGAACTATAACACAATATTCGTCCAAGACATTCACATAACATATAATTTTAAACTACATCCACGTGTATATAAGTACCTATACCTATCTACCTTAAAGGGTTTGTTTTTTATTTTCAAGGTCGATTATATTTTATAACATTACAAATAATCGATATTATCTCTATGTATTGAGCCGCGAGCTCTGAATTTATACACCTATACAGTGAAATATGTGTAAAATGTATTTTAACCGTATTATAATAATAATAATAATAATATGTAATATGCGTATTAATATAGTTTTCTGTATACATACCGTACAGTTTAATTCGACAAACAATATGATCATAATTTGTACCGATTAATACATACTATATGCCATATTATAACACGCCCCAAGCTAGGATTTGCTACTTCACACGCAATCCTGAATATTTTTCTCGGCGTGTTTTATAATCTTTTACTATATTATACCTACACCTATCGTCGTAAAATGAGAAATGTTACATGCAATAATACGATAGTATAGCATAACTGATTTCATTTAACCTGGCCCTGGCCACGAATACTACGGTATTCAAAATACTTGAGTAACGTCAGTATTGATAATTAATAATATTATTATACGATTAATTAATATTATTATGATTTCGATCGAGATATATCGATCATTTTGTACACATATATAATATATACGTTAGTGTTTTATACAATTACCTAATACCTAACCTTCCATACGAATGCAATTATTCGTATCGCGGTACAATAATGACTTACTATAGTTACCGTATTACTATAATAATATTGTATGTCAAATATATTATCAAACAAATATTCATTTAAATCAAAAATACCTGTATACTCGTGTAGTGCAATTGAAAAAAAAAGTAATTACCTGTTGCTAGTTTCGCTGTGTACTCTGGATTCTCGACGATGTAATCAAGTCCTATTCTAGACTCCATGTCTAGATTTCGGTACAACTCTTTCGAGCAGCCATTCTGAATATTATCCTTTTGTTGTTACCGCGTGCATTTATCTACAAAACACATACAAAAAAAAGTATAAAATATTTAAATTCCATTCACAAGTACTGCACGAGTTGGCCTATATAAACACTTAACATTAGCTAAATGTCTATGGCGAACGCGGTAAACCGTAAATCTATAGGCATGAAGTGAAAGTGACAATATACAGCGATTTTGAAGATCAACACTATGACAGAATTACCAGAGAATTAACTATTGGAAATGGCGAGTATATACTATTTATATTATATGTCCGTAAAATTTAACTAACGCGCCATGTAATCTAGTCACAGTGTATTACGTTAAAACATTATAGTGTTTTAAGTATATAAATTAGACGTTGACAATAATTTAATAAAACTATCAGCTACCAAACAAATAAAAAATATTAAAAAATGTAAGCCGTACAATTTGTTTTTTTTTTTTTAATTGGACAGAATCATTGGTTGTATGATACGGTTACTCATCACGAGTACACTTCTGACTGTATTATTATACACGAATTTTTATCTTAGTTTATTTTTTTTGTTTTATTGTTTAATGATATTTAATTCAAATTTAAATGTTTTAAGTGTCTATTCGTAATAATTACTACATTATTGGTCAAACTATTTGTGCATAAATTCTCTCTTTCTTGAATGGCATTGAACAACACTAAAACACGACTAAGCCTCATGACCAGACATGGTAGTTACTGGAATAATATTATCATCACGCATGTTGCAACTTCTTTTTTTCGTGTCAATCTTCGCCAAGGACGCCACCGTAACCGTTTGTATACGATTGTTTATATGAGATTTGGTTTATGACATATTTAAAAAAAAAAAAAAAAACATTATCCGCTATAGGGTAGATACCGGAAAAGTCGATTGACTCCGAAATTTTAACATATACATAGGTAAGAGTAAAACAAATATAATATTTTAAAAAACCATTTGTTTTTAAATAGTTTAGATCATAATCGAAATTACTCTGAAGATTAATAAAATAAATAAAAGTATTTTTTAAAAACACGTAGGTTTGCAAAAATTATGGTGTTTCTGTAGTAATACTCGCGCAGTGTGTATAGTTGCGAATTCGAGACAGACACTATAAGAAAAATCTGTACGCGAACGAGTGGGTGTCTTCCAACGACCAAAAGGAGTGGCTGTAATATAATTGTGAAGTCATCATTGAGAGCTATAATATAGAAAAACGAGCAGTCGTTAGAAAAAACATTGAGTGGTATACTAATAATAATGATATTATTACGTACATTGCGGAATTAGGTAATACCTTTATAAAGCTAAAAATGAATTCTTAAAATAATGTTTAAAACAAATACTTATCTAAATAAAACGCCCAAGAATAAAACATTTTCGTTCAATGCCATCGTTTTTATAATAATAATAATATGATAACAATTGATTTTTTAAACTTTTCACTGCGCTATAATATTGCAAACATACCTATATATTGTTAGGTATTTTATAACAAATATGTCTAGTGATACATGAAGTGGACTATACAGAATAACAGATAGACAGTATAGGTACCTACAAGAGTTTCAATCGACCACGACACCCACACGTTTTCTCATTACACGTGCCTTGTCTTTTGAGTAAAATATTTTGACACCTATAAATTTAATCTCTAATATTATATTATATCTGTATAGGAGGTACCTTCCTACAGGTTGGTTCATAACCGCAAAATAACATTGAATAAATAGGTACATAATATGATAATAATATAATGTTTTTCTTAAACAATTTTTCACTACCTATTGATCGTTGTTACTTCAGATGTTAGGTATATGTGTATAGTATTGTAATAATATTTTTGGAATATTGTTTAACGTGCTACCTACCTAATACATACAGTTATATGCTAATATACATTTAACAACAGCGGTCAAATACAAATATAAGTTATAACCATCATGTTTAAGTTTCAAAAAATATATTCATACCGCAACGGTTTTAACCACTTTCTTTCAAGGATATAATAGCAGTTGTTACCTATATCCTATGTATCGACAAGAATAATTAAAGTCGCGATCAACGGGCTTATAGTAAAAAATAATATTCACCTTTTACCATTTTTCACAATTACCCACAGTTATGACTTACAAGGTTTAGAACATTTACCCTACTTAAACCATAGTACGAGTAGGTACCTATATGAGATTTTAATATTATTGGTATATCCAATTGTAAACATTGTACGGCCGAATCGGGAGAGAAATCTCGAGACAATAGACAATGAATCAATTTTCAAGTAGTTTAGCCGCTAAAACCAAACGCGATATTAGTCTCGAGATCACAGTGCATATTTTATTGTATACAATATAGATACCTAGGTATAATATTATGTATTGCGTACGTGACATAATAGGTGGCCAGCGATTTAAACGAGGGTAAACGAAGTAGATGGGTTTAATCGACGGACCATATTATAATATAAGGTTCAATGGACACCTAATTATTATTATTCGATTTTTTTCATTTTATATTATTAAACGGATTGCTAATCGTATATTATACATAGGTATTGAGCTTAGGAAGTCAAACTCTTCTCGGTTTATTAGCCACGTAACTGTTTCTGATATGTTGTTAATACAAAAATTATCGTTTTAATATTCTTGATACGCAAGGTAGAAGTGACAAATTGGCCATTGTTTTCAACCGTTCACGTCGACGGAACCGGAAGTCTGTACTCTGACGTCCACATGATGAGAAACAATGAAAAAAAAAATAATTTTTAAAAATGCAATGCCTTACCATTATTGTATACTTGTATGATTTGTATTATAAAGTATTATTTTTACCCTTTCAAATAATAAATAGGTACCTACAGGTACCTGTATATATTTGGTCCCTGCAGAGAAGAAAGGCCAATTTTGTGCAATTTTCAATACAAGCAAATTAAATTTTGAAAATACATGCGCTTAGTCAATTTAGACGTGTTTGGATCTTTCGAATCGCTTGTAATGGATTGTAACGATTTTCGATTAGAACGATTAGATTTTTATATCTAGCGTCCTAACTCCCTGTTTTCTTTTTTTTTCAGATAATATTGTAATAAAAAAAAAAATTTTAAAAATATTATTATTATCAAAATACTTATGAATCTTGGTATTTAATAATGTATGGTAAATTGTATTATTGAAAGTTCTGTAAAGGGCCCGAACAAAAATTTAGTACAGGGGCTCAAAATTTAATATGAGGTCCCTGTTATTATATAGGTATATGTTGGGATTAACAAAAATCAATGAAGGAGGTGGGTAAAAACGAGAACAAAACGACAATAAATTATATTTTTGACTCAGTAACCTGCTACATTCCAGAGTTTTGTCGACTATTTTAAAACTACAATTGTATAAGACACTCATAAGACCAGTCGTAATGTATGGTTCAAAGATATGGACGCTCCAGAAGACCGGAAATTGAACAAAAACTCTCTACAAGTATTCGAAAATAAAATTGTTGAGTATATATATAACACATGTAGAGACACAGTTATAGATAAATGGCGAATAAGAAAAACCCGAGAGGTATATACATAGGGGACTAAGTACTATAGAGGAGTTAACAAAAAATTACTTACTTAGGTTGTCCATGCAAGGCGAAAAGTACAGTCTCTACTGAGATTTGTTCAGAAAGAAGATTTAAGGAATATAGCCGTGAGAAGGGAAACCACGATTAAGATAGGATTATAGAATGAATGAAGATGTTATGAAGACTAAACCCTGGATAGAACGGGAAGCATTGGAAATGGATAGAGAGGAAAAGAAGTACATGTGTTGGGAGGGTTGGACTTAAAGACCAAGAATAGTGGAAAAGAAGAAAAATAATATTGTAACAGTATAACGATAATCACTAATCACGTAATAAAATACAAAAAAATAATAATAATAATAATAAAAAGAAGAAGAAGAAATTATTAGTTTGCCGAATTTACACTTAAAATATCGTTAAATTAAATTTCTAAGTTTGAAGGTGTGATACCCTCTCGTGCATCCCATTATCTGTAATTACTGTTATGCTCATAATTTATTTAGAAGACCATTTCTAAAACATGTAATTACAATGAACATTTTATTCAAAATTATAAGATGTACAAGTACATATTTTATAGGTACTGTATATTAAATTAAAAACATCTGGTCAAAAATAATAGCGGTTATAAATGTACGAGAAATATTATACTTATAAATTATAATCAATTATATTTTACATCTTAGTATTAAAATCAAAAATGATTTCAATACAATCATAATATTATTGCTTTAAATATACTCTTGCATATAAAATATTATCGATTACTCTGATCTTTGGAAATTTATATTATGTGTTTTAAGTTATAACAGTAACTGTAGCAATGAATTATCATACACCATTCACATTTAACACATCATATTGTACTATATATTGCATACAATATAGACATTAGGTAGGTTACCTATCATGCACGTGTACGTTCGTTTATCCTGCGCTTCTGCTCGTAATATTAATTAAGTCGTTTATATTCCTTGATATTTTCTATTGTGAAAGACATCGCTTGTCCTATCAATGCGCAAGCACGTACTTGTGACGCGTCCCTTTATTTTATTATTATTATTTTTTTTTTTTACAAAACCCTATTGAAATGAAACGCCAGATGCGTACATAATATATTGTAAGTATACACATATATTTACAGTAGGCAATAAATTAATTTTGAATTATTTTACGAATTGTACATAAGTATATATACAGTAAAATAGTAAAAGTAATTCAATATAACTACCGTAATTTACGATTATTTTTATGGGTTTTTAAATACATTTCGAAAAAAAATCATTGATTTTTAATTTAAATTATAGAAATTGTGTATACATCACAATAGATACATACCTACTAGTTAAGACATATTATAAGTACATACTAACATACTACGTACATAAATATGGCAGCTCTATTTTATTATTTAAAATCGACACTCCTAAAACTAGATCTTCATACACGTTTTATACTTATATAACAGAATGTCCCACGAGAATTTACTTAAATATAATAGTGGGGTAACGTAAACCACATTGCCAACCGTTTAAAATCATTATTAAATCTTCGTGGGCCACTCGTCAGTAGGTATCTAACGAAAATAACGTGTGCGTTTCAAAAAAAATAATATTTTTATCAACTCGAATATTGCATTGATTTACTATAGTTACGGTAGATTAATTTAGTCAGGTACTAATATTATATTTTTGTTTTTGTATACTGGTACTGTAGAAATGAATTATATATTTATATACATATATTATTGTGATCTACGGTATATTTGAATTTTAACTGTAATTTTTAATCGATTCAACATGAGCGTGGAAATGGGCATTCAGAAGTTAATTATATATAATATAAAAATAATTATAATGTATTATTATAAATAGGATAATTCCAATAATATATAGCATTTAGTAGCATGTTTAGGATATTGCAATGTACTAGCTGTGCTGGATTTGTGTCATATACAAAATTGTAAGGTCGAACGACAGTTGGTAGTGGCGGTGAGTGGTAGTAGGCGAGCCAGAGGAGCCCTTATTTGGAAACTGGCCGTCTGTCCGTCCCGTCCTTTAATATTGTTATTATAACGCCAACCTTGCCCCCAACACACAAACGGCAAGTATTAGTCATCTTCATTAATCAAATATGCTTAAAATGCTAAACTTAGTGCTATAATATCGGTATTGTAACACAGGAAGTCGTATATAATACAGAATGGAGATAGGTACTTAAAGGAAATCAATTCCAACGATTACGGCTATAAAGATGTACAACGTGTAATTAATCTTATGAAGTATATTTGAATAGAAGTGTTTTAAATAGGTACCAATCAGTACTAATTTTGTAAATCTACTTGTATTCTATTTATTATTTATAAAAGTACCTACCTACATAAATATACAAAGTTAAAGATTTATACAAAAAACGAGTAGATACGTCATGTTTAATGTTTATATAGCACAAACAACGTTGTATAGAATATGTATTTATTAAATGTGTAACTACTATTATCCTAGGAAAAGTGTTTAACATTAACTAAATACTTTAAAATGGTATTTAATAATAAAGTTTTAATACCATTAAAGTTTGACCTACTGTTACAAATATTTAGTTACCTGTATTTTAATAATTTTTCTCCGAAATTAATTTAACTAAAACTGCAAAAGAAAATATCAAATTTTTCAATATCATGCGCTCAAAAATGCTAAATATTATCTTTTAATTAAAACTTTGTACTTAAAAAAAATAACCCCGACATTATCTAACTAAATTAATTTTAACTCATTTTTAAACAACATAATTTAATCAATAATTATAAATACTATATAGACAATTATAATTTCAAATATTTTATTTTAATCTACTAAACTTTTTTAATTGAAAGCCTTTTATGTTTCCTCTAGGTAAAAGTTGGAAATTGCATAAATATTAGTAACATTGGTAAATAATATGTAGGTAATTACATATTATAATATTATTAATTATTATCTATTTATTACTTATATACTTAAACGAATTAAAAACATTTTAGATTCTGAGTGGAGCAAAGAAGCTCATGGTTTTTCAAAGATGTTTTTTTTTATCCGTGCGTGACTTTTCTACCAGAAAACTTACTCAGATTTTTACGTGTAGTAACATTTCTGAAAAGAAATCAGTGTGGGGAGGAACTTCAGGAAGATTTATTTTTGATTTTCTTAGGAGTTTTCTTATCAAATTTGAAAAACCGTAAAATGTACGAAATATATTACTAAAATATTAAGATTTTTTTTTTTCCTGTGCACCACTTTTCAACTAGCAATTTTTCTCAAACTTATAATGATAGTAATGTTTCTAAAATGAAATCTTACTGGGGAGGTACTTTAGAGAGATCATTTTTCGATTTTCCCAAAAGTTTTACAGGCAAATGTGAAAACCCAGGATAAAACATGGGAAAAACGGTACAACATTAAACAAATATTTTTAAAGAAAATATAGGAAGCCTATTTAATTATTTTACTGTGATATGACATATTATATATTGTTAAAAAGCTTCACTATCAACTGAAATCTGCTCAGAATTGTTTTTTAATAAGTAATGGTTTATCGTTGCTCACAGGTATATATTAAATTACCTATAACAGTGGCTGCACCCGTCCCCATAATCTTAAGACGTCTTTTTAAATTTATAACATAATCAACTGAAGAATAATTATGTTTATGGATATTTTAATAGGTACCTATAATAAATTTAAAAAAGAATTAGTATATTGACCCCCAAGATTCGATTTCATAACATATTAACACCTACCTACTTACTTAGTACTTATTTCTTACGTTTGTCTACTCAACAAATTTCAATACCTACCTATATTAATATTGAATGTTATTCTTAGTGAGAACTATTTACTTTTAATGGTAGACAGTTGAACCAGGATATGATGAAATTAACCAAGTAAAGTTATAAATGTATGGTTTCTCCATAAAGTATATGGAGAAAAGCTAGTCATTTGTCCAACAAATATAATTAAAAGTGATAATTTGATTGGTGTTATAAATTAAAATACCTATTGCTTTTTACAGGTTTAATCAAATGCACAACTTAAAATACTTCAGACAGCAATAATATGATACATAATAGTGTACGACCAAGTTGTAATTTATTTATTTTCATTGTTTAAAAATGCCTAAATATAAATAAACTTATGTATAATTATTTAATCAAACGTGTAGGAGTAATATAAAAAATAAATTTTGGTAAATACTTATCTATTAAAATTTTAATAATTTTTGTTTTTTTAACAATATCCGGTAGGGCAGTATAATATTCCTACCTATTCTCGAGTCGACATACAAAAATATCTTGCCAACGAATCTCCACACATTAACTGCAGAGTACCGCCTACGTTATAACCAATAGGTGAGTATGTATTACCCATGTATTACTACCTCAACATAAACTTATAAAATTGTTTGCATAGGTAATATTATATTATTATAAATTAAAATCGTTAAGGTATACATTCCAACAGTAAATTTGACGGTCCTACTAGAGTAGGTAATTATATTTGTTTACATGAATGATGGTTATTGCTTATAATATCTATTATATAGGTACCTACAAATCTGAATGTGTTCATATCTGCGTGGGTCTATGTAGACTCAGTCGTGCTAAGTTAGATCTTAGTTATAGATACACCATAGTATTCATAATTTTCCAATGACTAAACACACATTAATTTTTTTTCAACATTTTAATTTTCGAAAAATCCAAAATTAATATCATTTAGAAATTTGAAACATTTGAAACAACGAACAAATCAAAAATTGCTTAACTGCAGACGTATTTACATTTTTGGCTCCCTGGGGCTCTTTCAAAGAACAATTTCTTTTCAACGGTGTAATTTCGAATTGTACTCTTAACATTTCGTACTAAACTTTGTTTGCTCGAAAACACATTATTTTAGTCTCTGCTAAGCAAGTGGGGTGAGATTAATATGAAAAATTGAAAAAAAAAACCCGTTGGATTTTGTTAAAAATATCACGATCTAATATTGTAATAATTATATTAATATATTATCTCGTATATTGTCGTACAAAAAAAGGTGAATATTACTCTGGCGAGGAAATGCAGCGTATAATATACCTAATATATTAATAACCAGTTTTAACTCGTTAACTGCAACATGACGACTTACAAATTTAATAAAATAATTAAAAAAAAAAAAGTGTTGGCATGAGGGTGTGTCAAGAGTTTGAGAAGATAGTACTTCTATTATAGTTTGACGGGCCCCTTTTACAAAACTCGACTCGATGTCCGGTCGTTTACACGCTGTAGTCCAATGAGCTGATAATATTCGGCTGGTTAGGATTTCAAAGAAAAAAAAAACTGTAATATTAAGACATCGTTAAACGGCAGTATATAACTTTTTTTTTTCCAATACTCGAAATAATTACCTATATCTAGTGAATAGAAAAAAAAAAAAAAAACAAGAGCAGGTATATCTATATTATTATGAAACCTACATGAAAATACCTACTTGCTTAAATTGTATCCTATGGGCATTTTAAATTTACATAATATTTGTAAATACGTCATATTATTTTATATGACGTATCGTTATTGTAGCATAATAATATTATTGAAATAATACCTAATTATTTGTGTTGTACAAACATACATTAAATAACCAGCTTGTTGATTGATAATATTAATCTATTAATAATATTATATGATACGCGTGTTGATAAAACTAAATTATATACACGTCATATTTAACAATTAATTAAATTTCACAAAAAATTGTTCAATAAAATGTAGTAAAAATGAGTAATGAAGAACAGGCCAGCGGCGTATTTTAAGGGAGGGCACCCTCCGAGTATGAAAAATATCGATTTAATACGATACAAATATCCTTTTTTATTTATTTAAATGTCACGTTATAAATTAAAACATTTTGTATAGCCCGATTGCCGTATCTATCTGTTATAATTAAATATAATTAATGTTGTAGTTGTAACATGTCTATTTTTCAATCAAAACACATATCCCTCCCCTCTCTGAAGTAAAGTCTACGAAGGTACACCACTGGAATACGTATCCATGTATTTCTACCTGTAGCATCAGCAATTGTAATATTTTCAAAATGATAATTAAATACTTTAACTCGAATTTAAAAAAAAAGCTTGGACTCAATCAGAACTCCACTGAAGTATACAATCTTTTAACAAACGTATCTTATAATCATAAAATATTGCTAAATATTATTTATACCTACTTATTAAACTGGTAGGTAGTATAAAATACACCATACGGAAACGATTTCATATTCGCATTTCGTACAATTAACATTTAATTAGGTAGGTACCAACGTAATGTCAAGTTGTAAAAGTTGTAGGATGTTAAGTTCGACGAATTTTTATTCGTCGAACATGACAATTGTATTATTTGTGTAGGTATTAATTTTATTTTTATTACTTTATTTTATTCTTCACAATTAAACACAATATTATTATGTTATAGGATCTTCAGTGTTAGTATGCAATTTATTTTATTCTTTTCGATTTCATACAATACCTAATTATTATAGATAGGTACTGTATACGAGAAACCGTGTCTAAAAACGAACAAAAAAATATTTCGCGACTTACCTAATCTTTCGAATTTTATACGACAAAATTATTAAAACTTATAAAATGCGAGTGCGATTTATATTTATCGCAGCATTAAACATTTATAATAAATCGTAGTTAAATATCATGTGTATACCTACCTACTTGTTCGTTTAAATAAAACAAAATATAAAAAATAATAAATAAGTGTAGGTAAGTAGGTAGAAAAGGTAGGTGGCAAAATAAAATGCGTTCGTTAGTACATATATATAAATATATATGTATATATAGGTATGTCGTTTATAATATAATTATTATAACGTGCAAAATAATAATAAAAAACAAAAATAGTTACATACCAAAAGAATCGTAGTCCCGCAATATTTTTGTTTATCGTATAACTTTATGAATGTCCACAACACTTTTTTTTTTTTCAAGGATTAGCAATAATATAATATTTGTTCACTGAAAAAAAAAAAAAACCCTTATGCGGTTTGATATTAATGCGTATAAAATAATATATAAAATAATATTTTAATATCAAGTTGTGCGTGCGAGGAACGGGTTTATAAAAAACGAACGTGTTGATCCGATCGGTATAAGAAACAAACTGTTGCTAAGGCGCCACCTGAGAAGACACCTACGACATGTGTTCTTCGATATTGTTCGAGTCTGTTCCCTTTCCACAGATTTACTATAATATTATATTATACGTTATAATATCGACCGTTTTCATTTAACCAGTGTATAATAATGTCGCGATAGTGCGTGCTTCACGTACTTGGACATAACAATCAAAAATCATTACCAACGCCAAACACAAAAATTATTATTATAATAATTATTAAATAATTATTACATGTTTATTAATGACTAGAATAGGGCCAATAATAAATTAATACTTATAGTATAGGCATCATAATCATAATATACATCATCATACCTAACCTATGTACAATTATAAAGGTTTTTTTTTTTCAATCTTGTCAATCAACAAGAATAATAATTGTATTAGAAGTGAAAAAGCGATGGATAAATTGCAAAATAAACTTAGCTATTAATTATAAATTTTATTACTTATTACTTTTTTTCGATATTAAAAATTGTTAAGGATTTTCGTTTTTTTTTTCTTTCTTGTTTTACCCGTGGGAAATTATAATTGCATGCATTAGATACACTATAGTATAAGTACTATAATGAAAGAACAGAATATTTCACTATAATAGGTAGTCGGGTATCATCAAATATCAAACAAATTATTATTCGAAAATAATTAATATATGCCTATATTATGCGTCACTACAATGAACATCGTACATTTAAGATGTAACCCTCAAATTTTGTATTTTTCTATACTAATAAAATAAACACCATTATAATATTATACACATTACAATTATTATTAGGACATTGAAAATGTACGTATCCAAAACGTGCAAGCAACCATATGGTAATCCAAGGACTCGAAGAGCATTCAAGAATCGGCATCTGGGTCATCGTGTACGATTATGTATAATACTATATTATAATTCGCAGCGATAAATTATTTAATATTCTTTGATGACATCAAAAAATTAAAAAAAAAAAAAAAAAAATCACAAATCAAATAATAATATGTAGTCAATGGAAATAATAACTAGGTAAAACTAAGAGTAAGTTTAACTGTAAGTCGATTTCCTTCTCAGGAATCAAAGCATCAGCTGATGCGACGTATTCATAGGAATCCATATTCCATCTTAGTATAGATACCAACTACCAATACCTATAATTCATATATATTGATAATTAAAATGCGAACGACTTGTTCATCGAGAATATTGATATAGATTCCTAATAATAAATTTAATTAAAGTAAGACAGTTTAGCATTAGCGTTTAAACAATAATTCCCATTTTTACTAGATTTTTTTTAAAAATACGAGAAAGTTAGTTTGGTATATTATTCCGATAATCTAGTTGACACGTGTTTCTGTTTGTCCATTTTTGAATAAAGACAGATCAAGGTTAGAGCGTAATATTTTAATTGATTATTCTAATAACAAATAGGATGACATAAAATATTATGTTATTTAATAAAAAGTGACAATAATAATAATTATTATATACATACATTATGATATGCATATCTGCATAAGTAATAATATTATAGAAAATGTATTGGGTACAAAAGAACATTAAATCAAAAACATAAGAATGTAACGAAATAAATTTAAATTCACCACGACGTTCAACACCACCGAGCATTTATTTCTGGACGATGGATTTTTCATTTTTAATACATACAAATGTAATAATGTTACGTTATATTTCAAACATCAATGCGATAAACAGTCACTATTCAACACATTTTAAGCAGTAATAAAACAAACCCTTAAATAAATAGGTATCTACTTATATAGACGCCCGCAGAAATTTGTCTTGGAAGGAAGGCAAATTTATAATAGTGGTCTATTTAATATATTCTCGAAAATCCAAAGGAAGCGAATGTTCCCTCTTTCCTTCCTTCCCAACGTCTATGTCTTCATTACACATGTATCACAACAATCAACGCGCAAAAGTTTGAAATGTACCCCAATGATTCACAAGTTATTTACCCGTCGTGTTTTACTCTCTACATAGATCATTATATTTTGGAATACTTAACTTCAAATTTGTGTTTACTTCTGAAAATGTTGGTCCGTCTGCAGTATCAAAATATTATTCAATCAGTCTGATAATAGTGTGGATCTTTGGATTTGGTCCAGTCCGGTGGTTATGTCTAGAGTCGTGTAATTATAACTTATTACAATTACCTGTAATAAATCAATAAATTGGTTATAAATTATTATTTGTGTATAATCAGAATAGTAGGTAATACATTTTTTCTATTAAATAACCTTCTCCGTATCTTATCAAATACGATAATATAAACGATCAGAGTATTTTGCCTTTATTCGCTGAAACGATTCCAAATATACCTAACGGGTGTAACAACAGAGTGTAATTAATAATTTATTATTATTATTAGTCTTATCTAAAACGATCACACTAATAAAATAAGTACAAGAGTCTGAATTAAGATTAGATTTCTGGGCATTGAGCAACAACAAGACAATCCAAAACGACTTTTAAAATGTAATTTCGTCTATTTATTAGTAGATGCCAGGCGAATTCAGTAACTAGATAGGTATGCAGAAAATCGCTGGAGAAATTGGGTACTTACCTTTTTTTCTCTTTTTTCACTGTCTATGAAATAACGGACCGTGCAAATCACTCATAGTTATTGAATATAACAGATTCATTAACCTAGAAGATTTACAAAAAATTATTACAATTTTATTATAATATATACAGAGTGATTTTTTAAACATGCCCACTCTATTTGTATGGTTCAATTATGCATGAACTCAAATTCTGTATTTTGGAATTTGAATGTGTAGTGAAAGACATATTCTCGAACGGTTAGATTTTTCACAATATTTGAGGAGTATCCTGTGGCCATATCAACTTTGGTTTTTCAAATGTGAACCAACATGTACTTGTATTAATGCAACTTGTCAATTATATGATCTTTCTGAAAATGTTGACTTTGACATTTTAACGAAAAATGTCTGAGTTATTCTATTTTAAATACAGAGGATATACGAGTAGTATAAAACCAATTTTTCGATAACTACATAATTCATAACAAAGAAATTGCCTATACACGACTCCTATAAAAAGGTTAATAATATAGTTAATCCATTAAAATTCGATGTCTTGCAGTTCAAAAGTTATTAACTTATAACCAATTAAATTTAGTAGTTATGCACCTGTTGCCATATATTACCGTTAAGTTTCACACAAGTACAGGTATTTAAATAAATTAAATTAAATACTGGTAGAGAGGAAACTAGGGTAAATGGACCCCCAGAGCAAAAAAAAAAACAAATCAGATAAATGTTCCAGCAAAAAAAAAATAAATATAAGCAATATATATATACCTAAATTCGTGTTGCGACAATGTCTTAAAATCGAAAAAAACTAGGCTATTTTTTTTTTAAATTTTTGTTAATGAATTGTTTAATCTTTTTAGTTTATTATTTGTAAAATAGTGTATTGTAAACAATTTTCAAAAAAAAAAAATTGTTTTTGTTAACAAAATCACTATTTCAAGATGAAATAGTACGAAAATGTCGAAAATGATTGATAAATTATCCCCGTTTGTCAATTCTAATATTACGATTTGGAAAAAAGTTGTTAAACAGTTGGTAGTGTATAGGGTGAAGGTTTGTATAAATCTATTTTTGTCACCGACGGTTTTATATTTTGTGATAAATACGACGATCAGTAATGATATCGGACAAAGAAAATAAGAAGAGATGTAAATAGACTTAGGTATACCCTAGATTCTTCATCCATTTTCACATTTAATGAAAGCGTACAATCTGTAATTGTTGTAGAATTTTGTTGCCCGTATCTGTCCCCTACTAATTTACGGCTATAAAAGTGATCTATTATAGGTACGCTGATTTTACTTACAGTTTTTACGTTTATGTGCATTTGTTGTATTTACAATTTATTTCCAAATATTATTCTGAAAGCTAAAACAAATTATTTTAAGAAAAGATATTTATGATACCATTTATTTAAACATTATTACTATTTCTCATGACGAAAAAAAGATATACTATATTGTACTTCTGATAATTGATTGTTATTAATCGATGATGTACGATTACCAATAACGATGTCAGTTTGTTTACGTTTGATTTTCGTCTAAAAATTAGATAAGTAGAGTATCTGTTTAATTAGTTTTAAATTGTTCATTCGTGATAGTGAACAATACAAACATTTGTTGTTCACACTATAATAACAATTACTATCATTATCGCAAGAGAACTAAAAATTATCATGCTAGTACCTATCGCGATGGTGTGATAGTGCGATAGTGCTGTTCACGCGGTGATAGAATTATAGTAGGCAAAACTCTTATGATAACAGCTATCATGATGATAATTATAACGATTAACTATCATCGTGTGAGCACGGCTTTAAATATTAAAAATATCATTATAATACAATATACTAACCATTGTCTGCCAGACGTCTATTCATAAATCGTATTTACAATCTATTTACATACAACTATAAATTCGTTAAAAACGAGTAAATGAGAGGACAAAAATGTATTATCAAACATTACTAGTAACAAACTAATGTAAACACTTAACAGTACTTAAATGTTTAAGTAAATTATTAATTATATTGGCTGTACAATGCGACAAGATATCAAGGTAATTTTCTTTAATTAATTATATATTTCATTGAAAGAAATTTTTTTTTTCTGTCTAATTTTTATTAAGATGTCAAATCTGGAACGTAAAAATATGAAATCCATGGTATTATGATTATCGAAATCTGAACCATATAAAATCAAAAATGTGCTAATCTAGAAACTAAAACAAAACCTATTATAAAATATATCAACAGCCTAAACCAATAATTTCGTTGAAATTTAAACATTTTACATTCCAGATGTCGACATCCGTAAAACCTTGGATTACAATTTTTTTTATATTCCTAACATGTACATAGGTTTAGCCTCCCAAATTTTAGGTTAAAATATTGCATTAAATGCTCAATCGATCCAAAACACTACATCTATATTGCATAATGCATTGTGCAATTTGCCAATATCGCGATGTTTGTTGTAAAAGAGAACCGTACGCTGCGCTACCGTCGCGGCCTCACGGGTATCAGAAAAACTATAATATTTTGTTACATAATAATTCAACAATATCCAACATACTTAACTATAACGACAACTTATAACTAATGTAGGAGGCACCCATAACATAAAAGTATAAATATTTTAATTGTGTATGATTTTATAAATAATATTTTAAAACAATTTTCGGATTTACTGAATACTTCTTTGAATTCAATTCAAGGTGAAATAACGGTTGCCAAAAACTGTCTTCAAAATGATATTGACAATAGTAATTATGCATCAGAACCAATATATCAAACTAGTCTCTTCCAAAACTACGTTAAAATTGAAAAATTTTTTAATTCATACAAACTGTTATATTTGGCCGTAATTGTATAGGTACCTACCATTTTAATCTGCATCTCGCAAAAGATCATTTATTCAACAATGAGGGCAGTAATCACGTGCATAAAAGATGTATCTATACGATGGTTCAAGATCGCTTTTCTTCTTTGAATATTTTAAATATAAAAAGGGATATATATATATATGTATATCAAATAGTATAAAATCAAATGATATTCTAAATACTTATACGCAAAATAAAATAGGCGTTTAGAATTATAATTAAAAAAATTAATTGTTCCACTATATTACGTACTGTATGACGTATTCATATTTTTGTTTATTGATATCATTAATGATAATCAATGATATAAATTAATGTGAGAGGGGGGGGAGGGCAAGGTGGTGGGCAAAACCACCCACGAAAATACGCATTCAAAATGTATTGAAGGCTCAACCACACCCCTATAATTTGACTACTCTACGCCTATACACGTTAGGTTTTTACGTACTCCCATAAGTATATATAAGGTATAATGTTGTATTTCTGATACTCCCTCCGTCTAAAAAAAATTTGAAAATACGCCGCTCTCTCTCTATCTATATTCAATAATATAGTAACTACGTTTATATCGATCGACCAACCTAAACAGATAAAATCATTTCAAATGTCATCAAAATATTTTGAAAGCAGACAAGCAGTTGTAGGTATACTGGTATATTTCAGTGTAGTAAAAGTGAAATTAACTGTAGAGTATAGGTATATTTTAATTTTAGTTTCCGCCGATTTTCGATTTCACCGCCATCACATAATATTATCATTGAGGTTATTTTTTGCAGTTTCCATAATAATTAGGAAAAACCAAGAAAACCAACAAAAGAGAATAATAATTTGTCTGTTATTTTTTCATAAAGGAATATTTTTTTCAACTGCGTTTGGAACAATAAACAACAATACATCCGCATATCTTAATAAACATTAATTAATAAAAGGATGTTAGGTTTTATAGGGGGCGCATAAAATATTGGAAAATATTTTGTAGGAAAAGTATTATGTCAGAAAAAGAATTCGTCGTAAACGTATTTTGTTGGAACGTTTTTTTTCGGAAACATATATTAGTCTGATAAAATTTTGTCGGAAAGTTTTTCCGGAAAAATAATTCATCGGCAAATATGTTGTCGGAACCGTATTTTGTTGGAAAATAATTTTTACCCAACGACGATAACATGCAGTCATAGAATGCTTATGGTGAAATTATATTGAACAGTTCCGACAAAATACTTTCCGATGAATTATTTTTCCAACAAATTATAACCCTCCATTTTATACATCCACTCGTAATATTCTTACGTTGATATTTGATACCAATACAAGTTATAGATTTAAAAGTTAATATTAAATCAACCCACTTCAATAGTGTACATTGCTATGTATGTCTCTTAATAAACCACTCGAAAACTAAAATATAGTAAAATTAAATATCAATACTCTATAAAATTACTCGTATGTCTCTAGACGCATTTTTTACTACCAGTTCCTAAATAATTTATGTACGTATACGCATCGTATGCACATGACGTTTAAACAATCCGTAAACATAAATAATAACCACAAACTGAGATTATAATTCATAATAGTGTCTTTTCGTGATGATAACAATTATTACCGACATGATATTATACGTATTACACTGGTAGGTAAATAAATTATTCACAATGACAAATTCCATAATACTGTGGCTTTTCTGGACCGGACCGAGTTTCGAAAATAAAAAAAAATATATACATACATACCTAGCTATATATGTATATAACTATTTCAAAATATTCGTTGGAGACGTACCTACGCAAATTACAAATGAACATTCATCAGTCATTACTTTAATGCCAAGTAAAAAACTAATAATATTATCGATCTACGAATACAGCTGTGAATTTCGGAACTTTATAAAACTCCTAAACAAATATAGATACGTATAAGACGACATACTCTCCGCGGTAACACGACAAATAGAACCCGGTAAATATTCTGATAAGAATTGAATTAAATTAAAATAAAAGTTGTTCGTTTTGTAGGCGTAAATGCGTTATTCCTGGAAAACACTTTTTGTGTTAGCAAAATTAGACGATAACGGACATCGGATGTAACACTATAGCTATATAGCCGCAGTGGCTATTTTTGTGTGCGCTACAAGTCCTAAATGGCTAAATGTGCAATACGAATACGAAAACTCGCAACTGTCACACCTGCGTTTTTATTACAAACGAGCCATAAGAGCTTCCGCAGATGAACATATTTAGTGAAAACAATATTTTCGAATCTACCGCGTTGTATTTTTTTCCACAATATTATCAAACCAAAAATGTAACGGCCATTTAAAAACAGCGAAAACTAATACGGCTGTAACACGTTTGACAATATTTTCAATAAAAAGCAACGCGGCAAGCCCTCGAAAATCTCTTCGTCTTTAAATTTTGATACACCTGCCATGCGTGTAATCTCCAATTTCAACTTAAATGCGACAATTTTTAAGTTCCGAGTAATATAATTTAGAAAAACGGTATTGGCCATCGAGGATCCATTTTACTTGTTTTAGATTTTATATTGTTTATGTACGTTCATATTTTTCTAGTTATTACGAATTGATTCGTATTTTTAAGTTGTTTTAATGTATTTACGTTTTTGGTATTGTATTGGATATGTACATCGACTCGGTTAGTTATGGCAAGTCTTTGCAATTGTATATATGAACAATAATTGGATTAAATTAAAGCATTTTGATTGAAAATACATTTAGGTCGTCTACACTTAAATACTAAATTAGGTAAGCAGATAGGTAGGCACAAACGCAAAAATCGCTAAAACACTGAATAGGTACTTGGTATTTTGCACGAATTAATAATATTTGTTTAACAAACAGTATTACAATTTACAAAAGACTGCACAACTGCAGTCGATTTAAATGAAATCGGGCTATAAATACTTCCTACTTTTCTGTAACAAAAGGTCGATTTTGACGGGAAACAAACGTATAGGTATTAATAGCTTGGTTTGAAAACAAACGTACTTACTTATATCATTGGTTCAATCTTCAGATCACGAGTGAATACAAACCGAGTGTCTATCACAACGTATGTGGCATACAAAGAACATTTATTGCTCGATTATTATACATTGTCTATTCTATATTGTTATATTAATAATTGCATAGAATAGGTAATAATAATTAATAATAAAATATTATTTTTCCGTAAACATTAGGATATGATTATATGAAATGGAAAATGGTATCAACCATAGACCGTGAAACCATAATACGCTGATACGACGAATTTAGATAATTATTATCTTGGCGAAATGTGAAATCGTGAATTCGTCGACTGATATTTAATTCTGAAATTGCCTTCACTTTTGTGTTTTGGTTTTATACTTTTACTCTATATTTTTTACTAGATATCACATTGTAATATCTGTATTTTACATAATAAATTGTGTTGGATTATAATTATGAGAAGAAAACCCAATATTCTTATTAGTGGTAAGTATTTATATTATATTACTGTTGTAGTGTTGTAAGTTCATTGTTTATATGTTATGAAAGCGTAGTCACCTATGATTCTAGGACGGTTATTTTATTTCGACAATTATAAAACATTTTTTTATCATGGATAGGAAGTTTGGATCCAGGGAGTTATTAGCTATAAAACGTTTGGCCTCCAGATGACTTGGCTATAGGCCATTTAGTTCTGCAGGTTTTTGAATCATTATTTTTTATTAATTTCTTAATAATATTACAAAATTGGAAATTCCAATTCAATAAAAAAATTAATTCATTTTTTAATTTTCGATTTATTTTTATTTCAACTTTTACACAAAAATAATATCATGTTTAAAAATTAATTCAAGATTAATTACAATTTACAACAATACAATACAATATAACTACTATTAATTAAAGTTAAATAATTCATTTTTATTATTAAACTCTCCATATTTTTACTTAGGTAAAATATTACTGTGTAGAAATAGTAAACGTATAAACCATTTTACTGAATTGGTGTACCTATATTAATAACCTGTAATATACTTATTTGAAAACTTTGGCATTTAATGTATTAATATAAATTTACAATTGAAATGCAGCTCATATGCTCACAGTCTATCTGGCTGTCTACCTAAGTCAATCATTATTACTGACCTACGTATTAGTTTATTTCTAAAACATTTAAGAATGTAATGTAATTGTGTAAAAATTTATTTGTCTATAAAAAATAAAAAATAAATAATGATTTAAAAAACTGGAGAACCAAAAGTACTATAGTGTATATCCAAAATACCTCCAAGACCAAACTTCCTATGGTTAATAAGTATCAATGAATATATCAAATGTCCTGACTTAATAATTGCCGGGAACGAAACCTCTGTATACTAATTTTTTTAATGGAGATGAAATACCCAATTTTACTGTTCTTAATGTTAACAAAAAAAAAAACATTTATGAAAAATGTAAACAACAATTACATATTGCTTTAGTTTGAACATTTTTACTCCTAATAAATTTCTGAACTTGTTCTGTTTAGGTACGCCGGGTGTTGGAAAATCAAAGTTATGTGAAGAATTAATTAGAAGTGGATTAGACATGGAATGGATTGAAGTTGGTCAAGTAGCTAAACAATGTGATTGTTACTCTGGATATGATGAAAAACTTGAATGTCATATACTTGATGAAGACAAAGTAAAATATACATTTTTGTTTATGTAAAATGTTTTTAATATATAAAAATATTTTATTTAAATTGTCAGTTATTAGATGAGTTAGAATCTAGGATGGAAGAAGGTGGTAAAATTGTTGACTATCATGGTTGTGATTTTTTTCCAGAACGTTGGTTCGATGTAGTATTCATATTAAGAACTAATAATACATTACTATTTGATCGACTTGAGAAAAGGTAAGCTCTGTTAACAAATATATCAAGACTTATATTAATAACATAATTAACATTTTATACAAATTTATAAATTATTGTCAAACGTGCACTGTTTATTGTTTTAACAAAGGTGAACTTAGATTAAATTATCATTTTTAGTACTTCAATTTTACATTGTTGAGTTTGAATTATTTATTATACTTACAAGCCCATTGTTGTAATTTTAACTATTTTGATGTGTGCCCAGTTATATTGTCAATTTATAATTACATTTTGTACAATCCTAACTAAGAAATATTTGATTATTTTAATAAATAATATTCGTTAATTAATTAAAAATGTATTTCATTATTTGTTTAACATATTTTACCAGGCCACCTTTTTTTATTTTGAAGATATGTTTTTCGACTGATTCTGAATATGTTTGTTTTTTTTTTTTTGTGAAAATCAGTATTAAAAAAAATAGATATTTTTAGTTTGTTGTGCAAATCTAACATGAGCTTGTGAATAGTGATACTCAAAAGCACGGTCTCACATAATAAAGTTTAAGTTTACATTTATCACACTATCCTTCTTGCAATAGAATCTGGTTAGAAATGTAGGTCAGCTGAAATTATCTCCTGCAATTGTTTATTCAGTACAGGCTTTAAACTGTTTTATATAGCTTCTAATGTACCCTAATAGTTTCTGTATTTATTATTATTTTCAGCATTAAAAACCTCAGTTTTTTGTCATAATTTTTTTAGTAATAATTTCTTAAAAATACAAACATTTTCAGAATAAACTCCTAAAACTACTAAGTCCTTATTTGGAAAAAAAAAATAGTCAGGTAAAGTAGACTTGTCTAAAAATATTATATGGTGATAAATCTATAACAAGTTTAAATTTTTCTTCCATTGTCTGCAATTAATATTAAATAATATAAATCTGTACAAATTCACAAGGTTTGTTCTTAAATGAAAGAAATTTTGTTTAGCCTTATCAAAAATAAATATATTCTATGCACTGCAGTTGTCTTTTACGACTATATTTAATACCTATGATAAATGTTTAATTGTATTTTCATGTAGAGGTTATTCTGCAAAAAAACTTCAAAATAATGTTCAATGTGAAATATTTCAAACTTTATTTGAAGAAGCAATGGAATCATACGATAGCAACATTGTACACGAGTTACGCAACGAAACCTTTGCAGATATGGAACGCAATATATCTCAAATAAGTGATTGGGTAAATCAATGGTTAAAAGATAATGTTAACAACTAGTAATAATTTTTAAATTATGAAATAAAATTTAAATTTTAATCTTTGTTTAATCAATCTGATAATATATGAATTAAATTTTGTTATTTCTTATTTACTGTGAAATTTATCAATTTGTATTGTAAATACTTTTAAGTTTGAATTAATCCTGTTTATGATAAAATGTTGATGTGACATTTGAATATAACATGTTAACACAGTTCTTGTAGTATTTTATTTAATTATTAAAATTTGTAACTAGAAATATTAACTAAAAAGAATGATGAATGAATTAATAATAAAGTAATAATAACTGTTAATTTAATATCATATAAATTTCAAAACTTACATTAATTCATAAATACAAACTTCTTATATAATAAATAATATTAGTATTTTGTCTGTATCAAGTTATTGTTTTAGATATGAAATTAATACAGAGTAGCTACTTAATAGTTTCATCATAAAAATATAAACTATTCAATGCTTATAGAGCCTAAAGATAGTAAAACACTAGTATTGGTATAATATATACTTAAATCTTAAGAGTACTATAAGTAACTAAATGTCGATAATTTACTACAGTATACAATTATAATAATTATAAAAAACAATAAATCATACATTTTAATCAAGTATTAATTTAATACAGTATACGATAAAATGTACTATTTTGTTACTTAACATTAAATAATATATAAAAATAAAAAAACTACTTAAAAATTAAATTATTAATATACTTTATTACTATGTAATAAGAAAAACAATTGAAACCATTTACTTTATTATATTCTTGGTTCTTTTAATTTAACAATCTTAATATTATGTTTCTTCTTTATATGTGAAATGTCTTGTGGTGTTAGGAATATAAACTGGTTTTTGCGTTGTTCAATGGCCATCATCAGTAACTGAGTAGTAGCTAATCGATTAACATTGTCCATGTACACATCATATTCGTCAATAGAATAAAATGGCAGTTGCATGTTGCTCCATAATGCTATAATTAAAGCTACTGTTGCAAATGTTCTTTCACCGCCAGATGCACAAGATGTACTTATATTATCAAACATGGTAATAACCATACTTTGTTCTTGAGAGTCGATCAGAAGTTGACCTTTTATTTTACGTATTAACAGCACTAAATCAAAAGATTCAATTACCTTCAATTTAATAAATTGAACATAATTATCAAGAGCTATTTTACTAAGTTTAATAGATTTGTTATTCGACTGATAAATTTCTACAATTTGTTTGTACAGAGCTCGTTGCCTAATATATTCTTCTTTTTTTTTCTTATATTCATCTCTCAACACTAGGTAGTTTTCTCCTCTTTTGTTCAATTCCATTTTCAACAAGTCATATTTATGTGTGATCTCTTTAATATCTGTCTTTATATCTTCCACACTACGTGTAACATTAATTTTTTCACAAAAATTTTGGGCTTCTTCAGTTTTATTTATGAGAATCTCTTTTTCTTTTTCTGCTGTTTTGAGTAATGTTGTTAGTGTTTTATTTTGTTCTACTAAATTTTGATTAATTTGTGACATTTCCATTTGATAATTTTTAATTTGAGTTTGAAAACCCTCAATTTGTTCTAATATTGCAGAGCGATCAGTTTTTTCAATAATCGACTTAACTTCATGCAATCTTTGAGTTATTTCATGAATTTCTTTATTATATCCTGCAATTGGTTCCATAGCATTTTCTTTTAATTGTACAACTTTATCTATCTTCTTATTAATTTCATTAATTTCTTCTGTGAGAAAAGCCAATCTGTCATCTTGGTCTTCCTCACATTTAGCTTTGAGTTCGTTAATTTTCTTATTGTATTCTTCATACTTGGCTTTTAAGAGTCTTGTTTCTAACTGAGTCTTGTTCAAGTTTTTTTGATTTTCTAGTTTCGATTGTTCAAAATTTTCAAACTCTTTGTTTAAGTTACTTATTTTTTTTTCTAGTTCATTTTTCTGATGTTTTAAATTATTCATTGCAACTGAGACATCACTTAGTAGGAGAACAGGTTCAGAAGGATTTTGTAGAGCATATACTCTGTAAGAAGGACTAGGATACACTTGGGTACCATCTAAAGTTAAACTGAAGTTACAATTTCTAGGAACTCTAGACACATTTTCCATTAAAGGCATAGCTTCAATTGTATCATCAATAAGCATTATTTTTTCAATGCGATTGTTATCAATCAAACAATTTGCTACAGCAGGAGAAGTAAAAGTTAACATATCAAACATACTATTTGTAGTCTTTTTAGTAGAAATATCATGTACTTTGTCAAAAAATTTACTGGTGATGACAGTTGGTTTTCTTTCACTGCTAGGTATTGTTTTGTTCATTATAGATTGAAGTACCTTATTGTCTGCAAAGTTGTCAACCAAAAATGTTTTTAAGTTCCCTCGGCCCAAGTGGTTTTCAATTGAAAATATCCATTTGTTATTGTTTACTTTAATGTATGCCCCAATAGGTCCTATTGGTTTTTTTATAAATTTCCTTTGCTTGAATGCAATTTCGATATTTTCTACTAGGTTTGGCATCCAATTTCCATAAAAATGTATCTTATCTTGCTGTTGAGACATATTTTTAATATTTCTATTAATTTCAATGATTGTCCTTTGTATAGGACTAATGTTATTGTCCTTTATCTGTCCCATTCTCTGTTTTAAATCATCAATTGTATTACGTAAAGTTTGCTCGTGTTCCATATTAGTTTTCCATGCTGCTTCAACTTCAGCAATATTTTCCTCACATTGGGAAAGTTTTGCTCGAATTTGTGCTAAAGAATTTGTATTGCCTTTTTGACGCTCAATTTCAATATGTCTTTCAAATTCTTTTCTATCATTAATCAATGAATTTAAAGAATTTTGATATTTTCTAACAACATTTTGTTGAATTTCGCATTCATTAGTTTTTTCCTTTAATTCTTTTTTAGTATCCATGTAAATAAAATGATTACGCGTACGAGAATCTTCCATGTTTTTCAATGCATCTTTTTTAATTTCTAATGATTCTAAACAAGTTTTTAAATTCTCTTCCAACTCTATCTTTTTTTCTGTATTTCCTGACATATTATTTTTTTGTACTTCAATTTGGCTTAAAATTGATTTATAATTTTGTTCATATTCAGAAATTATACCCCACGCATACTCATTTTGAAACTCCATTTTTTTATTTCTTAAAGTTCCTAGTCTTTGGTTTTTTTTTTCATAAATCTCATATTCATTTACTTCTTTAAAACATTGATTCAAAACACTTTCGACATTTTGAAGTTTGTCAGAATATTCATTTGCAACTGATTTTGTTTTTTCTATTTGTGCTTCGTATATATTGCCAGATATAGCTTTGTAAAAAAGATCATACTTGGCATTTGGATTTGCACTTTTATGAAATGTTTTAACCATATTTTGATTCATAACACATATTGGATTTTCTACTAAAATATTGAAATGAAGAGTTAAACTTTTTAATTCATTTTTAGAAGCTTTAACTATTCGACCATTTTCATTTAAAAACTTGTATGGAACACTACCAGATTCTGTAATTTGTCTCACTATAGTTATTTCTTTACCATACACTTCAGGTTTGAAGGGAGTACTTTCATAGCTTCCTATCCCACCATTTGCTATTTTTATTGCAATAGTAGCCGAAGAACAACCATATTTAATAAATTTCTTTAATGAATCAGCACGGTTAGTAATGCTTGCTCTGGCACCAAAACCAATAACAAGAGCAGTTTGGATAGCACTTTTTCCACTACCATTCAAGCCTGATATAAAATTTATCCGAGGATTTAATGTTAAATGAAAATTTGAATGACACATAAAATTTTCCAAAGTGATAGATTTAATACTTCCATTATACCAATCTTTATCATTATAATCTGAATCTTCATCAAATTTACCACTAAGATTACCAATTTCTAAAAATATAAACAACATATTATTAATAAACTATTACTTTTTTAGATACCTATATAATAATTCATAATATTACTTATATATTTAACAAAATTTATTCTTACTTTGACTTAGTTGAGGTGTAAAATTCATTTTTAAGGTTTCAATTGAAAAATGTACTAAAATTCATAGTATATCTAGAAATGAATAAATATGAATCATAAACATATTATTCATTTTAATTATTACATAAACATGCAAAGATAGTTTATTCAATAGCTAAATAAATATATTTAATATAATCAATAATTATACATGCTAATATAATATATAATTTTTGCAAAATTTATTTTCAACTTTAAATTATTACTATACCATAATTATACTATATGTTAATACCTAAATCCCTGTAAGCAGAATTGAGGTTTACACCATGAATTAAGGTATCTTAATTTGATTTATGCTCGTGGAGTTTTAATAATAATATATGTTAAATAATTGAAATGTTATTCATTTAATTTAAGGAGATTGGAATAAATATTAGTTGATTTAGACCTAAAATCCACAAAAAACTGTAGTAATAGTGTTTGACGGATTATAATTCTTAAGTAGGACATATTAGAAATACAATTTTTGTTTTAGTGTAAATCTTAAAATTTGATAATAATTTTAAAAAAAATACAAAAATTTATCTACCTATTTAAAGTACTTCACCTTTTACTTATAATAACAATAATAAAAACTATATTCCAACGTATACTAGTTAAAAACCTAATGAACGAATTAAAAAAAAAAACATTTTCAAAATTAAAATCTGTCAAATGCAATCAAATTTTTAGATTTTTTTTTCATTCCTCTGTCTAAAACGTTATATTCATAAGTAAAAATAGACTAGAGCACAGATACATTTTTAACCAAATTACAATAAAAACAAATTTTAAAATATTTAATAACAATAAATAAATTATACATAATACTAGCTGTCCTGCACCCGGCGTTGCCCGTTCCAATTTGTATTATTATTATTTTACCTATATTAATTTTAGTTTTGACTGTCTTAGAATTGAATGAAAACAAATAAGTGGAAAGTGGGTAGTCCACCTTCGGCGGACTAAATGTGTTCTTCTATTGTGAAATTTGAATAGTATAAATAATAATAATAATAGTTTTCTTTTCCGTGGTAACCCTTGAAAAAACAAAGATCTTATATAAATAAAATAAAGTCGGGTTAGTTATACCATTATAACTCAAGAACGGCTGGACCGATGTTCATGACTAATGTCTAATAATGATTATTCACCATTTTTAATCATCCCTATTACCGGGGTAACACAAATCAAAAAAAAAAAAATTGTATTATATTATAAGCTAAATTATTTGATGTTGCTCGTATAAATATAAATATATATATATACATAGGAACATACTAAAATCGTGATTAAAAAATAGATGGGGGTAGGAAGGTGAAAAAAAATTTACAACCTATTCTCAGACCTACCAAATATACACAAAACATGTCATGAAAATCGATCAAGCCGTTTCACAGGAGTTCAATAACAAACACTGTGACCCGAGAATTTTATATACAAGATTTATTGTCATAAACTTTCCTATTTTACCTATATTATTCGTGGTTTTTCCCAATAATCAAGAAAATAATAAGGTTAAATCTAAAAACGACCACCGTTTACATCAATTAGATAAAATTTTCTTTCTGGTAGAAAAGTTGTTTACAGACAAAAAAAAAAAAAAATATTATTAGTAGGTAGGTAAAAAGATAATAAAACTTAATATAAATGCCTAGGTATAATATTTAAAAATTGCTATACATGTTATAATTGCTAGATATAAGAAACATTTTTTAAATTTTTAGTAAAATTTGGGATCCCTATGAATGAATTACCCCAAGACTAGTAATTTCATTAATACGGCGCTACAACAGTATTTATTATATAACATTAAGTAGGTACAAGGAAATGTCTAAAAATGTAATACCATTTAAGCAACTATGTATGTATGGAATTCGTAAAAGTTCAAATTTCGAAGAGCATTATAGAGCTCTCAAAGGCACAAACCCACTACTTACTGTCTATATTCAAAAAAAAAAAAACGACTCTTAGATTAGGTATATATTGTTAATTGTAATTATTGCGTAGTGGCGCTATTTAAATTTCTAAACATGTTGAACATTATTCGTACAAACTATAAAAACAATTTTGTTTTCATAGACGCTTACTATAAATACAGTATATATGTATTCCATATCCACTGCACACAATAGGTTTGGCAGTTATACTTCGGCATGCAATAATTATAGACGGTATATAAAATCAAAGAAAATACTTAACACTAAAATTAAAAAAAGGAGGGTTTTATAATACACAATAACGTACTTTATTGTCGAATGAAAAAACAATAGGAATAATAGACATCATCAATTTCATAATTCGTGTACTATAGATATATATATCAATTGTATATCTTCTATATCTATGCCGTGGACTGAGTAAAACTTGAAAACTATTGATAAGAATAATCGTAAAACGTTAACGACTAAAATTGGCGGTAAATCGTGGTCACAGATCGTAGACGGCACACGGGTTATAATATGGTGCTATACTATTTCCAGGTATATGGTCACAGCGAAATATCACTTCTCTTGGGATGATAAGAAGTATAACCTCAAAGAAAAAGTGCCAACTACGTTTAAGGATATATAATTATCTAATATATCATATTATTATCATTTATCTGTTCAACGAATGAAGATGTATCTTAACACAGTACATCTTAATTCTTGATCTGTTCGTTTATTATTTCGAGGGGATGAAACCTGTGTAAAAAGTTTGCACCATATGCACGTGATGGTATAGAAAAATTATTTGTGTACTTACAATTGTTTTATTAAACAAATTCGTATACAACCATAATAAATAATTAAGCTACCTATTATTATTTGTTTATTATCCAACATTCGTCTTTAATTTTTTTTAAACTATATTTAAGTTATCAAAAAAAGATTCTTACATAAGTTATAGAGCAACTTTTTACTTTTTAACTATACCTAGATACTGTCCGGTTTGGGAAATTAAAATTCAAAACACATATATCGACATTTTTGTGCCCACAAAGATATGGGCATTGCATTTTGTTGGAAAATAATAAAATAAAAAAAAAGCAACTTTTTTCGAATTTTGTTTGTTTGAAAATAGCGGAGCACTATTTAAACGTCGTACACTATTTCACTACACAGAATAATGCTCAAATACTCTTCTCCTACTCAAACTTAAAAGCGGAATCGGGTTGACTGAAATAAAAAACTTATTGAACTGTATTTAAACAAATACTCTATCAATTTATGGAATTTTTGAATATAGGTTGCTATTTGAAAATCAAAATATAAAATAAAATTCGGTTCACCCCCAAAAATAAATGAAACAAATAATAATCGCAATGAAGTATTTTCAGAACTCTTTATATCTTATTTGCTTCTAAAATTGTCAAAAAAAAAAAAAACGATTCTGAGCGCAGTTCAGTTGAGTGATGATTTGTCAACAATATATATGTCCTATTATAGTAAAATAATTAAATGGGCATTATGTAATTTCATTAATAAAATTTGTTTAATATTGTACCGATTTTCACGTTTTTCTCATGTTTTTTCACATTTTTTAGGAAAATTCTCGGGAAAATTAAAAAATTACATCCCTTTAGTACTACACTTAACAAATTTTCTTTTGGAAAAATTGCTATCATTGTAAATCGGAACAAAATTGCTAGTAGAAAAGTTCTCTACAGAAAAAAAAAGTCTTAATATTTTACTAATATATTTTGTATATTTTCCAGTTTTTCACGATTTTTCCAATTTATTGGGACAACTCGTGGGAAAATCGAAAAACTACTTCCTTGAAAGATTTCCTTTCAGAAAAAGTGCTATCATTTTAAATCGAAAAGGAATTGCTGGTAAAAAAGTTTGTACAACAAATCAAAGGGTATTTTGCGATTAAAATAGTCCGAGTGAGTGATAGCTTGGGTCTCTAAGTATACCCAAAATGCATTTGATTTTCCTTGTTTAGGTAAAAGGGAAAAAATTTCAAGTAATTTTTTACAAAACACTAGTTTGTACTTGGAACCCCTAGGAAAATAAAAGGCATAAACTAGATCACGACAAATATGTTTGAAGAGGTACAATATAGAGTTATTTAACATAACATATAATATCCGCATATCAGAATTTCAAAAAGCTATAATTTTGAAACTTAGTCAGTCCGCTTAATTCTGATTTTTTCATCGTTTTTAAATCAGCAATATATATGTTTTAAAAAATAATAAAATTGAAAAATAAGATTTGTTCCCCATAATTTTTTACTCAAACAATTTTTGTCAAAATTTGATATTAAAATTCCTTTATAAAAAAAATACTACATAAAAACTAAAATTTTCTTTGACCACAAAGTAAGACTCTTAATGAACCCCCTGTTAAATTTTCAAGCATTTCTGTTCAAGTCTAACAATTTTACCACAGAGTACTTACCGAATAAAAATGACATATAAAACTCTCAAAATTAAAATGTCTATAAATAGCTCAAAAATGGCTTAAAGTTTTTGAAAATATTACCATGTCTAGAAAAGACAAATTTAAGTTTTCTGTCCAAATTTCAAGTTTCTACAAATATTTTCAACTGAATTACAACAAATAACAAAAATGAAAAATAATAAAAGTATAATTTCATAAATTTCCTGTTTTTTTTTTTTTTACGTCTTATCCCGGTTTTTCCCAGATATTATGAAAACCGTTTTTCGAAAATCAAAAAAATTATTAATATAGTATTATTTTTTGTAGTTATATTACATAAGGAATTAAGCTATTACCATAGGAGAAAAGCTAATTTTAAAATGATAAAAAATTAACACAAAAATTTCATAAACTCTAGAGCACATATGCGACCAGAAGATATGAACCGATTTTATTTTTTTGTCCTCATTTAAATCTTCTCAATTAGCAATTTGTCTGCGGTATTCAACTTGCAAAAACCCACCCTAATGTCTGCATCATATAATTGGTAGTATAATATCACTTTATAAATGACAAAAACACTTAAAATATTGGTTGTTCCACATGCCTAATTTCCAACCCAGTAATTGAGGCATTAGCATGTTACGTTAGGTAAGTTTTTATTTTGTGTTCAGTATGTTAATATGGGATCGGGCTATCTTATCAAAAACATTATTTTCAAACTACTGCTTATCACTGTCAAAATATCAACTAAGTTTACAAATTTATTTTAAAACCTTATTGCTTTATACTTGAAAGAGTTGGTTTTTATTTCAATAAAATAAAAATATGAATTATATATTTATATAAAATGCATTATATATGCACTTATACAGTTTACTTTTAACAATCAATTTAAATTATATCTAATAATGTTCCCATGGTTTTTCTGGTCTTTCTATATCCCAAGGGTTTGGTAGTTTATATCGAGGATATTCTTCTAATCGTACACCACCTTCCAATATATTTGATAATAAAGCTTCAAACTGAAAACAAAAAACAAAAATCTTTAAATCACATTCAATTTTAATGAAATTGATATAACATAAAACTATTTTAAGAAGTAATTGGCTAAAAATTTTAAATTTCTATGACTTTACTTTATTTAAAAAAAAAATTACCTTACTACCAGGTATAGCTTCATAAGTATTCATCATTTCAGAAATACCACTTTCTAAACAACGTTGTGCCAAAACTTTTCCAATAGTTGTGTATGCTACTTTATCTAAAGTACTAAAAAAAGGAAAAATAAGTATATAAGCAAAAATTATCATACTAATACAATTAAATACAGATAAGTAACAATAAAAAATATATTATGAAACTTTACATAATATGCAGATTTTATAAATATTTTGTGTTACATTATATTGGTTAATGTCAAGTGGAGACTGGGTTCAAAAATCAGCATGAGTGAATCTAGCCTAGTTTGGTCAAATTTGTATGAACGGAAATAGTAGTACACATAGAATTTTCTTTTTGAGGCAGTATTGTGTTTATAGTAATAGAATATAAGTCATAAATATATTACAATATTTTATTATTAATATACAATTTAGATAAACGATTTGCATGAAAGAAGAAATTGTTATGGGGATGTCTGACCTTTTACACTTTCACCTATATGAGTCACTAAAGTCAGTCATTCCATGTCAGTTTTTCTCAAGTTTACATGCACAATTTTAAAATTAAAATGTAAACTTATGTCTCTTGATTTAAATAATATAATGTATCTCCTTTTTAATCATTTATATATAACCATTTATTTATTTATTAGTTATCTACTTTTAACATTTCTCAGCATTTTGAAACATTGTATTTATATTGTTCCTATTAGTTATATTTATCTGATTTTATTTGCATAACTCTCATCTTTAACACTGCATTTGGCTTTAGAGGTGATTCAAAAATATTTCTTTTATATACTTTCTATAAATATTGTTGTTAAAGAGTTAATAAATTGCCTATTATTATTACAATAAAAATAGGCATATTGATTAGTAATACTGACAAATTGTAAGTTGAGTTGTAGGATTAATGAGAGTTTGGGTAAATCTAATCTACTTCAAATTAAAAGATATTTTGTAAATATGAATTATAACCGTAATTAGATATTATATAGTTTTTATTTTATTTCATCGTTCTCAAATTTAAAATTGTGAATAAAAAATTATACAAACCTGTAAAGCTGTTTTCGTATAGCCCATTCTGCAGTACTTACTTGTATCGGAACCATTCCAGTATGATGTAAGACACTAGCAGTCACATGTCTTTTACTTATTGTTATTTGTAACCTAAGAATAGAGAACAACCTTTTATAATACCTACTAAAAAATATTAAAACAGCTTAAAAAACCTTACTTATGCCAAAATTCATGACCAGGTTTTTCAAGATGGTAGCCTGCTGGTTTGTAAGCAATCCTCATCTTCTCCAAATTTCTCGGGTTACGATTAAATACATATTGAGCGTAAGGAGCTGAATCTTCAGTTGATGTGCTACGACACCTTAATATAATGTTCGAATTGATTATCTTCGGCAATAGGCCTTTGGGAGTCCGATCAATCAGCATTTTTAATTTGTATGAATATATTCAATTCTTTAAAAATAATTAATGAATTATTTGAAAACTACACTTGACTTTTCCAAAAACGATAGTTATATGAATATATTGATAACAAGTTAAATGATAATATGATAATATAAAAAAACAACTGGAGGCTGTGGTCTTAGATCATAATATACAAATGTTATACTATAGGTCTACATTGATTTTATCTAAGTATCTACATTCTACATCGTTTAGTAGTCTGAACCACGGAATAAGATTACTCTATAGTCTAAACATAGCATTGATAATATAGATAATGAATCAGAACATAGAGTAATAATATTAGAATAATTATTAAACATCTGGACGCAGGACCATTCATAGATATAAAACCATCTGGTATTTTCATTATCATAAATTCGTGAAGTGAACTTTCCATGGTTACTTGTGTGATAAAACTAAGTGGCCTTGACTTCATATATCGGCATTAGACATTCAATCACGTACCTGCTACCCATATTATTACTTATTAGTAATCGTTCTAATTGGAAGTTAAAATTCAGTTCAGTTCTTAATAATATAAATACATCAACCAAAAAATTTCTTATTAACATGGATACGACATTCTTACCAGAATATTTAGAGTTTCTGGTGAAAAACTGGCTGTCGTGGAATCAAGTATGAATTTTGGAAATAGTTGTGTAAATTAAAAGATGTACTTGTTTACATAGCTGTGGTTTTCAGTCAAAACAATATAATATAGAATTGGAAGAGTTATTGAAACAAAAGAATGTGGATAAATTAAAAAATATCTTTCACGGTCGTCTGTCATTTGGAACAGCAGGCCTGAGAGCAGTGATGGGCCCTGGTTTTAAATGTATGAATGATCTGGTTGTTGTACAAAGTGCTCAAGGACTTTTGCATTACATGCTTAACATTTTTGGAAATCAATTAAAAAAAGCTGGCATAATTATTGGTTACGATGGACGATATAATAGTAAAAGGTTGGAGAACAATATTTAAAAATAATTTATTTTGAATATCATGATTTTATTTATTTAGGTTTGCAGAACTGACAGCTAATGTATTTTTAAAATATTCCATTAAAGTTTATCTTATGAGTGAAGTTTGTCCAACTCCGTTTGTAGCATTTGGTATTAGGCAGTACAAATGTTGTGGTGGGGTAATGGTAACTGCATCACATAATCCTAAAGAAGATAATGGTTATAAAGTATTTTGGGAAAACGGTGCTCAAGTTAGTAAGTTTTGACAAATATTAATAATTTGAGTGGTTGGCAATGACTTATGCAAGAAAATATTGAAATTTATTTTTTAGATAATTTCCCCAGTTGATAAAAATATTGAAAAAAGTATTACTGAACATTTAGAACCTGAAGACAATGTTTGGAATACTGAAAACATATACAATAATAATTTGTTAATAAACCCTTTGATTGACCTTCAAAAATGTTACAATAATTCTATCAATGAAATATTGTTTCCTGATTTGGAAAAAAAGAAAACAAATATTGTTTTCACATATACACCTATGCATGGTGTTGGATATCCATTTATTAGAAATGTTTTTGACAGCGCAAAATTTAACGCAAGTTTTTAAATTTTTATTAGAAATAAATTAACCGAAAATATATAAAATCAGTTTGATATTTTCTTTAATTAATATTTTAAAATTTTGAATTGTGTTTAGCCAGTAGTAGTTGTAGAAAAACAAAGAGATCCAGATCCAAATTTCCCAACTGTGCCATTTCCAAATCCAGAAGAAGGAAAAATTGCATTGAAATTGGCTATAGAAACAGCTGAAAATAATAGAAGTCGTATTATACTTGCAAATGATCCTGATGCTGATAGATTAGCAGTAGCTGAACATTCGTAAACTATATGAATAAATAATTTATTTAAAAATTAAATAAAATATTTAGGAAGCAATTTTTATTGTTTTTTAGAATTGGAAGTGAAGATTGGAAAATATTTACAGGAAATGAACTTGGTGCCTTATTAGGATGGTGGATGATACATACATATAAAAAAATACATGGTAAAACACATCCTAAATTAGTTTTACTTTCAAGTACTGTATCATCTGCAATACTTAATTCTATGGCTAAAATAGAAGGTATCAGGTTTGAAGTAAGTTCTTAAAATTTGAACAGTTTTAATATATTATATTAGCACATGGAAATATATAAATGTGAAATAAATACAGTACAGCACCATTACTCATTTTTTTGTTTCCAAATGTGTTTCAATGCACTAAATTCAAAAATTCCAACAGGTGTTACAGATTTCAGATACCTAAGAAATAATATAAATAGTTAAAACAATATGCACAGCGACATCAAATTGAGAATTACATCAGAAAATAAGGTTTAGGTACTATGTTCTAGGAAAGTTGACAAGTCGAAAATCTTATTCACAATATCAAAGGAATATTTATATTCCAGATTTCTTTGTCCAGTTCTGATTTATGGGTTTGAAACCTGATTATAACTAAGGGAGATGAAGATAAAATGAATATACTTTTTAAAGGAGAATACTACGTCAAATCTACGAATCTATAATTGATAACGGAAAACATAGAAAACAAACTAATCAAGAAATATACCAATTGTTCCAAAAACCTATCATAATTACGTTTCTGAAAAGCAAAAGAAATAGAATGGGCTGATCATATTTGGAGATCTAAAGGTATAGCAAACAACATTCTTTCTTGGACGCTGAATGAAAAAAGGTCCAGGGGTTAGCCTAGGCAAAGGTGGTGTACAGGATAATATCATATCTTGCTGAAGTCTCATAAAGCATAAGATTAGAAGACTATTAAGATTAGTAAGAGTAGAATTATATGGAGACAAGCAGTTAAGCTAGGAAAAAGTCCTGTAAGCTAGAAAAAAAAAAAGAAAAAATGTTTGTTTGATTTTTTTTTTAAACTTGGATCAAAAAAATATTTTCAAATATTTTGTTGACAGATTTTAATGCTGAAGATGACAGTGCAATTTAAATTTGTTAAAAAATATTATTTTAGAAGTTTTTAAAAGAGATTTAAAGACCAATGCATTTTGGTGTACATAGAGACCTGTTAGGGTCACTTGCTTGCTTAGATTGATTTAAAAACAAAAAAATATCAAAAATTGTTCTAAACATTTTCAAATTCAGTGTATTCAAATTCTTATTTTGAAAAAAACAATTCCTATAACAAGCAATGGTGCTAAACTGCTTTTATACCATAAATACATAATTACTATATAGTAGTTTAAAATGTTTTAATTCAAATAAATTAAAATGTATGATTATTAATAAATCTTAGGAAACACTAACTGGATTTAAGTGGATGGGCAATCGAGCTGATCAACTTGCCGCTGAAGGATATAAAGTCCTTTATGCTTTTGAAGAGTCTATTGGTTACATGTGTGGCAATGAGGTTTTAGATAAAGATGGAATATCTGCAGCTGTTAAAGTTGCAGAAATGGCCATTTATTTAGAAAAAGAAAATAGTACATTATCTTCAGCTTTAGAATCAATATATAACCAGTAACATTAACAGTTTATAGTTAAATTATTATTTGCAAATTAAACTATTTTATTTTGTTATAGTTACGGTTGGCATTTATCTGTGAATTCTTATTTTATATGCAATAATAGTCTGACGATAAAGAAAATATTTGAATCATTAAGACAAATTAATAACCAGCAAAATAATGTAATATTTAACTAAATATTATAATATATCATAAACAATAATTGATTTTTAACATTTTTTAGTATCCAAAATCCATTATGGGAGGAAAGTATCCAATCAAATCTATTAGAGACTTAACAACTGGATATGATTCTAGTACTCTGGACCATATACCATTATTACCTATATCAAAATCGTCTCAAATGATAACTTTTAACTTTGATAATGGATTAATCGCTACATTACGAACAAGTGGAACAGAACCCAAAATAAAATATTATGCTGAATTATGTTGTGATCCTGAAAATTCTTTGTAAGTTAAATTAAAGCATAATAGATTTAAGTGTTTAAAATTTGGAACACTTATTTAATATTTATCTTTTGTTTGATATTATATTAGGCTATTTTTTTTTTTCTAGTGATGTGAACAAATTAAAAGGTGTTCTGAATGAAATGATTGAAGCAATAATTGACGAATTTTTAAAACCCCATGAATATTCTCTTATTTTTCGTAAAAATTAGTGCTGTTTTGCAAAAAGTTTTGCTTTAAATTATATTTAACAAATTTTCAATTGTATTAGTTACATTCCATTAAAAATTGGTCAACGCTATACATTATAAGTTTTCAATTAAGGTAAACTGATAACATCAGTAACTAAACCATCTTAAATAATTAATATGTGAATATACTTTAATCATTCCTATATTTAGATAAAATTGTATGTAGAATTATTATTTGTTTGAATTATTTATTATTAATAAACACAAACAGATTTAATATTAGTATAAACAAATATATTTTGACTTAAAAATGTTCATACATTAGCGACAACTTGCCATAATACCCAATATATTTTCATAATCAATTTTCTCTGTAATGTTCTTGGTTTTGATATTATCATCTTGATTTACAATAAACACATATTTATTATCAACCTCTTTCCAGTTGTATTTTTGTAACCAGTGTTTTAGAGCAGCATCTGTTAAAAAGTAGAATGATTGTAATAGATTTGGTCTCAATTGAAATATATAATATTAAACATACCATCAAGACCTCCAAGTAATTCTGTAAGAGTATGCTTTTCGATTGATTGATATGTTATACCAATCACATGACAAACAAACTTGCGCACAGAATCTAAAAATCCATTTACTTTTTCATAAAGTTCTGGCATAGAGTGGGCATGATACCAAAATTGTTTGTAATTGCAATTTTCCAATAAATCTGCCAAAAACAATACATGTTTCAATGGAACTTCTTGACACTAAATCATAATAAAAAAATCAAGTAAATAAATTATTTAAAAATAATAAACAATAATATTTAAAAAGTTGATAATTTCCAAGACCACTATTAAATATGGATATTAGGAAAGAGTGGAAGTTAGGATATACAGGGTTATTTAGTGTATATGCTGTATTTTTTTTAAAATTTATATATATGTATATTTAACACCACAAATGGTAAAAGTGTAGATAAATTATTGATCATTTGCCTTGTGAATTAATTATAAAAATATATTTAAATACAGTGTACAAATATGAAATAACAATAAACGGTAATATTAATTAAATAGTAAGAAAATAGAATATCAATTTCCTTACAAAGTCGAAACAGAAATCAAAATAAGGTACATTATTGCATGACTTCAACAAATGGATGAATGGGTCATTTAATTGTCAGTTTCTAGAATATGGGTGTATGTAGAAAGTGGGAGAATTTTAAGTATTAACTACAGGTACCCTCCAAGACATTTTCTCTACAAACTCGGGGGCAATTGATCATGTTATTAACAAAATTATAAATAAAAATAACATCAGTGGTCTCAGGTTGTTTTGCTAAAGTTGGTAAACGAATTTGTTTCTCAGCTAAATTTTAAGGACAGTCTACCATACCCAATTTAAAGAAAACATAACAATAAATTATTGTAAACGGAAAAATATTTTCTGAGGGGAGTAGTATTAGTAGTAAATTATAAAATGTAAACCAAAAATAATAGTGTTTTTACATTTTTATTCATACCTAATCAAATTTATTAAAATTATATAATTTAAAGCACCTATAGGTACTTATGATAATACATTTTAGTTACCTACAATGAATGAATTATAGTTCACTACTCTCTCATTGGTTCTTTTATTTCTATATAAACAAATTGAATAGACAAAAATTGAGTATTATCTTTGATATGAGTCAGTGAATAGGTAGCTGAAGACTAGGGGTCTTGCATAGTGAAGTGTTTAGGTTTACACTTTGAGCACTAACTTCCTAATATCATTAACAAATATAGATCTACAAACCAATAAGTATCTATTGGTTAAATTTGTCTTTCTTTCTTTTAACGGTTCTCCCTTACACCTGTAGTGTGTTCAAATATGGGCCAATATAATGGTAAAACAGGATAAATTTAAATCATGCAAGACAAAAAATTGTGTTTCTATCGTCAGCATAGTAAAACACAGAAGTTAAAAAAAAATAAATAAAATTTGATAATCGGTTGATATAACACTTGTTCTCAATTTATAAATATGTTGCAAAATAAAAAGTAACAGATTCTAGTCTTCTTAAAATTCATCTCACCAATTTTTCATTCAATAAACACTTGCAGAGCACAAAATCAGAGTGCGGGAAGTTAGTGATCGCTTTTAACATGATTTGGACAGTGATGTCCAAATTGTAATCGTGATGAAATTGATAAATTTTGAGCACAGCAAGATTAGCTTCTAGATCATATGTGTTCTCTTGAGATTGTACTTCTACATAATGTTCTAGTGTAGATAAATGCTGAGGATTATACCTATAGTAGAACAATAATAAATTTATGTAAATATTGGAATTCGATTTCAGTATTTAATTGCATGTATAATTGTTACAAACCTCTCAATTCCTTGCAAAAGGGACGCAACAGTTTGTCTCATTGCTTCAGCCATGGTTGCGTTAGTTCAAAGGCAATTATTATTTGTATAATATTGAAAAAATGAATACAAAAAGAAAGACACAACTAGAACAGCTATTATCTAATTAATAAATATTTAATGTTCCTAAGACCACAAAATTCACCCTGATCAGAATAATATGCGATCGTGTGAGGTCGATAAGCAAAATATGGAAGAAGCGGCAGGGTAGACAACATTAAAATATAGGTTGGTTTTATGTCTACGTTGTTCACGAACAATGACCGTATGACTGTGACATATTTTCTTATCTCTTTGGTTTTATTTTCAAATCAATATAATGAGATAAGCTATCAAATTAAATATTTAAATTTTTAATATCTTTAATCACGAACTAAGTATGTATTATAAATAATACATAAGTATTCCATATGGTATTATTTATGGAACTAAGAAATACTTGAGATATCTTAGATATACTTGGGATATCTTAGTATTTTAAAAATTTCAAATTAAACTTAAACATTTAAAGTGAAGTTTTTTTGAGAATAAATAAATAATATTGTTCCTCAGTAAGTATTTATTACCTTTTGTAAAAATAAAAATTCTTTAGATTCTTTGCCACATTTTACCCTTTAATACTGTAATTATAAAACTATGAATTATATTTACTACATATGAAGTTGGGCAGTTGTTTTTAAGTTGTTATGTAGAGCAAACTTAGATATATACAAACCTAATTGCTTATGTTAGTAGACATACAACAAAAGTTTTATTTTTTAAATATAATTATGTAATAAGGTAGTAAGGACCGACTCTGAACAGCTTCAATTTATTATAATATCAGCAGCCTTAGTGTCAGACTGTTGAAAACTTGACCAGTCTCAATTGACTCTAGACTCTAGAGCAATAATGTTAGCTTCAAAAGTAACATACTTTTTAGTACTTGATGAATTTTTCTTTTGAAAAAATAAACAGATTCTTTTGAACAGTTTGTTTGGAATTATATGCTAATTTATTTATGTGCAAATGTCTAAATTTCTGAGAAACATAAATGATAATCTTAGCATAGTAGTGCTATTGTAGATGCAGATGGTAATAATTTTAGGTTACAAATTAATGTATATATCTTACTTTGTAGTTAGGGTTTAAGTCAGGCTCTTTGAGTAGTAAAAAAAAATAAAGGCAAAATATTGAAAAAAGCCAAACACATATATTTTCTGTGCTTTCCGTTTAAATTAGGTAACAAATAAATGTGTTAAAATCTCATATATTTTTGTGAGAAATTACCTTATTACCTTACCTTGATAAGGTAAGGAATGGGAATGGAAAATATATAGGTAATTTTTCAATATTTTTATATTTTTTTTACCCCCAAGAGACAGACTTTTACAGACTAAAATTTGTCTAATACCACAAATGCACACTTCTAAACCTGTCATATCTCTGTGGGAAATGGGAAAATTGAATCATAGAATATAATGTTGGATTTGATGTTCTACTTATTTTGTTAAGTATAATACTAGCTTACAGTTTTCAAATTACTAAAACGTCTATAACTACTAAATAAAAATCAAAAACAAGTAATAATTCTAAACTGTTATATAACATTTTTTTTTTATAATGTTTCCACAAAAATATTTAAATATTTTCAGAATCAGTCAAAATACATGCCTTTTAAAAAAAAAAAAAATGTTAAATCTGTTAGGGAAGTAATCAAGTGCTCTATGTATAAATAATTTTAGACCTAGTTATACCTTTTTTTAACAAAGTGGTATGAGAAGTATTCAAATTAATATAACAATTAAATGATCACAAAAAAGATTCATTATAATATTATTTTATTCTTTAGATTTCTTACAAACAGCGGATGCTAAAATAGCTGCGCCTCTTCCACTTCCATCCTCAGAAAGTATAATATCAAATTTTATACCAATATTTACTAACTCGTTTATTTTGTCAACCAATAATTGATGATAAAATGGATGGTATCGATACACTGAACCATCTACTCCAATTGTTACATCCTTAGTATTCATCTTGTTTAGTAAAACTGTAAGTCCAGCAGCAACTAAGTGAGCAGATCTTTTTGAAATACACTCGGCTGCATACCTTAAATTCATACAATCACTGTCAGTAGAATTATTTACTCCAATTTCTCTAAGGAATTTCCTTGAATTGGTAAATGTTCCAGGTGGATCACTCTCGATTAGTGATATTACATTAGTCGTTAATGATTGGGGAGTATTTAGTATTTTAGGAATCATTCCATCAAATATTAATTTTCCTTTTATCATGTCTAATAATATTAATCTTAACAATTCTCCTAAATATTTCCCAGATACCATTTTTTCAAAAATTTGTTGACTAGGATGTTCAGAATTTCGATCAACAATTTTGTCGTATTTAGTCAGAAAATCACTTAATTCATCATTATCGCCAAATGCACCCCACTCTAAGTTGATAATCATTTCTTCCTTTGTTGAACTACCATTATATGACTTGATATTTTTCACCTTAAAATTAATGGTTTTATTATTAAGAATATTATAAATATAAATATATTAAATTTTACTTTTTCTACATAACAACAATTGCAGCCAGTTCCAACGATTAAACCAATTTTCGTTTTTGAGTTTAGCCACGCACAAGACATTAGAGTGCCGACAGTGTCATTTAAAAGAGAGCAAATTGTAACATTTAAATCTTTAGATTTTTTTATTGATTTATTTAAGAGTTTTACTACATCTTCATCAACTACACCATCACATGTGAAACCTTTCGTCCATCTAACAAGTTTTCCAGAGTTTATACTCAATTGTGATATTGGGAAACTAAATGTGAAGCCCAATGGTAGATAACTTGTTGATTTAATTCCTTGAGAATTAACAAAGTTATTTAAACACTCGGCTATATAATCAAATAATTGTATGCCCGATCCAATCATTAAATCTTTAGATATTACATATGTTTGTTGGTCCATTTTGAAATATTTATTTATACCTAGTTCCAATTTAAGAACACGGAAATTAGAACCACCCAAATCAAGGGCTAGAAATTCTCCTTCTTCATTACCAGTAGGCATGTCTTGAACATATGTTTGCCAACATTTGATTGTAGCTTTTTTCTGTGTTTCTTTTCCAAGGCCTTGATCAATACAAAAACTCATTTGACTCATAAATTGTTTTAGTTTGGTGTTTGACATTACAAAAGTTTTACATAAACGTCTGACTTTAATATGATTTTTCCATGTTGTTAAGCTATTTAAATGTCCTTTACAACATCGCCTACAATTTATCATATTTATAATTTTAAAATAGTGTATAGTATGTTAAAATAATATTTCCTTTTATTATAAATATATAATTAAAAATGTAAACAATATTGTTTATTAAAAAAATTCTATAAAATAATAAATGATGTTTATTTTAGGAATAGCCATGGTTTCAACACGTTTTCAACTTAAGATAACATCTTAAAAATATTATAATTGAATAAACAATTTTCATTGTCTTTGAATACAATAATTATTAGATTATTTTGCAATCGCTATTCTGATTTTTATAAAAATCATGCACACAAATTGTATTTATATTTTATTTCACTAATGTCAGTTTTTTAAACTTCATAATATAACATTGGACATTATTAAAAAATTTACTTCTTCTGTTTTACTAGTTTATTATCTATAATTAATATTTATTATTTTATGTAGGTGTAAGAAGTCAAAAATGCCAGATTTGCAAACACCATCAGGTATATTGACAAAAGAATGTTTAAGAACACAAATTTGTGGTAAAATTATTTTTATATTGTTATTTTGTTCTGTATGTTTATTTTAATTGTTATATAGGTGAAAGTGATTGGCCAAAAAATACAGTTTTATATCAACCATATGAGACAGAACAAATTTTATTACCTGACAACTCAAAATGTTTATCAGTAAAAACGTTTTTAAAAATGGCTGGCTTAGAATTTATTGTGGAAGCAAGGGAAAACGCTGAATATATGTCGCCGCATCGAGGTAAAGTACCATTCATTAAAGCTGGCCTATTTTTAGTTGCTGATTTTGAGCCAATCGTCAACTTTGCTCAATCAAAAGTGAGATTAAATGATTTAAAAGTGACTTAAATATATTTAAGCAGTGATATTTTATAGGGCTATTCACTATCTAAACATCTGGATGAAACTCAAAAATGGGATCTTAGAGTATATATGGCACTGGTTAACAATGTTCTTTTGAATGCTGAGGTTTGTAACAGTGAAGTATTTTTAGATCAATTCTATAATTTATACAAATATAATATAGATTGAAATTATAGATTTATGTTACATGGAATCATGAACTCACTTATAAAGAACTCACCAAACCAAGATATAGTTCCGTGTATCCTTTTCCTCTTAACCACTGGGCTATTTATTACAAGCGACGTGAAATGCTATCACATTTAGATGTATTAGACTGGAAAAAAAAATCATTGGATGAAGTATTTAAAGAAGTGGAGAAGATTTGTCAGTCGCTGTCAACCTTTTTAGGAGACAAGAGTTATTTTTTTAATGAAAAGTATTAATATAACCATATATTTATAAAAATACATATACATTATTGGTGAAATTTTTTTTCAGGCCAACTGAATTAGATGCTTTAGTGTTTGGACATTTGTTTTCCATAATAACTACACCTTTATTAAATAATCGTTTTGCTGCTACAGTCAGAGCTTATGACAATCTAGTTCAATTATGTGTTCGCATAGAAACAGAATTTTATCAGTCTAGAATCCTGTAATATACTTATGTATTGTTAGTAAATTAAAGAATTAGTTTGTTTTTGTTAATTGATTTATTTTGATAAATGAAGTGATTATTCAATTTTATCAATTAAAAACAAAATATTCAATAAATTATTGTATTAAGTTATTTGATTTTTTTTAATTGTATCACTAATACTAATAATAATAATAAATTATATATAAGCTATCAATAAAAAATGTTTGGTTTTCATTTTCTCAAATAATTTTAATCTTTATTAATTTATTACTAATAACAACCAGAGAAACAACAATATGTTTACAATATATAAAATATGCAATCAAATCCAATCCAATTTAATAAAATGGAATACAAAGAATAATAATGATTAAAGTTCATTAAGTTAGAGATTTAATTTTTGTTGAAAATGAAAATAAATTATCATTGTTATAATCATAATTGTTTATACGATTATAGGATGATAATACTTGACTGAACAGTGTATTGAGGCTATAATTTTGGCGGCGGTAATTTATATGGAAAGTCTGTAGATTTCATGGAATGAGGAGGAACATTAAAATGTATTCTTGCAATTATTTCTAGACAGTCAATATAATTGTTTTGCAATTTATGAACAAATGATATATCATTTAAAAACTGTAGATTGACTAGGTTTTTTAGGCTATACTTAATCATCATTAAGTTAATATTACGCGCTGGAAGATTAGTTATAAGTCCCAAAAAATAAAATCGTAATAATTGTTTCTGAATATTTTAATTTTGTTTATTCAATAGTCTGTGGAAAGATTCCAAATTATGTTGTTGTATTATAATATAGAGGAACTTAGGAAGCAATATAGTAAATTTATGTAAAAATCATAAATATTAGGGTTTTTTAAAACATGTAAACAAATCCCACTCAGATTCTGAACCTCAGAATTGTTTTTGTTATCAATGATAAATTTATACATACAGATTTACATTAAATTCTCCTCTATACCTTCCCAACTTCTCACCTACACAGTGGCCTCCCATCTTGCAAAGTTTATTTTGTGTATAATATATTAATATTCATGTGTTCATTAAATAAGAGATTATTAGATAATACAATACCTAGATTATTTATTGAAAAAGTAATAGATAATGGAACATCATACATTTTATCATTTATTGTAATATGGTTTTTATGATATTAGTTTACATTTAGCAACATTTATTTCTAACAAATTTGTATCAAACCGTAAATAGTCTATAAATATAATTTTGGACAAACTTAGGTACTGTGTTCATGAACGTTAATTGAGTAATATAATTTAAGGTCTGCATCTGCAAATATTTTGTATTTTAAAATACTTTATATACTCCTGTTCAGGAGGGGGACTGACTAGGTCACAGGCCAATCCACAGTTTTCAAACTTCAGGCCAAGTAGTGGCTATGCTCCTTATACGACATACAGGATAGCATTAGTAATTAGAAGAACTGGGGAGATACAGGGTAATTTAGTTTCTGAACTGAAAGAGCTTACACTAAGAATCTTAATTGATATTAATGTACATGACACTATATACAAATAAAGGTATATGTATATTGTATGGTGTATACATGATTATAATAATAAATGCCAAACAAATTTAAAGTTATATTGTTGTTATATTTAAAGCAGGTATATTATACATGAAAGTTGATATTTTCCATAAAATAAAATTAGCATTCCTTTCAGTTCAATAGAAGCTAAATGATTAATATGAGTAGGTACATTCGTTAATAAAGTTTTTGCTGTGTATACGTATATTATTCAGTGTTTAGGGTTTACAACTTATCATATTATAAATATAGATATTCATTTTTATCCAACTGGCCAAATTATAATACGAATAACAGGCTAGTCAGTATTTGCTGATCAGTGGACCAGACCAGTCCGCTCCGGTTCCTGATGTAACTATAAATGGCTCTAAATGTGTATTTTTTATTTTCACCAATTGAGTTCTACATGTTAAGTAAAAATGAAACCATGGTAAAAGAGGATCAGACATTCCTATTATTTATTAATAAATCGTAACCATTATACATTCATTATTTGAATAGAGAATTAAAGAAAGAAGTTTAAGTGTAATTTATTTTTCCGAAAATTTTGGTAAGGCACTAGTTTTAGAAATAGGGTGGTAATTAAAACTTCCAAAGATCAGGGAATATCCCTGTAGGAAGTGATGGTGAATTGGAATCGATAAAATATAGCAACACTTGTGAAGAACAATTTGCATTAAGAAAAACTTGTTCTGATTGATCCGATTTGAATTATGTTGTGGGGCAATGGTCAATGTGAGGCGTGAGAAACTTGAGGTACCGGATTCAAACCACGAAAGGAATACTTAATTTTGGACTATTTTTACAAAAATATCCCTTGAATTGTGCGATTCTGAGTATACCCGCATTTCCGAAATATACCCCCGGGTTTGTATTAATAAAAAATTGATTTAAACTATTAAAACCATCGAGGGTATATTGCAAATCAGAGACATTAACAGCACCAGAAACTAGATTATGGTATTTGGCAATTGGATACATAATTGTATTGTAAACAGAAGAGAAATATGAACTTATTATATTAGAGATGACTAACTAATGTCTTATGTGGTATTATTGCCGTAAGATATCACCATAGATTTTATAATATTCTATAACCAATGATATCACTGATGGAATGGAATCTGATTATTTTTATTTTGCATGTATTTCTAAACAAATCTAGGATTACAAAGAATACTAAAAGTTTTTTTACATTCTTTACTTGCAAGCTACAGCAACAAAATTATTATAAGTCAATTTATATAGTTTATGTAATTTATTTTTTCACAAGTAGTTTGTTTATGTTCAAGATTAAATTAATGTAGATATTTAAATGAGTGTGGTAAAGTTGTTAAATGAATTATATCAATTACGATTTTATAAAATACTTCCATTGCTTCATTAGCTAACATTTAAGTTTTGAAAAAAATCAAACCATTAAATTGTTTTTAATAATTGACACACATATAGTTGACATTTGATTTATTGTAATTGAAAAATGAATTACAGCCTGTCTAATGATTATGATTTTGATAATAATTTAATAATGACAATAAAATTCAAGTACTTGACTAGCTTCAATACAATTATTATAACTGGAAATACATTTTGAAGGATTAAGGAATTAGAATTCAGGACACTAAACTTTGAAAAATTTTATTTTACATCAAAGCACAATGTCATAATTTTTATTTTATTGATAATAAAGTATAATCATAATGCAATTAAACAATAAAAATGAAACAAAAATTTAAGAAAAAAAATAAAATGGTGAACAATAAATTGAAGTTAATTTACCCAATTCCTAAATAAATATACACTTGCACTTTTTCCATAACAAATATTTATAATAACTCATTTAACGTTTTCATAAATAAGTAAAATACTGAAAACTTAACCAAATACTGAACAAACTTATATATGAAAATAAAATATTTTCAAAAGCAACATAATTTTCAAATTAAACATAAAAATTAATTAAAATTATACAATATATATTATTAGTAACTAATATTTTCATAAATATAATAGGGTTTAACTGTAAGATATTGTGATGTACATAATTATTTTTTAAAAGATCACTTAATTTTTTACTACAATTTGTTATAATAAAATAAAACTAATATATAAGTACAGTTAATATAATTAATATTGATATTTTAATAATTAAAGGAAGACAGTTATAATATTGAATAATTTGTTATTGATCAAAACTAAATATTAAAATATTTTATGGATCTTAACTTTAAAATACTGTATGTAATATGCCTAAATACAATTAAAATACAGTAGTTTAATAATACTACTCAATATGATTGCAGCTGAGGAACAAGGCAAACAACAAGGTTAGCTATCACAAAAAGATGCAGCCTTAAGATGATGATATTATTATTATTTATTAGTACTGCAAAATTTAAATTTAATCTTGTTAAAGGGAGTAGGGAATTTTTTTTTTTAATAACATTTTGTGTTTTTATACTATGTTGTTATAACTATTGATTATTAAATTATAAATGTAAAACAATTACCTATATAAACAAGATGTCCTATGAAGATAGCTATACCTATAGTAATATTTCTAGAGGTAATAAAAATAATCAAATTTTGCTTTTTTTTTATATTACTTACATGGAAAAATACAACAAATATTTATATTTCAATTAATTTTGTTTGTTTTGGAAACATCAGATAAAAAAAAATGTATAGTTAATTAGCTATAATAATAATCAATTAGCGAATAAGATAACAGCTTACTGCATAATTATAGGTACTTTTCTTTTAACTTTAAAAAATTATTAATTTAATGAAAATAAAAGTTGAAACATCAATTAATTTCAGAAGAATTAACTTTATAAAATGGTTATCTTTAAATTTTTAGAAAATAATAAAATAAAGTTATTTTTATAGTTCTTTTTTACCAAAACATAAAAACTAAATTCAAAAATAAATATGTTTTGTCCTTATCCCTGTGTGTAATAAAAAAAATAAAAACAACATTTCATTAATTTTATTATTTTAGGAGATATTACAATGTGTCTTGTGAGACATCCATATACATCATGAATATACAATATTTTTCGGAATGATGATATAACAAGCAGATCATTAATGAAGACATTTTTTAAAAGCATAAACTATAGTATGCATATATACTGAGAACTCTTTTATGTATATTGTAGTTTCAAATTTATTTATTTTCAAATACCTTTATTGTTATTTAAATTTTAATTAAAATCTAAATCTAATAATACTCGTTATTATAATTGTTTTTAGTTTATTTTAAATGCTGACATAAATTATTTATTAATATATTTCTTGATTTAATATTAGGTAACTCACATTTATACTAACTACATCATTTGGAAACATACTATATATAAACATAGTATTTTAGTATACCTTTAAGATTTGTTGATTGTATATTGGTAATTTATTAGTTAAATTATTATTTTTTGTAATCTTTATAAATATTTGTATACTATATTTCAAATAAATAAATTAGCTTTTAGTTTTAAGATTTCCATTAAAAAAAATGTAATTATTTAGAAATAATTTTGAACTTTTGATTCAGTATTTTTTTTTTATATAATATAGATATTACATAAAATCACACTATTTAGGTACTCTATAAAAATTAAGATAAAGAAATGAATGTCTACAAGTACACAATTTTTAAAATTTAGCCTAAATTAAATGTTAACTTTTGAATATGAATTAACATTAATTATCTTCCCTATCAGTACAGCTTTATTATTAAATATATATTTTAAAATGGTAAAAATACATTTAACGTTTAATATATAATAACATAAAACCAATCACTAAATTTGAACAGCCTAAGCAATGTCATGAAATAAAAATTTAAAAATATTTAACATTTTATCTTTGCTTTTGACAAACTTCCCAAAACATGGTAAAAAAAAAATTGGGAGATAAGGTTAACACTATATTCTAGGACTAGTTTAAACATTTTATACAAAAATATATTTATAAATTCAATTTATTTATTTCAATTATATTTGAAAACCAATTTAAAATTATATAATGGTACCTATATGCGAACAACTTTGTTTCAAAGAAAATAAAAGATTTAAATTGGTTTGATCTTTTTATAAAACAGGAGCAAAATTAATACTAATATATAAACTGTTGGCATTAATATTAAAACAAAAATTTATCGATGAATGTCTGAATTGATTGGGATTTAAGAAACTATAATGTTTAGGTTAGACCAATTTCAGACAGATTCAAAAGGTTTTTATAAATTATGGCAGTATGCTATAATATAGTACTTCCATTTTTTATGTACCTACAAACAAAATATAATAAATTTATTATTAAAACTAATAAGAATAATATAATATTTCATCATAGATATTAAATATATGCCATCAGTAGTATTTTTGCAGTTGTGAATTGTGTTACCTCCATTATCCTAATTCCTGTCCTTGTACAGCCTACAACAAGTAAACACAGGAGTGACTTATCCATGTATTTTATAAAGATACATTCTGTATAGGCGAATAAGGCGATTTATACTACATAAATTCAAGGGTCGAATAATTAACTTAATTTAAATTATTTTTATTATTATTAGATTTTATTATTTCTCAAGCTTATAAAAACAATATAAAGGTAACAATAAAACAGTACGTAGCATATTAAACTACTACCCTAAATTATAAATGAAAAGTAAACAATTATTAAGACAAACTAGACTAGTTTTCTACTAGAAAAAAATAAAATAATTATAAATTTAAATTATTTAAATATTTTGGGAAGTATACTTATCTGCAAATCTATTTAGTGAAATAATGACAAGTAGAACAAGGTAAAACTGTATATAAATACAAATTATAATATGTTTTCATTATTACATGTAATTTAATCAGTTATGATATTAGGATTGATTTTTTTTATAATAACTATGAAATATAAACAACAAAGGTAGTAAATATAAAACATATCACTCAAACCCTGTAATTTTAATACTAGTTGGGAATGGTTTAAATTTAAATTTTGAATACATTATAGATAAGTGTGTATAATTTGTGTAACTGTACTACCTTACACTAAATACTAAAAGTGATTGGAAATTAATTGGCAAGTAAACTACAAATAATATGATTCAAATATTACGGTAATGCATACATATTATTAAATACCTATAATTTAATACTCAATTAGGTATACAGACTATTAGAATTTGGATAAAATAGTATAATATATTATATACAAAATATTATGCATTACCCTAACCTTATACAATAAATTATTATGGTGACATTAGTCATTTTTTTTATGGGGGGGTAGGTTGAGAGTTTTATTTAAATACATTTTAATTTTTTATATATTAATTAAGCATTTATATGAAATAAGGATAATATTTTATTTTATTAGATATAAAATAGAACTTTGTTTAAAAGATGTATACAATGTATTATGTATGATAAAAATGATTTAATTATTATTGCAAGGCAAATATTACCATAACTTATGATTGTTAGAAACATAATTTATTTAAATTTAACAAAACTTGTCTGTGCTTCACTCAAAATCTTGAGAATAAAATGTTGATACATATTGTGTTTTACAAAATATTTTAAAACATGATAAATAAGCCAACTATTTAAACACATCTAATCATTTTTTAAATATGGTTTTATAAGGAAAATAAATTTATTTCTATAATAAATTATACGTGACTGCCATCAAATAGCATACTCAATTAATATATATTAAAAAAAAACATATGGACATTATTCAAGAAGTATATTCAGACATTTAATAAACCCCCTTCTCTTGGTTGTGTTGTGTTATTATACCTAATGCACTTAAAGTGTAAATCCCCCCTACAGCACCGTTTATACTTCATGCATTTAAACGAATAATTTTCTGATCCAAAATAAAAATAAAGCTAAAAGAAAAACAAACACAAAAAATGATTTTAAACTACAAACATGTAGGATACTATTAGTTTCAAGATAAATATCAAGTATATAAATTTGTTTTAAATGGTAACGCTAATTAATCACTTTGTTGAATTCAACAATTTTATCAACTAACCACTTCAATAGTAACAAATAATCATAATAATAATAACTATATAATTATTGATACCAATTATTTTATACAAAAAAGGTAAAACCCTACATTTATTTAAATATTAAGCGTCTTAAATAAGAGATTCTAAAAGAATTGTGTACTCATGACATTATAAATGGCTGATATCAGTTTTCCACTTTTCATTGGTTGTTATAACCTAATATTATAAAACATTTATTCGCATACTACATATGTGCTATACTGTGAAAAGTAGAGATATGTACCGATTGGATGTAATTGGATTGATTTGTGTTGACATACCTATTTATTTTGTCATGAATTTACTTTTATATAATATTATAGCTAGAAATTTAAACTAATTATTAACTTTTAAAATATAAGTAACACAATGATAGTCTTTCAATAAGAAATAACATATAAATTATTTTTAAAGAAAAAATTGCACTTACATTTAAAGTATATATGCAATATACATGTAATTAGTTATTACTTCTTCTACTTCGCCTCGATACTGGTTCTGTATTATCTCTAGGGGCATGGCGTTTTCCTCCTTGAGATTGTGCACTTATTTGCAAACTGATTGCTTGCGTATTTAATTTTTTCGCTATTAGTAAATCTTTCATACTCCTCATCTTTTTACTTTTTAACATGATTTTAGTTTCAGGTTCATCATGATTCAATATAGTTTCTGCAACAGGTGCTTGTGGTGGAGTAACAGGAGTAGGTAATGAATCAGAATTACCTACAAATGGTTCCCCACCACCTTGTAATAAGAATTCTCGATTTAATATACGTTCACTACAAGCAGCAGTTAATGCTTCAATTTCAGGATGAAGTTCTGATTTAGTCCCTTCATCAATGCCAGGTAAAGCGTTTAACATTTTTTTGGTCATTGGACGATTATTATTATTCATATTTTTGTCGTGATAGTCTTGATTTAAAGTACCATCATTTTCTGAATCCTAAAATCAATAGGTTTAATAAAATTTAAAATAAATTATATATAAAATATTTTTATGAAAATACCTACATATGCAATAAAACTACATTATACAATTCTGTTTTTATGATAATTTAGCTTTTTTTACATAATAATAAAATTGTAATATATATAAATAAGTAAAAATTGTCTTACTTTTGGTTCTAAAATTATAAGTCTTGTTCTCACACTATCATCAAACTTTGATATGGAATTTATAAAATGTTTTGCCCACTTTATATGTAATACTGGTGTAGTTCCATCTTCTTCCCAAAGACAAAGACCATCATAAATTAATAATACGTATGCGTAACATTGTGGATTATTCAATATTGATCGACTTTTGCCACATGTCATTTCTTTTAATGAGTATGGAATTAATTCATAAGCAATATCCATCATTTCTTTATATAGTTCTTCATCATCTTTACTAAAACTATACCTACAATCAAATACAAATTTCAGATGTTTAAAAAATAAATTCACCAATTAATCATTTGTAAACAATGTACATTTTTAAATTAGTCTTACTTGCTTATAACTTGACTTGCATTAGCCCAACTTGCAAAAGCATCTTTTATCATGTTATGTCTATAAAAATATCCACCCTGATATGTATATGGATAAACAAACATATCATTGTAATACATCTGTGCAGCTGAAATAGCTTCTTCAAACAAGGATGTACATGGTGGTCTACCAGGTGTTGCATTTAACTCTTCTAAATCGCCTAAATTACCTAAACAAAAATAGTTTATAACTTTAGTTTTACATAAATTAAATGAAATATGCATTAAACTACCTAAAGCAAGGGGAAATTTTGACAGGTGTCCTTCATCGTAAAGAAGCCACAAAAGATTTTTTTGAAGTGTAGCAACTTCCAAAGCATCACTAGATTGGTTAATGCTTGGGTTTATTGAACTAACTAGTGCAGATACTTCCATATGCCTATTACAAATTACTGGATGGCCATTAACATAAAGCCATGACCCATGCCTAGGTCCTGCATCTTTAATTTTTTGTCCACGTTTATCTTCATTTCCCTTTCCTATAGTGAAAAATGTAATTGATTATACAATCATAAATTAAGTTGTGTGTATTAATTATACAATAAATACAAATATTTTTTTTACTTCTAAAATAAAATCTATTAATTAAGAATTTGTAATATTATGAATATATACTCATAGATTTTTGTCCAATATAAATTTACATAGCTATATGATATTAGAAATATAAATTACCATGCCATGTAACCTCTGCATTTTCACTACCATCTGGACCAAATACAACCCACGCATGATCTTCAGACAAGGCCAAATGGACATCATTAAAACCAAGTATTTGACAAGAAGCAACTACTGCAAAGGCAACACCAAAACAGTCCAATTTTGAACCTATAAACAAATATAATACATATTATACATTATTTAGGTTTAGATGTGTGTATTTATTATTTTACTATTGGCAACATGTGTTACTTACTTGTTAAATAACTATACATGCTTTGCAAGTGTGCTCTATCTTTATAATAACTTCTGGTCAAAGTGTTCCAGATGACATCAGACACTCTTTTGACAAGTTCACGGCTAGCGTGTCCTAGACTATCGTCAAACTTTAATAAGTCTACACTGCCCTTGATGATAGAGCAGAATTTTGTGTAAAGCGCTTCTATGATGTGTAACTCAACGTCGGGCAGCCTCAAGGGTACCTGATCAATGTCAAAGTTAGCTTCAGTCGTTACAGCTACTGGAACTTCGATGCTCGGCCGAACGCAAGTCATTGTATTCTCAATAGCTCCAGCCACCAATGAAAGTAGCAACAGGTCCGGTTCTTTTTTGTCCAGTTCCCTGCGAAATACGTCTACCACCGTAGGTATGTCGCGGATCGGGAACGATTCGGCATGTTCTTTGAATATCTTCGGGGGCATTGTGCAAGAGTAACTGCATAGGTAGACAAAAACTGGGTATTTTAAACCGGCGACAGCGTGTATAGTGTAAATATTATTCGCCTGATCGGCTATAACGCGTCTCCGGTCTTACCGTGCAGCCGTTGATACGTGCGTTTTGTATTCTGACGATCGTTTTGTTTTGTTTTTTTTACCGCGTTTTAGTCTTTACCGTGTGAATTGGCCGAATTGACACCGAATTAACGTATTCGAGTAGTTCAACGTTACAAATCGGTCAATTGGCGCCTTGGCGGTTATATAGATACCAGTTGTGCGCACCGTGCCACCGGTCCGGTGTGTAAGTACTTTGTTGTTATTGTTGTCATTGTTGATACTCACCGTTATCGATAGAACCGTGTTGATATTTTGCTCTATGGTTGATACCACACAACCACGAATGATATCTCAGTCTGTGCACGTAACCGTGGTTTAAGATAACACCATAGATACTAGATAATAAAGAAAATATTTATTCTTTATAGTCTTTATAGGTATTCTGCCAAAACATTTATTTTCTTCTCATTCATATTCGATAACGTAAAAATACGTGTAGACTAAATAAGGTTTTGCGTGCGAATTTTCTTTGTAACTATTCATTTTCGACGAAAATACGTTTCGGATAAAATACTGTTCTAACGAAATATTTTTCGGTTTAAATACGGTTCTAACATCATACTTTTTTCACAATATATTTTTCAGCTGAATTCTGATTTATCTAATATTCTGAAGACATTTTTCTGCTATTTCACGCGTCGCGCCTCCGGGTATCCGACCGCAAACTTGCATGTGTATTCGTTTATTTTTAATGAGATGAGAAAATGCAATGTAGATACACAAAAAGTAGGTAGATAAAGTAAACGAATATTAATTTTACATTTAAATTAGGTACACGGTCACCTATTTATAACTATACATAAGTAGCTATATACCTATTAAATCTGTTCATTAATAATTCATAATAAGATGGATAAACAGTGAATTCGTGTAATAAACTACAAACAAATGTTAAAAGAAAAAGTAATTGAAAACTAAATAATTCATTTGGTTAAAAACATTTTAAATATTCAAGTTTCAATCTAGCAGAATTGTATAGGCATAATTAGGTAAGTAAAACAGTAACATTTTACATTGTTGATACTTAAAATTTACAATCATTTTCAGAATTTAAATTTGATCCAAAATAAAACATATAAGCACCAATTTTATGAGAAATTAAAAATTAACAAAAAGAGCTGATATCTACTGGGGATGGGTGCGCCACTGTTGTACGTGGGAAGACGCCAAGGTAAGATACACAAAGTTGTTTAATTTGTAGCTGTAAGTAACAATAAACCATAGTTAACAAAAACGATTCGGAGCGAAGTTCGGTTATACACGTTTCGAAGAGCCGTAATATATACGATTTTCGTTAAAAATTGATTTTAAAACTCATATTTAATAATAAAAAAGAAAGACGGGCATACTTCGCACGTAGGCGCAGCCACTGTTGTATAACCTCTCTAAAGTACTACCCGAAGAACATTTTCTTTCAGAAAAGGTGCTATACTTGATAATCGAAGGAGTGAGCTTTCTGGTAGAAAGTGTACACATATAAAAAAATAAACATTTTTGTAAAACCAATACATTCTTCGCTAAACTTAGAATCTAAAAAAAAATTGTGAATTGTAATATTTTTTTTTTCCAAAAGTACGACTTAAAATGAACCTCCTGTAAAATTGTCAAGTGTTTCTTTTTAGTCTACAATTTTATTCACAGAGTATCTACCAAATAAAGATTACGTAAGGAATTAGCAAAATTAAAATTTCTATAGCTCAAAAATGTTTCAATATTTAGACAATTTTACCACGTATAGAAAAAATTCAATATAATTTTTCTGTCAAAATTTCAAGTTTCTACGAATATTTTAAACTGAATTATATTAAAAAATTAAAAATAATTTCAGATTAATTTTCCTAAATTGTCTACGTATTTTTCGATTTTGCTCATTTATAAAATAATCTAAAAAGAAAATCAAAAAATGTCTTTCTTGGACACCAATTAGATTAAAAATGAAACAAAAAAGATTTCTAGTTGTTTTTCTATTGAAATAATATTTTTGATAAAAAACAAGCTGTACAAATTTAAAATTACGAAATCGTAACGCTGTAAATTTGTTAGTTTTTAATTTTTTTTAAATTATTAATAAAATTACAAAGAAAATTAGAAAAAAGACCACTAGATTAAAAATGCAACAAAAAGGTCGCTTGTCGTTTATCTATTGGAGCAATGGTAGAAAACATAAGCTGTAAAAATTAAAAATGATGAAATCATTGGACCATAATTTGAAAAAAATCGTTTTAATTGTTTTAGTTTTTCCCAATTATTATGAACAATACTTTAGATATGGATGGGTTTCGACAGCAGTCACAATTTATGGGTTGAGAAAAATGACGTAAAATTATTTCAAATGTTAAATAATGATGATAAAATAAAATCTGATTGTAATATTATTTTTGTAAACGTTTTAATTTATAATGACCATACGCTAACGTATTAATACCATCGTTCATAATAACTCTCTTATCATCATTAGCACTGAGCACGAGTTTGCTGACTGTTTTTGAATAAACCAAATGATTTTTCGATTGAATCAAATTCATGTTACGGGTAGCTTTATTAGATATATCTAAACTATTATTTATGTATGCATTTAAAATGTTTTTATAATCATCAAATCGCATATGCTTATCAATCACATACTTTTTCGCACCCTTTGCTTTTTTAAATTCAGTTTTACAGCACTTGTATGTATAAAGTTTAGGACGTAATGCAAGAAATTCGGTTAATATCTCACTTTTCATCTCATCTTTAAAAAACCCTGGTTGATTTTTCCTACAGTCATCAAAACAATAATGATTTTTCGGATAATTGTGTTAATAATTTATATTTTAAATCATCAAAAAAGTTATTTGTTCTAATTTCACACACCAAAGAATCAGTATCGGAATATATCGTATTCAATTTACTACCGTATGTGTTCTTCATGACATTGTAATGAAAATTATACATACATATTTTAGATATATCTAAAATAGTGAATCCTACATAAATAGGTTTATCGAATTTTATTTTTTCGTTATTCATATGAACAGCCATTAAATCTTTAGAATATATTGTTCTATCTTTAAATTTCGGTTTCGACATTAATCTGTTCGCCTTTTTTTCATTATCAACGAGTTGTAAAGAAATTCGCTTTCTGACATTATCCATACATTTACCAAAAACACTATTCACTTTTAACTTCCAATAATTTCGTTCAAATTCATTTTTTGCTTTAACCCTCATGCGAGTACATAATTCGACATATGGCGCCATCCATTTCGACTGTCTGAAACGGATGATCTTATGAACTTTTAAGACATTAATACCCTTAGCGATGGCCTGTTTTAAATTGCGATAGTGTACAATGTAGTTTTGTTTGGGAGTTAATGTTGTTAAAAGTTTTGGGATTTTGGAATTCGGTGGACATGAATTATGGAGTAAAAAAGGAAATTCATTATGTATTTTATGAAGATTTTTAGGGTAATCTGTATCAACTTCTAATATATATCTGTATTCATCATCTCCAACTTTCATTATAATTTGAATATGGCAACGGTTCCAACATAGATTTTCCGTAAAGATTTACGCAGTCTAAATAGGTTAACCATATAATAGGTTTGCTATCATCATAATCTATATTTTCAATAATTGGTATATTTGCTTTTACGTATCTTTTTACTGAATGACAAATCCTCCCGTGTATACCCTGTTCCAACATTAATTGCATTTCATAATCTTGCAACCTTTCCAACTTAATTTTCGTATTCTTTAACATACAGTCGAAGGCTAACCCCGGGGCAGTCATGAAATATGCAGCATCCAAATTAAACATTTTTAAGCAAAGGTCACGGAAATTTTAAAATATGTCGAAAAGAATACAGACATCAGTTGATCAATATAGATCGCTGTACTCACCTAAAGTTACTATTCCGAATTCAGCCCACATATTTTGTGCGTGTAGATAATCTTCATCGCTTATATGTTCGTCAAGTAAAGAATTAAAAAACTTAGATTTTGGAGGCAGAGATTTATCATCCAATTTTCCAATATTTATTAAATTTCTCATGCTTATAAAGCTTTTCAATTTAATCATGTTAAACTTGATTATACACAAAATATTAAAAAATAACCGTGGTTAATGGCAGTTAGCCATTGGGTGACATATTTATCACACACCTATTATCTAACTCTATAGTCTAGAACCAATTATATTTTACATACTTACTGATTTATTCCATCTCCCTGTAAATGATCGTACCTATTATATTATGATTTTTAATCATGCACCTTATCCCGCTAAGCTATCAAACCACACAAAATAAAAACAGTATACATATTTATTTAAGTAACACACTTTATTAATATTATAACGCAGTTACAAATTAAACTACAGTATCATGTCCAATTCAGCTATAAGCACAATTACATTCGAATTTTCGTTTTTCATGAATTGCAGATTCTATAAATTGGTTGCCTTTTTTAAGTAATATAAACGTGCAATTCGGCGAATGGCGTGCATATTCTTTCCAAGGATCGTCTGCAATTGTCCATTCGTGTAGAATTAGCCCGCAATTAAAACATTGTACACAATCTCTTGCGCCTAGGAATTTAAAACCAGCTTCACACAATGAAAATGTATTTAGATGTTTCAAAGCGAATGAATCAAAAGTTCTTAGTCTTGACGCAAATGTAGTTGTCTCAACATATTTCGGATTCTGACTACTCCGAACGATGTATAATAATTTAGAAAAATCATCTGAGTATTTTGTTAAATTCATAATGTAAAAATTAATGATACTAACACAACTGGCATGTACAACAGTTACCGGTTAACTAAACAATTTGTTTTAAAATCATAAGTTAATATCTTCCAAGTAATGAGACAGTCGATGGAGGGGACAACATAAATATAGCTCAATCAATTGTCGATATTTGACTGCTGCTTTATTTCTACTTTTTATAAACTTGACGAATGCCAAATAACATAAAACCATTTTTGAAAATAAAAAATAAAAAATGTTATACGAATGAAGAGGCTAAAATTATGCAGGGTAATCGTGACAATTTATGCAGGGATTTCCTGAAATATGTTTTTTTGAAAAATTAGAGAGGCTAAATTCGTGATTGAAAATCACAGGGAAATTGTGTAAATTCATGGGGCGTTCTGCTGCGTGATTGAACCTACAAATTAATACTACTGATATCAAAAAAATAACTTTTTCTGTCAGAGGCTATATGTTAAAGGGAACAAAATTAATAATTTGTCATTTTTGGATTGGAGTAATATTTCTGATAGGAAATATTGTGTTTATGTAATAAAAATAAAGAAAACGGTAACGCTGCGACGTGCCTTAAATATTTGCGGTTTTACCTATAATTTTCTTTCGGGTTTTTCCAAATTATTTCGAAAACCCCTCGGAAAGTCAAAAGAATTACATCTTTAATACATCAACTAGATACAATTTCCTTTCAGAAAAGGTACTTCACTTTAAAGATCGAAACAAGATTTGGTTGCGTTGGATGCGACGAATCGGTAATTGGGAAGGTAGAATTACACTGAACTTTTTTTTTTAATACGTAAGTGCTACTTAAAATGAACCTCCTATTAAGTTATCAGACATTTTCGTTTTTTCAAACAATTATAACTACATAGGTTAAATGGCTTGCTATACACTCCGAATTTAATAACATTTGAAATATGAAGTACAATGCTGGGCAAGTTTTTCAACTTTAGTAACTGAATAAATTCTAATTATTTTCTTTAATTAAGTTACTTTTAGTTAAGTTACAAGTTCCCGAATAAAAAAAACTATTTAGTTAAGTTACTAATCAAAAATGTACAAGTTAAAGTTACTTTTAATATTTTTTTTAAAATGGTTTTTATTTTTTAATTACTAGTAATTATAATAGTTTAATTTTTAAGTTATAGTGACTGTTAAAATGTAGTTTTTATTAAAAATATTTATAAAACTTCAATAGTAGTGTTTTTTTTTATCAGATGACCGGTTTTTAGAGGAATAAATAAGATAACCTTCATTAATTGATGTTAAAAACGATTTTCTATAGTAACACCACGTTATCAAAATTTTATCGCATTGTATTATGTTGATTTTAGGTCATATACTATGGAAAGAGCAGGAAAGGCTATTGACTGAATATTTGAAGCAAACACAACTAAGATGAGTTGGGACAAATGTGCATGTGCAAAATTTATAACACACGCACTAGGTCGAATTCGTGTATTCACGTGTGATGTACCTACTATTACTGCTGGTGGTATTGTAATGATCATACGATTAATATGCGACGAGTACTGATACGCATGCGCAATAGACATCATTCACCTTAGCACTCGTTAATAATAATGTCTTCAACTCGTAATACGCGTTTATCATGCAGTAGCTTTATCCATAGTATATGATACACTCTGTTAATTTCCGGGTTACTTTGATAACAAGGGAAAAAGTACGATTATACAACTCCGTTCAGAGTCGTTTTTCACTAGTAATGGTTTATCGTTACCGTTGCGTATTGGGGCTGTAGTCTTAAGGTCCGGGACTTAAAGAGTGAAATCAAATTAACCAAGTCATATATTATACCTAATTTTTACCTTCACCCTTCTTTTTTTTATACATATTTTAAAGGACGACATTGGGTGTTAGTTGTAAGTTTATTATTGGACATTAGGGAGGGGGGTGAGATTGTCCATGGGGTCCTTAATTACTCTCCACGGCTCTGTTCTCATCTACAACAGTGGCCCACTCACCATGCGAAGTACATGTCTTTTTATTTTTCGATAGGGGCAAGATACTGATAGAGAAGTTGTACACAGACACGAATAAAATAAAGCGTACATCATAATAAAAGCACTCTCTTTTCTATTCGTTAGTTTCACGAGGGTTTTTAACGTCACGCGTGATGTCATCGATTCGTTCGCCGCGACGATAGTGACGGCGGCTATTTATAATACACGGCTATATATTTTGTCTCCGTTGTGTTTTGCCGTAAAATAACTACTGAGTAATTTAATTCTTTTCAAATGACCTAAACAAATATATTAAGAAGTTAATATATTAATGGGGGGGGGGAGGAGGAACTATTTAACTTAATATTTCGAGAAATACATCATACGTTTAGAGGGGTAAGTATAGGCAATAGGTAGTGTAACGGAGCGCTACGTATAGCGAACATATTTAATAAAATATTTGTTAAATTCAATTTTTCTTAAATTTCATTTGATGACATTATCTTACTGCAACGTGCGTATCATGCGAATTTAATGTTTTGCGATTTATTGACACGATCTAACATGACGTTTTGTTTTTTAAAAAGTATTTTCTCTGCACCTTATTCAGTTTTAAGTATTAATTTTCGTATAAAAGTAAAAGCCGCGTTTTAGATTCTGACCGGATCGAGGAATATATTGGTTTTACAGTGATATTTTTTTTTTTTTCCATGAACAACTTTTCTACCAGCAATTTTGCTCTGATTTTTAAGTATAGCACTTTTTCTGAAAGGAAATCAGACTGGGGCAGATTTAAGCAGGCCATTTTTTGATTTTCCCTGCTGTTTTCATAATAAATGGGAAAAACTGGGAAAAAGTGTAGGAAAAACAGAAAAATGTACGAAATGTATTATTTTAAAATCATAAATATATTGTGGTCTTTTAAAACACGTTTAACCAAACTCAGCTCAGAATCGTTTATCCTTAGAAAAGATTAATCGTTACGTACAGATATACATTTAATTCTCCTCTATATCCTACCTTCACAAAAACAGAAAAATCACTTTTTTTTTTTGAAAATGGCGATATTGGTGTTAAATAATTTGTATTGATGTACGATTGTGCAATATTTGTGCGATAGAACCGGTGAAAAAACCAGATTAGTCGAAGATAATAAGTAGAGCCCGGATTTATATGCATTTAAAAAGTGTCAAATATGATGCAAATATGCAAAGGAAAAGTGGCTAAATATGCAATTATATGCATTATGTTAAACTTTATAAAATGAGTTTATTTAAAAAAAAACACATTTTTACACCAAAGAAAATTCTGTATATTTTATCAAAAACAAAAAAAAATGAAAATATCCACTGCTATATAATAAATCAATTGAAATTACTCTGAAAAATAATAGAAAACTTAAAAAAAAAAATTCAAATATTTTAAAATAACATTTTTAAAAATTAATAAATAATAATAGGTATACATTTTAAAACTTCAGAACAATATAATTAAAATATTAAAATAGGTTCTTTTAATAATTTTCATAACAGTGGACAATAATATATTTTTCCATATTTTCTGGTGTCATTGAAGTTCTTTTTTCAGTCAGAATTGATTTATACGTACTAAAAGACCTTTCAACATCCACCGAAGTTATAGGTGCAAACTTCATACATGAACACATAGAAGGAGTTAAGTTTGGTGGCATAATACTGTTTTCTTTCCCTGACAAAATTGCTGTTATCTGCTTCGCGGTTTGGAATCCAACATTTTTTTCAATTAAATAAAACAATTTTTCTTGAATTATTTTTCCTTTTTGTCCTAGTACTTTTTCCATCGCCAAAATAACATTATTTACAATTTGAGTAGAATCAGACAAAGTTAAACTAGAATGTTCCAAATTTTTATACTTTTTAATAGTATAAAAAAATGAGATTGAATAAATGTAAGGTCACTTTTAACAGATTCCAGACTTAGCATATTAATACATTTTTGTATACTAACAACATTTTTATCTTCTAGTTTTTGTAAAATTATTTTAAGATTATCAAAATGATCTGCACAAAAATTAGCTGCTTCAACCCATGTCCCTCATCTGGTTAGTACTGGTTCTGGCGGCAAGGGCACACTGGGCATTATTTCTNACTATATATATATATATATATACACGAGTCCCCAATTTTTTCAATTGTTTTTACATAACGTGGATGTAAGAAAGATTTACGTAAAGTGCTTTCATCAGGAATGTGTTTTTTTGTATAATTTTGTAAAAATCGCGGAAGACTGGATTTTGTAGTTTAAACCAAGGTATATTTGCAGCTACGAGGTTCAAACACAGATCTTCATTAAAACTTGATGTTTTTGGTTTGGTTTCATCTCCCAACAACATTTGTTTACTGTTGTTAGAACTTTTTTTCAAACATTTCAAATGAAACTCGGTAGTTACATGTTGCGTTATTTGAAATTTTTTGTTACAACGCACCTGACGATCACAAACTTGACAATAAACTACTAATCCACTAGTGTTAAACACAGTTTTGTCGCGATTGTAAGGCTCAACCCATCGAGTTATGGATGAACCCAAATTAGACTTAGTTTTTGGCATTTTGTCTTTTTTTTCAAACGGGCTAAACAAACACTACCGCGGACAAACACATATACAACGAACGATGGTCGATGACTGCGTATTAAATATTAATTAATTGCCATCGTGCCGGGTGGTGGCTATTATTAGGTACCGGTCTAACTAAATAAGATTTATAAATATAGTTTATATAATGCTACGCGAAAACACAATGTGATTATTTATAGAATGATATCGATACAATAAGCTGGGACGCGAGTGTATATTTATTAATAGTTAATTTATTAAAAACCCATTAAATATTCATGTTATATGCATGTATGAACAAATATGCAATAACCTGAAATATGCAAAATATGCAATATAAAATTTGGAGTTTAAATTCGGTGTGATATGATCCGTGGACATTTTAAACCCCCATAGACGTGCATACACTTAGTACAAACATGCAAATGCATATAAATCCGGGCTCTAGTAATAAGTGTCAGAAGTTTAGGCCTACAGGAAAAAAAAACAGTTACCTAAGTAAAATGATAACCAGATTAGTGTTGGGTTAATATACGGCTATAGTCGTGGTTAATAATATAAAATTAAATTATTGTGTTGTAGTTACTACACTTAAAAGTTCAACATTTAATTTAATCCGAACTTTTTACTTTGTAAAAATAAATTGTTACGTTTTTAAATTTGATGAGGCAAAAAAATTTGAAAATGTAAAATGTCTATAAATATCTCCAGGATATTTTAAATAATTTACCACGTCTGGAAAGGGCTGGAAAGGACTGGATTCAGTGGTAATGTCAAGGCTCCACGTAAAAAACAAAATCGAAAATAACAAGAACTGTTATTACATGCATGTTCTTGTTTTTCTGACGTTGTTTCCCAATTATTTATAAAACTATAAGATGAAAGAAAAAAACGCTTTTTCCAATGCATCAAATAGACAAAATCGGATACCAGTAACCTCCCTTAAAGTTCATGATTTGAGCAAGATTTCTGGTGGAAAAGTTATTTACACACGTCATATACACTCACTCACTCACACACACACACATACACACAGAAAGACCACATCATATAGTAGTATTTTAATACATTCCTCTCTACGGCCACAATCGAATAAATAAATAAACAAAATATTAGGTATAGTTATCATATTAATTAGATAGATATGTCAAGTTGATAGTTAATTTATAATTTTTTGAAAATATTTTCATTATTATTCTGCTTGTTTGAACAAACAGTACAGTGATTTGTAAATTATTATCCCAACAAAAACGATTCGCTGATATTATTTAATCTACTGCCCATGTTTGATAACAAAATTTGTTCTAAAAGTTGCGATATCCTAGCTATAAATCATATTTTACATAGTAAAATCAATACATTCTTTGATTAGCTTAGAATATAAACTATATATTTTATTAAATACTAGTAAAAGGTTAATAATTTATTTAAATCATTTAAACGACAAAAAAACTGTACGTTTTATGGTTTTTATTTACAATTAGGTAGTAGTTTGTATTAACTGAATAATATAATAATGTAAGTAAAATGTTTCAACTAAAATTATATAGCAAGCATAATGGTTAATTATAATGGTATCTATACGTTTTCATTATATCTTAATTTTTGTACTTATCTATACCAACCGTTTGAAATCAATAATTGCACGACAGAAATTACCTGTTAATTATAACCGTCAATCATTATAGTCAGTTTGAGAACATATTGGCCATAACAAATTAGATGCTTTATAGTTGGTCATTTTATTTTTTTTACTTTACGTTTTCAATTGTTACTAATGTACTCACATTTTTAAATGGGTTCTGAGTGAAATGCACAATGCACAAATTTGAAAAATATGCTGGTTTTATAGTTCTATAGTATATATACGGAGTGATTTTAATATGTGTTATTTTAATTTTTTTTTTGTTAAAATACTAATTTTCTCAGATCGTTTTTAGACAGACGAATGATCCAACATTTTCAGAATACTATTTGTTGTAAACACTCATATATTAAAATCCGTTTTTTAAATTTTCTCATATTCGTAAGTAATAGATTTTTCAAAAAACAAAAAAAAAATACGATAATCTAACTTTACGAAGAAACAGGAAAACATATTATAGCTGCAGCCCACACTATGAATGATTATCATATTATGCGATAAACGTATCAGATATTCAATAAAGAGTAAACGAGATTGCCGGCCACGTAAATACGTGATTTACCGGTGCTCCCAACAGTGGCGTAACTAGATGGGAAAGGGCCCCGAAGCAATTAAAAATCTAGGCCATCCAACTAATATAATCTTTATGAAAACTCGAAATGTACCTACTCGTAACATTTTTACTGGAATTTCCACGTAAGATTTAAAATATTCATTATTAAAAACATCAAAATTTGCAATTTAAGTAATTTCAGAACTGTCCGAGGCCCCCCGAGCTCTGGGGCCCCGGGGAACTATCCCATTTTACCCTATGATAGCCACGCCACTGGCTCCCAACGACAATAGTATACGAGATGAGTTTTAAAATTAAACGGTGCGAATCCGGTGGTTATATTAAACAGTTTCTATACGAATAATCTCGAATGTCATGATGGTATAGCAGTGAAGTGACAATAGTAAATCAATAAGCGGCAAATATAACAAGTATAATACCACGATACCGGGTTGGTTTAGAACCGACCCACGCGACCTGTGATGTGACAGGGACTCGGGGCTGGGTGAACCGTCGAGAGGTCGAGTTGCTGCGGTTTTGTACGTCGGCACGATGACAGGGACACCGGTCGGCGACGGCGATGCGACGGCGGGCCAGCAGTATACCTATGCTGCGTTGCGGACGTTCAATGTACATTGCGTATTGACCATCGAATATGTGTTGTTCTTTGGTTTTAATTAAAACATAAAATACAGAGATTTAAAGTTCAAAGTTCTATACATTAGTTTTTACATTGCTTTTATTCGCTATTTAGTGTGCATATATAATGGTACACAGAAATACGTTTTTGGTATTGTCCCCTTTTGGTTTTGAATTTTACCAAAATCTTATAAAATAAACCTTAACATTGAATATATTAATTGGTTATCTATATTTATGTGTATCAGTAAAATATTAAGTACGTTATGTATAATTTTAGATTTTGAAACAATGTATTTATTAATCTGGAATTACAATAGAGTACCTAATGATGATAATTGGGGCAGATAGGTACAAGATATACTTTTCATGACCTAACAATTCTATGCATACATAACATTTTATTTTTCATATTATTGCTTAATTTTGTGATATTTAAGGTATATTTTAACGATTTCGTACATTTTTAGAGTAAACGAATTTTTAGGTCATGTATACGAGTAAATACGAGTGTACGCCCTAATGCCCAATAATAATAATTCCATATAAATAAACTAACGTACATAGTACAGGTATTTATGATTTGTTTGTTTCAAAAAGTAAACACCAACACGTGAATTAGAAACAACAATATTATTTCTATAATTACTTTCTCGCATAACAATAATTTACAGTAAACAAAGTTTAGTATATACAATAAAATATTATTCCTGGTATAATAAATTTTAAAAACAAAATAATATAAGGAGCCTGTTGTCAATTTTTTGAAATCAACTTATTTTTCCTGTATATTTTCTGCTCTCCATCATCTTCCTAAAATTGTCGGCTAATTATTTATGTATCTAATTCAATAATTCATAATATAGTCAACGAATTCCATTTGTTCAATGATTATAACTTATTCAGATTTTTAATTAAGTCTATGTTCTATATTTTTAGTATAATTAATACCTATTTAAAAAATGTATTTATAAGTATTATATGACTTATTAGTTTTTAAATAAATCTCTAACCGATTATCTTACATCGCTTAGTACCGACCTATATATATATATAATAATAATATATCTATATTATGTACAATAATTTATTTTAATAATAATCAATAATAATACGCAGTGTTTATGTGAAACTCTATATGATATACAAAGTGATTTTTAAACTTGCTTAGTGCCACTCCAGTCCACGTAAGCGTATATATATTTGTATATATTATAATATAATTAAAATAAAACAAATTTATTCAAAATTCAGTTTTTCGGAAAATATATATTTTTACACACATAAATGAATATATGTATAATATATATATTATATACAAAATAATATGCTGCATTTCCTACACAGTTTCTTTTCACCATGTCAGAAATATGCCCCTATAAGCTAAATGTATTCAAATTTTGACTTAGATATACCGAACATTTCAGAAAAATTATTTGCATAGACAACTTATGGCTTTCGTTTGCCCCGCAAACGTTTGTATTGCCACGGGATATTCGTGACATTATACGAGTATATAACAAATAGAAGTACCTATTGGAAATAGCTAAACTTTATGTACAATGTATATATATATACATCTCCCAATAAACCAAACTTGCAAAAATCCTCTGTTTAAGCATAAAATTAAGGTGAGCACTAAGCATACTTTACTTAAAAAAAAAAAACCCCGCATAATTGTGTATAATAATAACTCATGTAGCTACGTTTATTGCGGTAGACCGTCTACATAAATGTATGCTTGGTAAATAAGTTAATTAATCGGATATCATTAATTGGATGAACAGCATCGAAGAAAAACCTATAATGATGAAAAGGAGTCGTAATATTTTTTGTTTAATTTGTACTTTTTCGTAAGACGGTTTGAGTACTTCAAAGAACATAACGAACATCAACGTTCCAGTAGCCAGTCCTTGCAAAACGACCGACAATAAGAACATAGTGTTCGTATCATTGAGATTGCTGATTAAAATGCCTATGCTTATACCCACCGGAGATGCGAGAGCAAATATAAATACCGAACAGTGTGCCAAGTATGGCCTTGCTCTATCTGAAAGCATCTGCGATCCAATGTAGAACGCGATGACCACTTTGTGACATCCAACCGCCACAGTTAGTGACCAAACCTGTAACAGGAAAAATATTATTACTTCTTTCAGTGTATTGCACTATCATTATTGCTAAATTACTAAAAATATGGATTCTCTACAACTTCTCACAACTTCTTTTTATAAGTGTGGGGTGCTTCAAAATTTGATTTTTTTTTAAAAAAAATATAATGCACTACTTTATTTTACTTGGGAAAGGGAACTTTTTATTCTTGTTAATCTAATAAAATGAAACTAAATATTATATGAAATATAATATTTAAAATATAATATGAAATGCAAAATGCATTAATGATGTTTACTAATCTATATGATAGTTTGATAGTTTAGTATTAAATTCGAGGACAGGAATTCGCCAACAGAAAAAAGCATACGGGCAATTTTAGAAAACAATATTTAGTAACAGATACTATCCAACACTATTAAAAAGAAATAACGTAGAGGCGTTCAGAACGAGTTTTATGCCTATTGAAAGATAAAATGTTGATAAAAGAAAGTGAATACCAAGGTAGTAAAAATATATTCCAATATGTTTAGACTGGTCTGCAGAGATAACGGTTGCGGTTCACTTTTGTATGGATATTATTTTAATAAGCCAGAGCGATACAGAATATTATTAAATTTATGATACGGTTTAGTATATTATATCACTTTCGTCAAATAATAAATTCTAAGTAGGTACTTATGTGGATAGCGTATTTGTAATCAAGGTTTAGGTAGGTACGTATTTAATTTTTGAAGTATTCGATATATTGTTGAGAATATAATACAGATCGTAATGATATATTTTTAAGTGTGATGATTATAAATGTATGCATAAAACTTTTTGTTATTTTTTTTCCTATCATTAGTTGATTAATATTTGTTTAGATAAAATGCGTATTGTATCCGACTCTAGAAAATTACACTGTTTACATTTGTGTCTTGTGTATACACACGTCATCATTAGATATGAAAATGATCAAACATTCACTCGTTTGTATTTTAAAGAATTTAATTAAAAAAAAAAAAAAAACCACAAATTTCAACGAGTTATTGTTTTAACGTAGATTATATTAATTTGATACGCCCAATTGAAGTTCTGTCTGAATGTCTGTCTGCCCGTTACACAAATCTACAGTTTTATATTCTAATAATTTTGATGCAACTTTGCACACTTGACATTCAAAACAAGAGGGAGATTGCTGTCAACTCATCTCGAAATTCAAAAACTCAGTGGCCGACACCGAGGTCTCGGTATTTTTGGAAAATGTATTTATTATTTGTATTTGTGGGTTATCTTGGTGACGTAGACGAAAAAACAATTATTATTATCTAATTTGGTTATCACGTGGTAATGTCCATTTTAAAAGACAAATTATCGGACAACAACGATTAACTAACTTACCAGCTGTGATTGGGATAATAGTGGAAACGGGGAAACACGTTAAATTGAATATATTTTATTGATTTTTGTTTTTGAAAGAATTAAATCGGTGAGACACCGGGTAATTCAGCTAATATACTGTAGTGAATATATATTATAGTACAATATAAGCAGTGCTCGTTTTGTGGGGGTGGGGGGTGCGCAGGGGGACGGAGCGCCTTTTATAATTTGTTTTTTTTTTTGAACATCCATATTATTTGTTTTTTTTTTTTATAGTAGTTACTAATTAGTAGCAATAGTAGTAGTAGTAGTAGTAGCAGAAGTTTTTATGGTTAATCGAGATTTCGATGACAAGCGTCGAAATTCTTGAATTGATAAAGGAAACGACCTTGGCCCTCACGGCTCTAAATCTGAACTAAATGTACTATTATTTTTGTCGGAACGCTATTTTTTCTGACTTGGCAGAACACCTTTACGTTAATTTTCCAAATACGAGCAGTGAATATTAGTATTATCCAATATAGGTTTCTATCGCAACAAGTTCGCAATATAATATCGATGGGTATTCTATAATACATGGTGGCATATTGATTCTTCGCCTGGGGAAGAGGGGAAAATATAGTTTGGTTATAGTTTTTTTTTTTAACAATATTTACCCCGCTATAATATTATACAGTTGCACGTTTGCAATTCAGCCGAACGACAAGACGCAGGCATACATTCCGTAATATGTAACGTAGCCCCTTGTCCCCATTGTCCCTCCTTGTATACTGATCGTATATTACAACGCTGATACCAATTCAAACATTATCGGATACAAGTCACCTACGAGTACAAACTCGTATACTCGGTCGGACAACGGTACAAATCGGTGTCTACAGTTCAGACAAGGCGAAATAATATACAGTTGTATTACGATGGAACATTATACTGACCGTCGTGGGATTTTTTTCCAAACCAATGGCCAGGCCCTCGAACACTTCGTGTATGCATAGCGCGAAGATGATCAAGAAGCTGCGGTATACGGCGTCGCTGTTGGACGCGTACTTGGGCTGGACGGGTTTGCCCGCGGTGTCCGCGTTGCCGCCCGACGACGTGCACGAGTTGTAGTTGGCCACGCGGCCGGCCGCCGACATGGTTTCTTCGATCTTGAAACCGGGGTTCTGCCAGCCGCCACCGTCGGGGTCATCGCGTTTGTGCCCGTGCCCGTGCCCGTGCCCGTGTCCGTGCGCCAAATCTTCGACGCAGTACATGATCAGGAAACCGACGCACATGACGAGCTCGGCAAGGCGTCCGGTCACGGGCCCGTTCGCGTCGAGCGTCCCGTTGGCCACTAGCCCCTCGACACCCTCCCGGACCTCGGGCAGCAGGTGTACGAACGTGGTGCTCAGCAGCACGCCGCCGCCGAAGTTCAATGTCAACCGTAGCACGGTGTTGGCGATGCCGCCGCGGGACTGCTGCATAATGCCGAGCCGCTCGAACACGCATACCGGCAGGCTGCCGGCCGTCAGCGACGACAAGCCCAGGAACGCGATTGACAATATCTTCGCCAATATCACGGCCGAATGATCGAATTTCGGCTCGTCGGCTGTAATCGGCGGCTCCGTGGTCGACATGTTCACGATAAATGTTATAATAATAATATTATTACGGTGGCCGTCCGACGAATCAACCGCAATCCTCACGTACACTCGTATACGCCGTCGACGAAATTCTGTGTTATTCAAAACAAACAGTGTTTCGGTTAAAACGCGTTTCAATCGATCGTATTTTGAATTATACCGAGCGGGGCGCGTTAATAAGCCAGTAGTCGGCGAGGGGGAGGGGGGGGGAGGGCGGTTCGGGGACGTGAAAAATCATTTTTGGAAAAACCACTCTTGTGACCGCTCTTATCGGCGAGAGAATCCGTAAAGGACCACACCAGTCTCGGACGCTTCGGTCCGTCAAACGCAGTCCGTACGGTCTTGTTGTCCGGCCGTCAGGCGCGAATCGGCTGTAATAAACACGGTCACCGGTGACCGCTCCGACAGTAAATCGGTTTACCGCGCGACGCGCGAACCGGGCGATACACGCGATCCGTCGCGAAACGCTACCCCCCGGCATTGTTCCGCGCGCGCGTCGACCCCGGCACGGAAATACCGATTCGCCCGCGAAACGGTCCGAACGTACACAACTAAATATAGAACTCCGACCATGCGATTGTTAACGGCGCGCGCGTGTTGTACACAAAGTGTTTCCGACGGACTTTTAGACCGTCGAGGGGGGTAAATAATAATAATAATAATAACGTGTGACGGACGGCACCTTATGTAACAACGCGACTTAACGGGGGCCGGGCGTTTCGTCGCCGAACCGTGAGCGTCGCGATAATATTAACGCGTCATCGCGTCCGGAAAATCCCGAGACAGGGGCGAAAAAATAACCTCCGGCTGTACTATTTTTAAAACGCGTCACGTACACGTCGGTAATTGAAAACAGTCGTGTCCTATCCGCCGCCGCCGCCTCCCCCCCCCTCCCCCCCGTGCGTTGCACGAACGAAGTGTGTGCTCTTAACATTTCGTTTGTTGAAAAATCACGGCCGCCACGTAGCGCGGGCAGTACACCGCACAGCACTGCGTATAACGAAAACCTCCTGTCGGTTTTTCGAAAATTTCCGTTCGGCGCAAACATTTTATCTCCGGAGTAGGCACCTAACCGAATAAAAATTACGTAAAATAAACTCGCAACATTAAAATGTCTATCAATCACTCGAAAACGGCTCAAATGTTTTGTAAATTCTACCGCGTCGAGATAAAGCGATTGATACAAGTTTTTTACGTTAACGTTTCAAGTGTCCGCGAACTATTTTTAACTGGACTACATTTAAAAGCGAAAATTATTTTCGTAAATTTCCCCGTGCTCATTATACGTACTTTTCGGTTTTGCTCAATTACTTAGAAAAATTAAATAAAAAAAAAAACGATTTTCTCGGTCACCGACAAGATTAAACATTCTACGAAAAATAGATTTCGCGTTGTTTTTCTATTGGAATAAAATTTCTGGTAGAAAATGGAAAGCGTGCAAATTTAAAATAATAAAATTGTAACGCAGTAAATTTGTCAGTTTTCATTTTACGTTTTTTCCCCCGGTTTTTCCAAATTTATTATTAAAAACGGTTAGGTTATATTAGGTTAGCTCGGAACGTAGTGAGAGATCTATTGATTTTACTATGACGTGTGCTCTTTTTAGATTCTGATTGCAGCGAGAAATGTATTGGTTTTACAAAGACGTTTATTTTTTTTTTTTTTTTTCAACTTTGTATACAAATTTTACCAGAAATCCCGCTCCGGAGTAACAAGTATCGAGCACATTTTCTGAAAGGGAATTTTCCCTGGGTGGTACTTTAGGGAGTTCGTTTTTCGATTTTCTCAGGAGAATTAATCAAGTTAATTTCTCAGGATTACGGGAAATACCGGGAAAACGTGAAAATAGATACAATATTAAACGAATATTTTTAAAGCAAATATATGATGCATATGCAATTATTTTACCATAATGTTCACAAAGCAATACTTTTAACCGATAATCGTTTTTCGTTAGCAATGGTTAATCAATCATACATTGATTTTCTCCTCTACCTACCCAACTTCTCGCATAAAACAGTGGCCCACCCGCGTGCGAAGTATGTCTGTCTTTTTTTTTACTCGACAAATTTATGGCGTTGCGATTTTATTATTTTAAATTTGTACGCTAGTCGTTTTCTGATTTTCTTTGTTGTTTTTTTAATAATTGAACATAACCGAAAAACACGTACAAAGAACGAACATTTACGAACATAATTCTTTTATTATTTCAAATTTTTTTTTTTTTGTTATAATTCAGTTAAAAATATTCATAGAGACTTCAAACGTTGACAGAAATCTTATTTTTGGTTTTTCTATTCGTGGTAAAATGTTTAATACATTCGTGCAATTTTTAAGCTATTTATAGACATTTTAATTTTGCGAGCTTTTTACGCAACGTATAGGTACTCTGCGGATAAATTTGCTGGACCAAACAGAAATGCTTGAAAAATCAACAGTTGGTTAAAGGTTTACTATAACGCGTAATTTGTGGCGAAAAAAATTAATCGAGTTCAATGTAGTATTTTTTTTTAAATAAGAATTTTAATATCAAATTTTGGCGAAATTCGTAAATATTATCGTTACAGTTTCAACTTTGTTCCGAATCGTAATTTCACGGTTCGATTCCGGTAACTGGAATTGAATTACTTGTGTATTATTTACAATCTATATTCCCCTCGTTAACAGCCGTAAACCGCACGGAAGATGGCAACGCATCCCAATGTACAAAAGGCGCGGCACGGTGTTATTAACGTACTCTCTCTCTCTCTCTCTCTCTCTCTCGAAACAAAATTACAAAACTCCGGGATTACCGCCGAGTTTGAGAATAACATAACAAAAACATATTATAGCCGCGCGAAACGAACAGAAATAAATAATAATAGAAAATGTCATACGCTTTGTGAACACACACGCCGTAAACGGTGTTTAATAACTAGAGGAGAGGTCGTGTCTTATCTTCTTCCGCGCCGCCGCCGCCTCCGCCGCCGCCACCGCCGCCTTCCACAGCAACCGCACCGGACAATCCGCTCGCCGCACCGCTCTTGTTTTATTTTTTATTATTATTAATCGTGTTAATAAATAACAGCGCGTATGTTTTTACGCGCCTACCGGTAAATAGGTATTAACCGTTAATTAACCGCACCGTTGTGCGCGGACCTGCCGAAGCCGGACGCCGATCGCGCGCGCACCAAACAAAACGCCTCAATGTAAATGATAAGGTGCGTCTGCGCCCGACGAGTGGGCCCGGTAACCGTCAGTAGCCCCGTGGTACCCGTGGTCGCATCTACCCGTACGGATGATGTATGGTGATATTACAACAATAACGACCAATTTATAACAATAATTGCTATCGGAATCGAGATAAGAGCGCGGAGATCTACGTGCCACGTCGCATTCGCGCCACTCGACGATTATTATTATTATTATTTTTTTTGTTATTTTTTTTTTTTATATTAGGTGTTATTACGATGCTTTTTTTTTTTCTGTATCTCTCATAATCGCGGTTCGAGTCCGGTACCGTACAGCGTGCCTGTAAGACGTGTACCTGTATTATTATGTTAACGTGTTCCGCACACGCGCGACCCACCGCTTGCAGCTCTCGACCGATAACGGCTTACCGACGCGGTATACAATAATATGCGTAGTGTACGAATTACAAAAATAATATCATAATAATATATTCAAGACGTATGCCAGATCGGCGGGATTATTGAAAAAAAATAATTGTTATTATCATTGTTATTATCGTCTGTTTTTATTTTTATTTTTACTTTTAATCATTCGATAATAATAATAATAATATCACCGTACTCATATTGTTATTATTATTTTCGCAGTTTGTTTCCCGCTCCTCCTCGCCTATAGTATAATATGTGACATTGGACCGAAACGTTTCCGATACGACACGTTCGGGTTTTCGAGTTTTTTTTTTTTTTTCTTATATGTTTTGGATGATTTTTTTTTTTGTTGTCCGCGACATTGAATCGCGCACACAATAATCGTATTTACTTGGTCGTCAACACCGTCAGACACTCGACTTTGAAGTAATAATTAAGAATGACGCTAACAATACGTGCGTATTGCAATATTAAAATTATTTCTCGTGTGCACCTTCAGATAAGTCCTTTTTAAATCGAGTTATCTTAAAAAAGCTGTCCTAGGATAATGTGGCTGGGTGTAGCCACTGTTGTAGGTAGAACGTTGGGAAGGCAGGATACAGAAGGGAATTTAATGTATATCTGCAAGCACCGATAACACATTGCTAACGAAAAAACGATTTTGAGCCAATATATCAAGTGTTATATTATAGAAAATAATTAATCAGGCATTATATATTTTATTTAATATTGATCCGATTTTCTTACGTTTTTCCCGGTTTTCCCACGTTTTTTCCCGGTTTTTCTCATATACTTAGAAAGTTTTTAGGAAAATCGAAAAATGACTGCCTTAAAGTACTTTTCCAGTAGGATTTTCTTTCAGTAAAAATGATAACATAGTAAATTTGAAAAAACTTGCTGGTAGAAAAGTTGTTCACATGAAAAAGAAGGCCGTAATATTTTTTAACAAATACCTACATTTCGTACATTTTCCTATGTTTTTTTCGGTTTTTCACATTTGATGAGAAAATTGAAAAATGATCTCTTTAAAGTATCACTTCAAAAAAATTTCCTTTCAGAAAAAGGTCTACATCGTATATATCGGAGCAAGATTTCTGATAGAATTTTTGTACACAGTGTACAAAAATTAATAATACCATTCTCCCTATGGACGGGAATCAGAATACTCCCTCTTTACCTCTACTTTTCGACAGATAGGGTTGCGTCAGATCGACAGCTGGGGTATAATTCTGTAAAACAGTATGGGAAGTTCTAAACAAGATTGATGGTTTATTACGATTAAGTGCGATTGGAAAAAGCGGAGAGAAGCGTTAGGTGTTTTGTGTGACACGAGTATTCCAATGGGATCTAAAAATATGTTTTATAAAAGTGTGGTAAGACTGACTATGTTGTATGATTTGAAGTGTTGGGTAGTAGACAGAAAAATAGAACGGAGAATGAGTGTAGCACAAATAAGAATATTTAGGTGGATGAATGAAGTGACGAGAGAATATAGGATAAAGAATGATAACATAAGGGGTAGTGCTTAGGCGTGGATTCGATAGTAGACAAAATAAGAGAAAATAGACTGAGGTGGTGTAGGCATGTCACGGGGAAAGAGGAATCGGAAGCACTAAGAATTGTATTGAAAATAAACGTAGTAGTAAAGAGATGGAGAAAAAAAACTGAAAAAGAAGTGGTTGGATGCGATTGAGAATGATGTGAAAACATTATAGACAACTGGTGTATGCGAGATGGGATATCGGATCAATTAGAAGTTCATAACGAAGTTGGCTGACTCCAAATACTTGAGATGAAGATAAAGGAAAAGTAGAAGAACTATATAGGTTCATAAAAAAATATTGCGTTTACTTTTTGTACATTCGTAGACTTCTATAGACTTACTATATAGGATTCGTGTAGATATTCTATGTATCCCTGCATCTGCCACATGTTTAGTATTGTTACGTGATAATGATGATATTCACGTAAAAATATGCGATTTTCGTTGACAAATAAATGAAAAACATAGATACACAGATTTTTCCTTTTTAACATATAATTTTATATTAATAGCTCAAATTTTAAGTAAATAATTAAGTTATGCTCAAATTATTTATTGAAAAAAACAACTAGGTGAGTTGTAAACTTAGTTATTTTTTTTTTAACTTGTTGAGTTGAAGAGTACCAAAAAAAGTAACTTATAACTTAATTTTAATTTTTTAGCTTTTTTATTACGCGAGTTTGCGGGAGCACCGTACACAGTGTATTGCATTAATAATCGATTTCGATCGCGTATTTTACTACATATGGTAAATTTAATTTTTTTTTTTTTAATAATTATGGTAACGTTCAAATGCTATTGCTTTTTTTGTAATGAGTAATGACAACCAAGTGTTTGGCTTTGTTTATACATATAATCAACGATATGTGCAGGTTTTCAAACTGTTTTTTTTTTTTTAACTCTTATTATTCACTCGGTAAAACATTATATTTATACATAGACAGATTGAACTAATATTATAAATTACGCACATTAACTGATTAAACACAAAAATAAATCTATTAGATTCGATATTGATCACTATAAATATTTAGCGTTTTTTCATATATGGTATATGTTTTTAAAAACACGCTAATTTGTAAACCTATTTTATTATTAGTCAGTGAATATTGTAGAGGAATTTTCACTACTGAGTGGCACTATATTATTATTATTATCATGGCTAACGACTCATAACTAACCATGTAAGAAAATTATGACTCGAGAAGTTGTTTTTTTTTTTTTTGCTTTCTTGACAGTAAAATAACGGAGGAGTATGACAGTAGATGCAAGGCAGACATAGCAATAGTTGATTAAACAAAGGAAAATAACTTATCAAAATGCACTGGATTCAACACTGGAGAGTAAACTTTTTAACATTAGTGTAACAATCAAGAAGAGAAAGCTGATATTGCTGTATACGATTTCGTGGTGTGGTCGATTGTTACAAAATTAAAAAGTTAAAGAAAAACTTTAAGGAAAAAAGAGAATTTTGAAAAATCATAAAAATTAAATAGGTCTTAATTGTATGTACCAAGAGTGGGATATATACTTAAATTATTAAGGATACGGAAATAGATTCTGAGTAGAACGAGGAATGTGTTGGTTTATAATGATGTTTATTTTTTATTTTTATATTTTTTTCAGGAAAAATGGGAAAATTTACGAAATGTTAATGTTAGCAAAAAATATTATGGCCTTTTTTTCCTGTGAACAACTTTTCTACCAGTAATTTTACTCCGATTTACAATGATATAGCACTTTTTTTGAAAGGAAATCCGACTGGGGAGGTACTTTACGGAGGTGATTTTTTGATTTCCCCAGTAACCATTTACCGGGAAAACCGGGAATAAACATAGGAAAAACAGGTATAATATTAAACAAATGTTATTAAAGGAAAATATGTTTAATGCAAATGTAATTATTTTGCTATAATATGACATATATTGTTGACAAAGCAACGTTATCAACCGAACTCTGTTCAGAATCCTTTTTTCGTTAGCAATGGTTAATCATTACGTACAGATACACATTAAATTTCCCATCTATAACCATACCAATTTCTTACCTACAACAGTGGCCGTCCTACGTGTGAAGTATGTCCGTATTTTTAGTATTTATGTATATAAATTTATTTTTATGGGTAATACAACATGGTATAGCGCTTACGTTGTCGCAGTCACGGGGTCCGGCCAATTTCTTTGAAATTTTTGCCGCGTAGAGATAATTATTAAAATTATTTTAATAACCTATTGAATTTTCTCGAATACCGGAGAAGTAGAAAAGAAACATTAACGTCCAAACCGAGAAAATAGAAATCTCATTAACTCTTCGGGTCATTCTCTTTTTCATTCTCGTATAACTTCTTATTTATAACTTCTTCTTAACTATATTTCTTCTCCTTAGCTCTCTTAACTCTAGGAGTCGTCTAGTATAATTATTATATTAATATTTAATATTACGAGGGTTGTCCCAAAAGTAATGCACAATTTGCTCTGAATAAATAAGTTTTTATTTTAAACTAAATACAATATTATAGGCCTTCGATATAATCTCCCTGCTTGTCTATACACGATTGCCATCGTTTCGGGAGCGCTTGAATGCCGCATAGGACGCCATCTTTGTTGAGTTCACGGATCNAATCAAAGTCCGGGGGACTTAAATCCGGCGAATACGGTGGGTGTTTGAGGCGTTCCCATCCATATTTCTCCAAAAGAGCGACGACTGGTGCTCCGATATGCGGCCGCGCATTATCGTGCAATATGGACACACCATTTTGTAACATTCCTGGTCGCTTTTTACGGATTTCTGGTCGCAATTTTTTGGCAAGGAATGTTTTGTAGTAATCCCCGGTTACACTACTGCCAATTGGAACTCGAACAGTGACAATTATCCCAAGTTTATCGTAAGCAAAAATCATCATTTGTTTCACCTTTGTTTGCTGGCGACGAACTTTTAATTATACGATCATCACGGAATCGCTGATGCCATCTTCGCACCGTACTACGATCCACAGTATCCGTTCCACACACTTCATTTAACGCGGCATGAATTTCAGGCACTGTTGTACCATGAATCGTTTCGATTTTAATGTATGCGCGTTGCTCAAAAACAGAAATGTGAGCCGACGAATTGTTCTCACTTTCGTTATAGCTTTCACACTAAATGGTCTTATTAACAGTCCTGCGAGTGGCTGTGACTACGATAGCTAATCGATACGCCATATTGTGATGGATTGACCGAAAAGAAAGTTCAATCGGGGCATTGGAGGAATTCATAAGGCAAATAATGATACATTGAAATGGATTCAAGAAATGGACACAACCTTATGATCTTGTAAGTTGGATCCTATCTGTAAAACACAACCATGTATCGTGTATTATTTTAATTAGAATTTTATACTTTTATAGCTGACCTTTTATGTTGATTTTTTGTACACCAGTTATATTAAATAAAAAAAAAATTACAAAATTCTTCTATAATTCTTGCTTATCGTGATACTATGATATTATCATTGAACATAAGATATGACGAAATAATAACCGAATAGATTCATAGTGATATCATACTGAATATCTCGGTGCTCTCAGGGCTTGAATTTTCGTGTAGAATGTCATCCGTTTCTTTCATCTATCTATTATCTATGGTGGCATAACTGCAGCTCTATCAATTCGAGCTAAACAAGCTGAAAGTGTAGCTACCATGGACTATTATCGTGTTATATTTTTTATCATTGCGTTAATTGCGATACTAACACTACGAATNTGTTATCAATACTTATACGACCATCACGGAATCGCTGATGCCATCCTTGCACCGTACTACGATCCACAGTATCCGTTCCACACACTTCATTTAATGCGGCATGAATTTCAGGCACTGTTTTACCACGAATCGTTTCGATTTTATTGTATGCGCGTTGCTCAAAAACAGAAATGTGAGCCGGTGAATTGTTCTCACTTTCGTTATCGCTCTCACACATCATCATACTTTACTAAAACAACTAAAACTGAAAACGCACGTGTTCGTTAGACTTCAAGCTACAAACTGATACTAAAATCAGCTGATAATATCATATTGCAAGACAGCTAGAGCGCGCTGTGCATTACTTTTGGGACAACCCTCGTACGTGTTTATACGTTTATACGTTTTATTAGGTAAGTTTTATTTATACAAATTTGATCAAACTGAATAAACTTAATTCTACGATAAAGTTAATATTGATTCAGGACCAATAGTGATAAAAACGTTAATAGATTACATTTTTTGTCTCATGATTAATTTACTTGGTTCAATCGTAAAGGTACCTAGTTGATTTGTTTTTCAGTTAGGTACTTGTATTTTAATCTCGAGTAACACCCTTGAAAATGTACGAAAACCTTTAGACGGTATTAAACATTTTTATCTGTTAGTACGAATTATCATCACATTTATTATAAGTATTTCATATTCTTTCAATCTGTGGTGGTAGTCATCTTCAAAAAAGTACGTGTCGATGAGAAATTTTTAAGAATTCTTAACCTAACTTAATAGAAAATAAGAAAATAAAAAAATTAGAGAAAAATCAACTACAATCATATTATAAATTAAATTAGGTACCATCAAATCATGTTACCAACCTAACATCCACCAGATTTTGAATGTGTTGCTGAAACAACACTCGATTCATAGGATAGCCACAATTGCTTCATTAAAATAATGCTCCTATACAGTTTTTTTTAGCTCGTTCAACTATTTTAAGGATAGTGGTTTAATATATTTTATTAATTATTGTCAACGCGAAAAAACCGGGGAAAAAGTATGAATAATGAGAAATTTAACGAAATAACGATTTCATTATTTTTGATTTTGTTTTTTCTTGCGATTTTTACAAAATACTTAAAATATACACTTTTATAAAATACGTCCTACTTACTTCGTTCAGTATTGTCTTTATTTAGCTTTGATTTATCGTTGCATATAGATATAAATTAAATACCTTTTAGATTTTTATTTCTTTTTTCAATTTTAACCAACAGAAATGAAGGATCTGTGTGAAAACTATTACCTTAAATTTCCAAACTTTTCATCTACAACAGTAGCACACCCATTAGCAGTATCTGCTATTTTTGTTTTTATTCATTTTTATATATATACTTTATTAAATTATTATAGTGTGTATTAAATTGCACAGACAAAATATTATATAAATTCATTTTTAAATACTTCAATTAACTTTTTTTTATTCTTATAAATTATCGCCGTTTTTTTTAATAATATATAATAGGTACAATAACAAATTAATATATTCTTACATTTTTTCATTACAATAATACATTATGAATAATGATTATAGGTGGGTATATTTTATAAATTAACGACAAGTGGGTTACCTTATAATGATCGTTTCAGCTGAGTATTCGGTGTATATATAATGATTATATTGAAGATTAAGTTCAAAAATATGTACTTTTTAATGTAATTATATACCATATTCGTGTTAAATATACATTTATTATATTGATAATTTGTTTACAATAATACTTGTTTCGTATTTTGTTTAACTTAAATTAAAATATCACTACGCTTCAATGTAGGTCAGTTAAACTAACGGGTGGCATATTAAAACTACGTTACTTAGAACGTGAATTGTGGTGTTTCGGTTGAAATTAAATCTTAAGCACAACAACAAAATTAAAAGAAGCAAATATATTCGAGGGCTATGCGTGTAATATCATATAATATGTAGGTTTTTTTCTAAAAGATCGCTGCCATACAAACTAGTTATAGAAATATTATTATAATAGATTTTTTTTTTTTTAGATAACTGTAAGCTGCAACTCTTTTGTATGCCAATATTTTAGAAAAAGTCTAAAAAACAGTCCTCGAAAATATTCTCCTCTTTAAATTCTGTTATAAATTGTTAAATTTTGTTTTGTGTTTAAGCCCTAATTTCAACCTAAACGTCTACAATTTACGTTACATTGCTATTTCGCCTGTTAGCTAGACAGTATTGATGCGGGTGTGACATTTTCTTAACTTCGTTAATATTATTACCACTTATCAATATTTAAACACACATACACACAAATAAAAATTATTTTTATGTAAATAAAATGGCTGGTATATATTTTCATTGTATACTAAGGGAGTTCTCTTTGAATAATAACGATCTTATACATCTACCAATACGCCAATACCTTTTACACGTAATTTACCCAACTCATGTGGTACCTATAATTAACAATATTATTCATCGAAAAGTACTATAAATAAGTGCGTTAGTGTAACCTATGTATACGTATATTATACATTATTATTAAACAGTTCAAATTTTAATACAGTTAATAACATATGATATTTATTTTAAAAGAAAATTAGAAAACACTTATTGAAGAGGATTTATATAGGTGGTTATATATATACGTGGTTTATGTAGGTACCGCATTAATAATACTTAATACCCGTAATTAACGTATTAACGCGCAAGAAAAAAAACCCATTGTATAAATTATAAAGCTTTAGGTACGTTCTTATCTACGTTTTATTTATGGCCAGTCGATAACAAAGACAACTATAAAATAATTATAGATTAACTAATAATGATAATAATAAAAAAAAAAAAACAATCTCAAGTTTACAGTTTAGTGAGTAATTAATATATAATAAACCTATATATATTTTTAAAAACGAGTTATCTGTTTATTCGTAGAATGCGTTATAACCAAATTAACCAGATAATAAATAAATAAAAATCAATAACGATAAATTGTAATAATCGTAAATGGATTAAAGATATTATATTAGCGCTACAAGTTTTTACACCTAATGGTAATCGTGTGAAATTTAAATTTTTTGGATACAGTAAAATATTTAAACCTGACCCAAATATCTTATTAACTTAGTTGGGTCATAAGAGACACCAAAAAAAGTTTAATTTGATTTTATAACATAAAAAACTAATACCAAGATGGATCAGAATCACCGTGATTAATATTATGGTTTTTATTTAGTTATTTGGCCACGGGGAACGAAAAGAAGATAGTAGTTGTATCATCAATAGTATTGCGCAAGAAAAGAAATACACGGAAAATACTATGACGTGATGTAGTGGTAAAACCTACTGCATGATTAAAAACTAGGTAACAGATAAATTTCAACATAATAATATGTTTTATTAGCTGATTTTAGATTTATCAAAAAAGACAATTTAAAAACTACTTATTTACATTGTGAGCGTGTCGTTGTTTTTATACTCATAATTAACAAACAAGTTAGATTATAAAACAAAAATACAATTTTCTTCACTCACTGTGACTGCATACAAATTTTAATGTTAATTCTATATGAATAAGAAAAATGAAATTTAAATATAGACGCGATAATTATTATGAAATAATCATAAATTAAAATATTGAATAAAACCGAGTGTTTTGGTACCTATACCTGTATGATTAGTGTTTACACTATGCGTTTATGGTTTGTGTTACAGCAGCTATATTGTGTTTACCGGTGTTTTTTTCGCAAATAATAATTCTTAATGTACTTATACGAGGTAGGTATAGTATAACTGATTTTTTTGCATTTAACGATTTTTTACCATAAAATAAAAAAAAACATCTAAAAAAAATTGTAAATACGAAATATATAACAGTGTCTGTTACTAGTGGTGAGAGGGGGATACACAAACTGATATTTGATATCGATAGTATTGGGTTATTTTTCGGAATCTATATTTTACCAGGTATTATCAAGAAAAACATCTATATCTTTAGGATATAGATATGGAAAAATCATTAAAAGAAATTAAAATGAAATTTTTATTTGCGTATTTTTGTAAGGTTTTTCTAAAGGTACGTTTTTTCCAGGTTTTTCCCAATGAAAATTGCTCGAAAAATCAATAAATGACCATCTATATATTCAAAATGCTACAAAAAGTCTAATTATCGTTTTTTTGATCGGAACAAGATTTCTGGTAAAAATTGTTCACGGATATCGAAACAAAAGAAAGTTTGCCCACGTTATAGCAAAACCAATACAATCACAGCACTCAGAATGTAATATAGAAGTAAAAATATTTATTAAACTTTGCTGTATATTTGAAAAATGAATCCCCTATATTTTTTTTTTCAATTTACCCACACCCCTCGCTAAATTAGTTTCAGATCTGCTCCTGTAATACGCATGTATATTATTTAGATTTAATGATGATTAAAATGCGGCAGTTATACTCACAATACTTAAAAATAAGTAATGATTTCAACCAGGTACCAGTGGCGGTCTGAAGCTCATAGTAATATACTTACTATGATACTATCATATTTTTTTACGTCAAACGTACAGCTCCCTTCCTTCTTTCCAGTTTCGAGAGTGTTGGATAAATATAATATGTACCTATCTAGTTCAGGTAGGTAACATTGTTTTTTTTTAAATTTCAATTATCGGGTAGGGGACCATCGTCACACCGCGTTCCTCAAAACCGCCGGCATCTCGTACTTTTGGAATAATTCGATAAAACAATTGTTGATGATTTCAGTGTTGCAGATATGAATCATATTCATGTACCGGACATAATATTATCGGTAATATGATTTATACGAATATAATATCTTATATTGATATTAAGGCGTACATTACGTACAATACGACATTAACGAAAAGTATGTGTATTTTTGAAGGTGATGTTTTGACAACGGTAATTGTTACCATCGCATTTATTACATTACATTCGCTGTCTTCGACGTGAAAACAGCAAGCGATTTCCGCCGCCGCTGCGTGCGCAGCAACAAAATACGCCGTCGCGTAAAACACACGGTAACTCTGTCGCGCCCGTACACACAATGTGCGTATGGTTATACGGCTCAATTATTTTCGTCACTCACCTACCGTAATCTTGTTTAGTTTTCGAACGGCGGCTGATAAATTATCGGCGCACACTGCGCATGTACAACGCGGCCGTTCGAATAAAAAACGTCCGTCTGTAAAAATAATCGCGGTGTTAACTCGTTGGCGCGTTTTCGTCCGCGAACCGACGCAATGGAATTATTGCTGTCACCGCATATAATACGATGTATTATCAATGTTGATGACTCGAGTCGTTCGTTCTAATTTTATCGTTTTCGACGAACAAAACCCCGTATGATACTTTAATCGTCGTATTACCGTCTGCAGTGTATCTAGCGTATTTCATTGCCGTATGCAGTTTTACCATAAAATATTTACCGTTTCAATTTTAATTATTTAAATAACGCGTATGCACCTAGATAACGGACGACACGTTGTTATTAGACGTGGGTATTTAGACCGCACACAATAATAGGTACCTATAATAATATGTAAACATTATACGAGCACACGTTTTGAACAGTATCGATAATAATAATGGAATATATACACATATATGTATATGTTATTTATAATTAATTTCATTAATTTATTTAAAACATACATAATTTAGACGATTTGTGAAGCCCCCTTCCTCGTATGATACGTCAGATACGAATCCACGCGCCTAATATTATGTTTACGCATTATTATATAGTCACTTGCATTATTTCGAATAAATTCAAAATTGTTATGTAGGTTACTGCGATAACATAATAATGCTTCATAAAAATTACATTATTAATATTTTTAATGAGTTCTTGAATGTAAAACGGCGGAGGATTTCATAATTATTCATGCCTAACGTGCATTAAAAGCGAATTAGGCTTGACGGCGCATAAAAGAATTTGTTTGGGCGGCAAAAACTGCGGCTGAACCGTCTTTTGAAAACCTTCAAACGCCATTATTGGTGCTGTCGCAACCGTTATTATTATTATTATTGTTATTGGACCACGCCCGGCAGCGGGTTGACATAAAAATCGCATTATACGTAATCTCGGTAGGGCAAACCCCCCGAGGAGAAAAATTTTCTGAAAAAAAAAAATCATTTCGGTTATGTATCGGACGTGGTGGTCATATTACACACACATATATATATATTTATATACGTAGGATTTATAAATGGTTTGAATGAAGGTATTGCAACAGCATCATCATCGGTAATGCCTATTATAGCAAAAAAAAAAAAAAAACCGAAATATCATTAAGGTTGCACTCGATAATATACTAGCCGCATTACCGTACGGTTCATTAGGAAATACGGTGGAAAGAAAAACCAGTCGGGTAGTTACAATTAAATACGGCGAGTCGCAGAAGAATGTCGTTCGGAAAAAAACTTCGCCTACCGACGATTTTGTCAGACGGGATACAATGTCCCGGTCGACGTTGCGGCTGTGCCAGAACCATTAACTAAGGAGCAGTGGCGTATTTAAGAGGAGATATTATATTATATAAGTTTATCTCCCCCTTGATCTATTTTTAGTATCTATTATTAATATGACTATCTATTTTTTCAAATTCAATTTTCTTTACTTTTTCGTCAAAAATTTTGTTGTTTAAAACGAAACATTTCCGAACCACTACTAATATGAAAAAGGTTATATTACTACCTAAAGAGTAAACTAATAATAATTTTTCACACCAATTTTTGATTTCAATGAAAAATTTTAGGGCAGATTTAATTATATACTTATAGAAAAGTATATAAATTAAAAATTTATCTTTTTTTAATCAATAAGACACAATTTTCAAATTCAATATCTGCCTGCTCCCTCCTTCGCTAACTCCTCAATACGCTACTGTTAAGAGGCTCCTATACGATATTTATTTTTTCTGTCTGTTGCACGTGTTATATAACAAAAACATTCAGCATTTCCACAATTCCGACTCTCTAGCTAAGTTCAGGGAAACTGATATTATATCATACATTTGATAAAGAACAGTATTTACTGTGATGTGGCTGACCCCAAATAGCTTGGATGAAGGCGAAGGAGAAGAAGTATTTTCTACGATGTCTCGACCAAATCATTTTTTTTTAATACATTCATTTTTATCGAGATAGGCTTATTTTAGTTTAACTTAATTTTAACCGTTAATAAACCTATTAAGAAGTTAAAATATTTAAAAAAAATCGTCCTGTGGAAGCCCTTTAAGAGGACGCCACACCCTAATTTACATACGTTTTAGTATAATCAAAACGGACAATTTAAGCAAAAGTATCACGTTACGTGTATCCATTGACGAATTTAGCGATTTGTAACACGGAGTGTGGGAGAGGCAGATTTGTGATAATTTTCCCAAGAAAGAGCTTCCCGACTGCAGTCATCATATTTTCAATACAACAACCACACGCTGTAAAGTTAGGTTTGGAAAGTGTAGGATGTATAAGCAATAGGGTAAATTGAGTTTGTATACTGAAAGCAACGACAAATCAATGCAATAATCAAAAAACGATTTTGAGCAAAACTCGGTAAACTGGTAATGTTATACCAATATTATAGTTGTGATTTTTCCTTTGCAACCCAGAAATAAACCAAAATTAAACCAATATATATTATGTATGTATGATCGTCATTTGTAGGTTTTTTAATTTTCTAGAAAAACTGAATGGGAGTACAAAACAATTTACCAAGGCCGTCTTAAACTATGTATACATCCTTGGGCACACAGAGTTTGGGGGCCTTTTTAGAAGTCAAACAATAACGTGAATGAAACCAACATTAATTTTTGTTCAATGACTTATGAGAAAATAACATTTTTTTAATCGTATATTCCTAATCTTATAATTTTATATTTATCTTATAATTAAATTTAATACGTACATAAACTTTTATGAACGATATAGTGTTTTTTTATAGGTTTTAAAAAATACATATTAAGTCAATTCATAGTAATAAAATGTAAAAACTCTTTTTAATTATAATTACATTGTTATTATTATCATAATTCTTATCATTATTCATTACATCACCTAAAAATCACTTTTTATCTATTTTAATCTAGTAACTGTGCAGCCGCCAGCCGCTGCTGTAGTCGGTACAGCGATCAACGTGTTTATTGCTCGTATAAAGGGTAATCGTCGTTTTTGAAACATTTAAATTTTGAGTAAACAGAATTTAACTATATTTTAAAATTAAAATTAAATATTTAACGCTGATGGTCAAATATTTAGTTGAAAAATGTCGCCGCGTCAATGCGTTTAACATAAAGATGAAAAATGGTTTTTTTTGGGGGCCCCCGTCAGGCCGGGTCCTCGGGCTCGTGCCCCACGTGCCCGCGGTGTTAAAACGTCGCCGCGATTTACCAAATACCGCGCATATTGCAGCTGTGGCGTCCTCGGTGGGTACTATAACGGCGCGAACCGGTGTTGCATATTGCTTCGATTTTATATTTATCGCATTCTCCGGATTTGCAGGTGAGTGGACGGGTGATCGAGGTAATCAAATCCGTATTGTCGGCCACGGATGAAAACAGTGTACGCGTAGTACTTATATATATATAAAAAAAAAAAAAAACATGTAATTGTGACGACTCTGGAAATCATCGCGTCGCCATTACCGTTGCGTTTTGATGGCTACCATATGCGTGCGACGACGCAGCCGCTGTTCGTTATTAACGGCAAATAACAATAATAACGTACAATGTAGGTAGGTAGGTATATGGATTCAGTTCAATAGTCGTAAATTTCACTCGTATATATTATACGATGACGTATTGCCGTACCGCGTACAAGCACAGTGCTACAACCTGTGCCGATGTAAACCATTGTCATGAGAAAATATTAGTCATGCTGTAACGAGTAACGCAAATAACGGACGTCGTCTAATCCACGCACCTACGTCCGAAATCATTTTTACTCTTAGTGAGATTGTACAATCGATTGTGAACTGCCGATTAAAAATAAATCCGATAGGAAATTTTAGTTTTTTATTTTTTTTCCCCCGTCCACGTTTCAGGGGGCGCACATAATGCATATACGGACTACGAATACCTATAGTTTAGGGCTATATATGCATGTCATAATATATTTACTCACTCTTTTGCCGCGTTGTTAATCTCGTTATGCAATTTTATATTAATATCATGTGCGACGTTTAGAATCATTAGTCATTTGTTTTCCTCGTACTGATTGTTTTACTTTTAAGTATTTTTAAAATGAAAAGTGGATTTCGTACTGTAAATCACAAGGAAAAATATTGAAACGAAATGTAGAAACCGTTTAGGTATTCGGTCTAAATCCATATTTGTATGGAAATACTCTTGTAATATTTGTTAACCGGTATATAGGTATGATTTTATGGGTACTTCTTTGTTGTTATTGTTTCGAAAGGCACTGATAAATCACGACCATATTGAGACATGAATCATATAGCTTTTAATACTAATGTATAAATTATTTTATTTACAGTCGAACAATTGAGTTTTTTTTTTTTTTTTTTATATATATATTATTTATATTTTGGTTACGTATTTTAGATTTTGATTGTACTGATCTTTTCACGCCGTGCTTTAAAAGACGCAGATTTTTTTGCCTGATAGTGTAAATTTCAAAATTTCCGATTCTTTTACCAAACATTTTTTTATGGAACGAAATAATGATCCGATTAGTTCACCTAGAAAATGCGACATTTTCACAAGACGAATTTTTTACTTAAAACATTTTTGGAATTTTCCATCGTTCTCTCAATGCTTTATTGAATTTTTTTACCAAAAGCGCTTTTTGTGTGAGTATAAAATGTTTCAAATCATTCGCATCGTGCCTTTTAAGATTTAGATTATTCGTCTGGTATTTTATTTGAAATAAATTTCATGATTCTCAATAGTTTTTTTTTTTTTTAAATTATTATAAATTATAAATTATTTTTTGAACTATCCATGTTATCTATACATCAATTTTATTTTTAAGATCCTGAGTGCAACGAATAATGTATTGGTTTTATTAAGATGTTTATTTTCTTTTTTTATTTCTGAAAAGGAATGTTGTCTAGATGGTACTTTTGTGAAAAAATGTTTAAATTTTTCCATTTTATCTAAACAAGCAAAAAAACAAATGCATTTTGAATGTACCTAGAGATCCAAGCTACCGTTCGCTCGGGCTATTTTGATCTCAAAATAGCCCTCGATTTGTTGTGCAAACTTCTCTACCAGAAATCTTGCTCCGATGTATCAATTTTAGCTTGTTTTATGAAAGGAAATTTTACTTTCATGGTAATTCAGAGAGGTCATTTTTTTATATTTCAAGTGGTTTTCATAATATTTTTGAAAAACCGGAATAAAATTTCGGAAAAATGGAAAATGTACGAAATGTAGGTATTAAAAAAATATATTATGGCCTTTTTTTTCTGTGTACAACTTTTCTACCAGCAATTTCGCCCCGATTATTGATATATCATAGCACTTTTTCTGAAAGGAAATCCGACTAGAAAGGTAATTTTTCAATTTTCCTAGGAGTTTTCCCAATAAATGGAAAAAATTTCGAAAAACGTAGGAAAAACGGGAAAATTGGTACAACATTAAACAAATATTATTAAAGAAAATATAAAATATCTATTTAATTATTTTACCATAATATGACATTTATATTGTTGAAAAAGCATAACTATCAACTGAACTGCGCTCAGAATACACAGTATACACAGTATAAAAAATAAAAAATAAACATCTTATACCAGTACATTTTTCACTACACTCAGAATCTAAAATGGTTTAAATCGTAAATATTACGGCCTTTTAAAACGTGTACAACTGAATTTCGCTCAGAATCGTTTTTCGTTAGCGAATCATTACATACAGATATACATTAAATTCCCCCCCAAATCTTACCTTCTCAACCTCTCACCTACAACAGTGGTCCACCCATCGTGTGAAGTATGTCTGTCTGTTTTAATTTTTGATTTATCCTGTACATAGGGAAAATAACAATTGTAATAATTATTTTATTCCACTCAGAATCGTCTTTTAATGCATTGAAAGCAATGCTTGTTGCTTTTAATTTATAAATTAAGTTATCTTTATTTTATATACCTTTTAAAACTTTCCACCTATTACTATTTCAAAAATACATTTTGATTAAAGTTGTTTTTTTGTATTTTATTACTTACTAAAAACTTTTAAACGTTTTTTTTATTACTTATTATCTATATTACTAATGTGTGTTTTATTATTTTTTTTATTTTTCTGCATGGAAAATTTTATTGGTGACTGAACAAAATGATAGGTAGCTATTTCAGAGGGAATTCTAGGGGAATTTGAAAGAAAAAAAAATGTTATGTTTGAAACCATGATCTAGTTAAAGGTCACATTTATTATTTTCTATGTTTTTAATCGTTTTATTTATATATTTTTATTTAGATTGAACTCTTATAATCTGTAATCGCCCATTTAGTATTTTATATTTATTTTACATTTTTCTTATTAAACTGCTATGTCAATGAACTTATATAGCCCTCGATAGTTGGCGTGCGATTAGAAAATATTTTCGTTATTTTACAATATTTTCGAATATACTTAAACTGGTTTTCGTTTAAGACGTTTGAGTGACCCCGAAAAATGGTTACTTTCAATTCCAGCTGAGTAAAACTACTCTCCAGTATATTCTTAGATATAATGTGCGTAGGTACAAAACGATTAACACACCTATTGAATTATACACTCACATAATAATGTACAATGAATATATTTATATATAATAAACTTGTAACTATTGTTGATAATGGAAGAAACATTAAAAAAATAAATAAATATGTGATAATAATTAACAAACATGGTTTATAAGTCAAATTAAAATTATCTCGATAGTGAATTTAATGATTTATCAAATCTATTATATGGGTGTAGTATAGGTAGGTACTTGTATATTTGTTTTATTTCGTATCGCAGCGGTTCTCAAACTGTGCAACACAAACTTGTCCTCTCTAGGACTGCAATATAAGTACGAAAATATTTGGTTATTTTTTAAAAAAATGTATTGTAAATTATTTTGATATTTTAAGTGCATTGAGAAATGTATTGGTTTTATGATGATCTGTGCTTATTTATTTATTTATTTATTTTGCATCTATAAACAAGTTTTATACCTACTAGAAATATTGCTCTGATTTTCAAATGCAGGAAGTTTTGAAAGTAATTGTATCTAGCATCGAGTTTTCGACTGAATGGTTATTGGTTTTCTTAGAGAGTAGACATTTTCACAGAATATTTATACTGCCATTTTCTTGGCGTGGTCAAGAATGCAAGTAATTTATAGTCATTAAATATTTCCGTGTTTTATAAATTTATTTTTATGTGGGTAAATTATATTGGTCGAATAATTTTATTTTATTTTATTAGGTACAACAAAAAAAACAAATATAGAAAATTCAAATTAGAAACCGTTATTGTATAAATAATATTCCAGGTTCCCTTTCCCCCCCATATAAGATACACCAAATAATGCGACCTCTTAATGCATCATTCCTAGACAAAATTTGGTACGAGAAGCCATTCCCGATGTTAACGACGGGAACAATATTTCTGGTCTTAAAGTCGTTTACAGACAGAAAAAATAAAAATAATAATCGTGGATTGATAATTTATACACTGGTTGAAAAAA